GTTTGTAACTAACTGAAAATGTGTGAAAACTGAATCTCTCTCGATCAAACTCAGATTTGAATGCAGCGCTTATTAGAAGGATTAATAACAGTATGCAAATCATTATTATAATTTATTGTTCATGTTACGCTGGTTTGAATTAAGATCACAATCTTTTAATGTTTAATCATGCAGATTTACACTGGATGCATTAATGCAGGCTAAACAATGACAAAAAAACACATATAGTTAATAGCCTAAGAAGGCATTTTAGGTCCCACCACAACTTTTTCCGTCATTGTTACATTTTACAGGGACGCCAAAATGCTTTCATACATGTGATTTGAATGATGCGGGAGGTGATCTCTCTGCAATTAATATAATATATATATATATAATTATTTTCTGTTATTTATTTTCACTGTTTCACTGTCTTTTTATGCATATTTATGCAGTGTAATGCAATCATTTAAACATTCTGTTTACATGCAGGTTTTAAGATGCAGCAAAATAGCAAGTGTAAAGGTTTCTGAAATCACAGAGCTCATCAACAAAGCGCTAGAGAATGACAAGAAAGTCAGGTATGGTATGTTTGTGTAGATTAAGATGGATTAAATTGTTTTTACTCGTATGTAAATATGGCGGTTAATTCCATGTAGTGACCCCTGATAAATAAGGGATAAAGGCAAATGAATGAATATGTAAATATACACGTAGCATTTTATAATACTTGTGTCATATTACAGCAAATATACAGCGATGTAATAATTCACTTATTTACCAATGTCCAATCTGTCATTTTATATAGAAAGGAGGGAGGAAAGTTTGGCTTTGCTGAGTCCATGCCCAAAGAGCGAATTACAACACTTAAGAGAGATGAAGCCCCGGTGGAGATGACGGATGTCAAAGAGACTGCTGACGACATTGTGCAGAGAACCGAAACTACCACAGAAACGTATCCTGCATATTTTAAGATAGACTGGGAGAACAGCCTGTTTTATTATCTTGATTATGAATGCAAAATGAGAAGTGTGATGGTTTGGGGTTTCAGGTTTTACCTGAATATTAATCCTTAACCCAGAGCCAGTGTACCTTCTCCTATTCTTGTTGCCACTGGAACTGCACAGATCGGTGAGGGCATCGTGAACTCATGGGGACTTGATGAGGATGAAGATGATGAACTTCAGACAGAGGACAGAAAAACAGGTACTTTGTTAAAGGGTTTGATGAAGTGCTTTGAAATTACATTTATTATCAATCTGACGAAATGTGAACTGAAACATGAAGACAGGATGGGATATAAAGTAGCCTTCTTAAAAAAACAGCCAATACTAATAGCATTTAGTTTTGCCAGTAGGATTGGTTGAGCTCAAGCGCAAGTATATATAGCATCTTGAAGGGGGCGGGACATGCCAGATACTAGAGAACATTTGCTACGTTTCCATCCACTTTTCTTATGCGCATAATGGATATGTGCATAAAAATCGGTTGATAGAAACTCTAAGATGCGCTTAATTTTGAAAATGTGCATTAGTCCAGTGTGCGCATTAAACACGTCATGTGATTTTGTTATAAGAGATCATGTGATGATAAAAATGGGTGTGAATAGATGAACCAGCAGGCTGAGCACATTGTAAAACATCTGAAATGTTGATTTGATCATACTAAAATGCCTTAATCGTTTCAGTATTAGTGTTATTATATTATTAATTACCTCCAGAACTGTTAGGATCATCTGTGCTCCACGTCTCATGACTTCAAACACCACCACGTGTCCATGCATGTCGGCATCGTCTTCTGAGGCGCAAGACATTTATTTAATAAAGAAAAGATTAACGCAGCTTCTCCTACCACAGAAAATTCAGTTTTTTCCTTTGATATTTGGCGCCAGTAAATCAGGAAATTACAATTTTGTTCTCTTACACTCTTTAGATGAAAAGTTAATTTACATTTTTTGGATGGAAACATAGCTAATGATCCATTTAGGCAGAAGTGACAAACTGCAAGCTTGTTGTTTATGTGAATGTTATTTTCATTGCACTTTAAGTGAAATAATAGAATGTAAACATAAGAGGCTGAAAAAATGCTAATCTTAGAAGAATATTTCAGAGAGCACCTAAGAGGTTTTGCATCTCAACTCTTCATATCTTCTTAATTAGAATTTTTTCACTACTTCGTAGCACACTAGATTATAGATATAACATACTGACATACTAACATACTGACACTAATTTGTAAAATAGTTTATTTTCATTTCACAAGGACTAAAAGTACACTTCATGTCTGTTCTAAAATGTTGTCTGCAGTGAAATAAATTATGTGTGTGTGTGTGTGTGTGTGCGCGCGTGTGTAGATGAGGTGGTGGTGATCACAGACAGTGAAGAAGAGGAAGTTGTCATTCTTAATGACCAGTGAGTCAAGTTAATAAAATAGTTTTCTTACCTCTCTCATAAATTTACAACACACCCACATACTGTAGTTCTACAATACACAGTATGATATAACCAAATATCTTTACTTTTTTAAGGAAATCCAAGAAGACTTCTAAGCAGAAATGAACTTCAGCAGCTCAACAAAGAAAAAGATGATCATAAATCAGTCTCCAATGCCACTGGGCATTATTTAGTCTTTTTTGTATAATAAAGTATAACGTGAAAATGTTGCCTTTTGTTTTGAGTTTATAAAGTGGTTTCAATGCTATAAAACCTATTGTCTTATTCAAAATCCAGATTGTAAGGCCAACAATGTGGTATAAAATCATTTATTTGTTTAAAATAAGTAGCCATTGGGGTATTGTGGTGGCACAGTGGGTAGCGCTGTTGCCTTGCAGCAAGAATATAGCTGGTTCAAGCCTCGGCTGGGTCAGTTGGCATTTCTGTGTGGAGTTTGCACGATCTCCCTGTGTACGCGTGGGTTTCCTTTGGGTGCCCTGGTTTCCCCCACAAGTCCAAAAACATGCACTATAGGTGAATTTGTAAGCTAAATTGTCCGTATGCAGAGTACTGTATATGTGTGAATGAGAGTATATGTGTGTTTCTCAGTGATGGCTTGCAGCTGAAAGGGTATCCGCTGCATAAAACATACAGTGCATCCGGAAAGTATTCATAGCGCTTCATTTTTTCCACATTTTTGTTACAGCCCTATCCAAAATCAATTAAATTTCATTTATTTCTTCAATATTTTACACACAATACCCCTTTATGGAGTAAAAAATATTTTTTTGAAATCGTTGCCAATTATTAAAAAATAAAAAACCTGAAAAATCACATGAACATAAGTATTTGTAGCCTTTGCTGTGAAGCTCTAAATTAAGCTCAGGCACATTCTGTTTCCACTGATCATTCTTGAGATGTTTCAGTAGCTTTATAGAAGTTCACCCATGATAAATTCAGTTAAATGGACAAGATTTGAAAAGGCATACACCTGTCTATATAAGATCCCAGGGTTGTCAGTGCATGTCAAAGCACAAATCAAGGAGAACCTTACAGAAGGACAACCATCTGTGCAGCAATCCAACAATCAGGCTTGTATGATAGAGTGTCCAGACGCAAGCCACTCCCAGCCTTGAATTTGCTAAAAGGCATCTGAAGGACTCTCAGACCACAAGAAACTAAATTCTCTGCTCAGATGAGAGTAAAATTTAACACTTTGGAGTGAATGCCAGGCGTTACGTTTGGCGAAAACCAGGCTAATACCATCCCTACAGTGAGGCATGGTGGTGGCAGCATCATGTTGTGGGGATGTTTTTCAGTAGCCGGAACTGGAAGACTAGTCCGGATAGAAGGAAAGCTGCTTCAGAGTGCTCTTGACCTCAGACTGGGGTGACAGTTTATTTTCCAGCAGGACAATGACCCAAAGCCCACCGCCAACATATCAATGAAGTGGCTTCACAACAACTGTGCCCAGACCTAAATCCTGTTGAACATCTCTAGAGATCTGAAAATGGCTGTACACCATTGCTTCTCATCCAACCTGATAGAGCTTGAGATTAATCCATTTTGGAATAAAGTTGTAATTTTAAAAAATGTGGAAAAAGTGAAGCGCTATGAATACTTTCCAGATGCACTGTATGCTGGATAAGTTTGCAGTTCATTCCACTGTGGCTACCGCCGATTATTAAAGGTAGCCTACTATGCCAAAAAGAAAATGAATGAATGAAGTGGCCATTTGCAGATATTTATTATTGTAAAGATTATTATTGGAGATATTATTGTTATTATATATTATTACTAATTACCCTAGTTAAGCTGTTAAATGTCCCTTTAAGCTAAATACTAGTATCTCAAAAAATATCTTGTAAAATATAATTTGCGTTAATGACAGATAAAAGTTAATAGATAAATCAGACATCGGAAATTATTTAAACTATCATGTTTAGAAAAAGTCTTTCTGATAAACAGAAATTGGGAAAAAATATACAGGGGCTAATAATTCTGACTTTGTTATAAGAGATCTAACAATGCCTCAACATGACTTTTTGACACTGGAGTGAGGGCAGAACTTAACAATACTCAACATGTTTTATTTACATTCTGTCTGATCTTCAATTAAAATAGTTTCTATGATTCTAATAATTAATGTTAGTTTCTTTTGAATTAATAAAATTAAGAATCAAGTTAATAGAATTTTATAAACTTAATTGTTAATGATGAAATTCAAGATTTTGTGGGATAACCTTCGATACGCTGGAGTGCTAACATAAAGATGTGGCCAGTACGGGGATCGAACCCGCGACCTTGGCGTTATTAGCACCACGCTCTAACCAACTGAGCTAACCGGCCAACTGAGAAACTGAGTTGACACATACCCTTAAAAACCTAGCTGAAACCATGTAATGAACAGATAAAATGGACTTTAAATAATTTTTAACGTTTATCTTTATGCATACCGTTTCCAGTGTGTTCCATCCGTGCCTCTTTCTAAATTTCAAATAATAAACCTCTTACTATCCAAGCATACTTGCCCTTTACCATGTTTCTGCGCACGCGCGTCCATCCTGATGCGCGCGATGCTTGACAGGCACCAGCGGCGCGTTCCCGACAGTAGAGAGGGCGCGCCCGTAGACGTTGCTGCTCAGGCTTCAAGATGGCGGAAGCCCTGACAAATCAAGAGGCGGTAAGATACCTACATTTTCACCAAGCTCTTCTTAAATTTCATAGCGTGTTTCCTGAGCCGCCTCTGTTTTTCACTATGTTTAAGATAAAATGCTAGGTAACACACCTGTGGTTTATTTGTTAACAAGGGTGTGAATGAGAAACGCGGCCCTGTGGCTGTTTTTGAGGGAGCTGAGGTAAATGCTAGCCCTGTTAGCGAGCGAGCGACACTCAGCGTAGTAACGCAGATATGGCCGTTTATGACATTTATAATTATCAGATATTACTGTCGATATATTGGGAGCTGTTATATAGCATTGTATAATGAATCTTATACTTGTTTGACTGAACACCAACTGTCTAGCAGTAAAGTAACATTACGTTTGGTTGGCATTGGCATATAACGTGAATGCGCTCAGTCTAATGTAAGTTAGTATGTTCACAGTCTTATTCCAGCATGGGCGCGTTATAGATCAAATACAGCGTAAGTCAAAAATCTGCATCGCTGTACTGTCATGTATGACGATATATGCTTCTGCAAAGTCGCTATCGGTAAAACCCAAAGCGAACCCGGTGTCTGATGTGCTCCAGTGCTGGAAAATGTGAGACGATTCTCACTTCTGTCTCGCCGTGTGAACACTCATCTAATGCTGGAGGTGCCATTTGTTCTGACTCGTCGAGGAAACTGTGTTACATGAGCGTCTGTCTGGACGATTGCTGTCGTTTATAGAGCTGTCAAATCACAATGCTGCTTCTGCACACTCATGTGATTGAGTGTCATTTTGGCGCAATGTAGAAGTGATTTGTTTTGCATTGATGAATATGGTTTAGTTTTACTTTTGGAACCCATTTGGAAACCCCCCGTAACGTTATGTCAGGGCAGTGTGTGAAAGTGGACTGGTATATTTATTATTAGTGCATTAGTTAGTGGTCAGCCAGTGTTTGAATTCAGTGGCTGTTTTATAGATATCTAGAGATTGGGGTTATAATATAGCCACTGTGTGATAAAAGCTAAAATGTTTATGAGAAATATGAAAAGTTCGAAGTTCGTAAAGAAGTTGGTTAACATTAAGTTTGTAAAACATAGTTTAATACAATAGTTTTGTGTTTTAATGTATTATAAAATATAATCAATGCTGGCAGAGGAATAAACATGGTCATTTGGAAATCATTAGGGCTGCTCGATAGCAAAAAATGGCATTGCGATATTGAGTATACTTTTACCAGATGAAAATGAATGGCTCTATTTCGAAACAATTCATAGTTTTAGATTGATTTTGATGATTCTGTAATTTAGTTCATGTGAACGAATGAAAATAACTCAAAGCACTAGCATTGACAGATAGAGTGGAGCAAAAATGCAAATAAAATGCAACAAAATTTGATGGTTTTTGAGAAGGTCTAGCAGGCAAAATAACAATAAACAAATGTAAAACATCATTGTATAGTCTACATTGTATGTCAACCTGTATGTACTATTTTATTATTTTTCTTATGGTGATTGGCAGTAGAGAAAAAGTGGAGGTAGAGTACTGGAAGTAGAATAATCAGTTCTGTAATTGTCGTCCAATCAAATCCCACATTGAAAATCTCATTATACAGAACAACCTCAAGACAAAATCGTTACACACAATCACCGAGTGACTGTTTAGACTTCATGTCACTGGTGAAAAGATGGTAGATGTCCACTGTGTGATGACTGAAATCACCAAATGACCTTAACCAATCAGTAAGTGCACCACATTTTCACACACACCAATTCACACATCAACTGTAATACTCACTACAGTACTTTTGAAAGGGCTACTTTTTACTCTTATTTGAGTAATATTTACTAGATACTTTTACTCTACTTGCACTACATTTTTGGGTAAGTAATGGTACGTTTACTTGTGTGATTATCAATTCTTTCCACCACTGCAGAATTCACATTTAGAAGATATAAGCTCTCAAAACTAGTTTCACTTTTGCTAGTCAGATTTTTCAATCATTTTTTAATGACACAGTTTGAATAATTCTTGAAAAAATTGTAACAATGTTTTTTTGAATGTCTGTATTGGTGTCCATAATAAAGTTATTGTACCCATGCTAAAAGTTATTGTACCCATGCCATTTCTTTAAAATATGGAAACAAGTTTAACCCCAGTATTTTCAATGGACTTTTTTTGCCCTGCCACCCTGCTGCTAATGACGGCGCCTGCGTTTAAATGGCCTTTCGACTTTTTTTTTACACTTTACCAACCAAATGGATGCTTAAGTCTATTCAACTGATTGTTTTAATTTTATTACAACATCTGTGCTGTAAAAGGAAACTTACGAAATTGAAAATAGTCACATAAAGCTTTCACTGGAAGTTCATCATTGGCTGAAAAACATTAGCTTTCCATAAAGCCCATTGGTTTCGAAAGTTTGATTAGTTCATCAGTTTTGAGAGGGATTCCATCAATGTCATTCTTCTGTGTCACTACCATTATAGCAATGATCTGGACTCTGCTATTCTTTTCTGTGAAGGAACCATCAAATATTTAATTACTTAAAAAGCAAGTCTTACTGACCCCCAATTTTGATGGCAGTGAACATTTAGGCTTAATTATTACATAAAACTAGATTCTGTAGGCCTCTACATCTGCATAAACATTAAAAGCTCAGATAAACACAACAAAGAAAAAAATCTAGTCTAATAGTATTCAGGTTGTAATTGAAGAATAAAAATAATAATAATTCAATAATAATAGTAAATAAAACAATAACAGATTATTCAATAAAATTAATGGTCCCACTTTATATTAAGTGTCCTTAACTACTATGTACTTGCATCAAAGAAATAAATACAATGTACTTACTGTGTTCATAATGTATTTGAGAACACTTGTGGTGCTCTTGAGTTGGGGTAGGGGTTGGGTTATGGACAGTTTGGGTGGTATGGGTAGGTTTAAGGGTGGGTTAAAGTGTAAGGGATGGTCAACAGTGTATTTACAAATGTAATTACAAAAGTTAATTACAGATGTAATTACATACAGGTCTTTAATCAAGCATAAGTACACAATAAATACATGTACTTAAACAATAAGTATATTGTAACAAACTATTAATTCCTGTGTAAGTACATATTAGTTAAGGCCACTTAATATAAAGTGGGACCAAATTAATCGCTACTAATGTTATTTACCTTGCGATGTCTCAAAATCACATGCTAATGATACATTATAATCCAGACTCAACATTGCGTATGATTGCGATTTGACATGTGATTGATTTCAGTACGATAACAATGCTGAAATGATATATTGTGAAGCCCCACATAAAACTCACAAAAATTCAATCCAAGTCTTGTGTATTTTTTATGAGGCTATGGATCAATTTTGGGGTTGACAAGCTACAGGAGAAAGCCATCCGTTAGGATTCTCATTTATTTCAGTGTATTTTGCCAGAATAAACAAGGACTTTTCATTTGCTCTCAGTGGAAAAGGATGCTGGTCGCAGCCAGATGGTGTTATGCTATGCAGCCAAATTGTGGCCAAGCCAGCATGTTATTTGATAATCTGAAAATATCTAATATCAACTGATTTATCAATGAGGTTCATGCGTTGTTAGTCACTATACATACCAGCCAGACGCAATCAACACAAAAATGCAAAAAAAGTCTGAAAGTGGTATGTGTAACTGAAACTGAACATGCTTTTTCTTTGTTATGTACATTAAACGAAAAGAGTGTAATTTTTGTTTGTGTGTGTGTTTGCCAGGCAGTGGAGGAGTTCCTGGCTGAGCTGAGGTGTCGGGAACAGTCTCAAAATGCAGATCTCGTCAGTCAGATGACAGCGGTTAAGTTCCTCATGGCAAGAAAGTTTGATGTCTCTAGAGCCATAGATCTTTTTCAAGCTTATAAGGTACATTAAACTATAATGAGATGTGTGTGATTATCTGTATTGTGTGTGTGAGAGAGAAAGCCTTCACATTCTAATGCTTGTGTGTGCCTGTCTGCAGAACACCAGAATAAAGGAAGGCATTTACAATATTAACCCCAATGAGGAGCCTTTAAGGAGCGAGTTACTCAGTGGGAAATTCACAGTTCTGGTGAGTACGGTTTCACATCTACATAATGTGTGAATGTGTGAACTACTCATGAACAGATCAGATTTATGCATGCTGTTACCAGTTTGCTGTTGCTTTTCTGCTTGGAGGAACAATTTAGTTGGACAGACAGGGGATGGCATGACTCGTGTTTATTTTGGTCAGATCTGCTTTATCAGATATTAAAAACTATATCATATAAATGACTATATAAATGAGTGAGTGTGAGTACCATGAATATTTCCAATGTAATGTAATTACCATGTTATTTCTGGACTTACCAGTTGATAAATAAAAAAGAGCAATTATCTGGAATTCTACATAAACTATTTAGAAGAGCATTTAACATGCATGTTGACTTTATGGAGCAAATGGAATTTATTTAAACTCCTTTAATTTTTAAGTAATGCTTTTCAAAGATAATATATATGAAACCTACATTTTTCCAGCAGAACATCCATTTTAGATCACCTTAATATTACTTGCATAAAAGTTAGCAAATTTCTAAAAACTGTGCAATTTTTAGAATTTATTTATATCTTCCAGGTCAGAGAACAAAGAATTTTTATGAGGGTTATAGTATAAAGACAATTAAACATTTTCAAATAAATTCTGTTCTTTTGAACTTTCTCTCTGTCAGAATAGAATATCACATTTCTTTTTTTACAAAATAGCAGAAAATGTGGCTTTATCATTGGAGGAATAAATTGATTCTGTGAAATTAAACCAAATTTCTTTAAAAAATTCTATAAACTTTTCAAGCAGTTAGAGCAGATTGCTTTTACCATCTGTATAGAGCAATTCCATGCAAATGTCAACCTTTCCATGAAAAAAAAAGCTTTCACCAAAATAGCGAAACCCTTTCTAGGTTGTTTGTGTATGCTTGTACTGTAAAAGTACTCAAAAGTGTCTCTCTCTCAATGTTTTCCAACAATTATGTTTGAGTCACCAATGTCACACAAGTGGCAATTTCACATCTGTCACATCCATAACAGAAAATAAAATAAAGTATCAAATAAAATCAATAGTTTTTTTTTTTTTAGTGAGCCACCTTATATCCTTTTGATTAGCATTGTTTTTTTTGGGTTGTGCTGTTAATTCACAGAATGTCTACAAAGTATGTTGTACACTGTAAACTTGCAGTTGTTTTTGGTCACATCTGTAACACGTGCTTATTTTCCTAATTTGAAAAATCAATACCAGTTGATATTTTTCTGATCGCTTAACTCTGTGTAGTGTTAATGTTTCATTAAAATGTTAACATATACTTTGTATGTTTTAAGTTTTACTGCAAATGTCACACCCAGAATCGCTCATAATCAATCATACTAGGATGAAGCATAAGTTTTCTGATATTGGAGAAGATCCTCCCGCATGTTCTTTTTGAAAGCCCTTTTACTATGAAGCATGTTCTATTAAATTGTGTCAACCTTAATTCTGTGACAATTTTATTTTATTCAGTTCGCTTTTTAAAGCAGTTTTTGACACTGGTAATCCAAATACAGGTTCTTTTAAATTGTAAAATTGCTTCAACATTGCATTTTTATAGAAATTTTGATCATTATAATGTCTTACCTTGTAGAAATGGGATGATGATCGATTTCAAGGTATACCGCAGTTTCAAACTGCAAGGTTTTAAAACCACCAAACTTTCTGCTATACTGTTCCTACGGTATATGCAAGTTTTTTTTTTTTTTTATGACAACAGTATCTCCAGCAGAAAAGAGATCTGAAGATGTCATTTTAAATTGTAAAGAAATCTGTGTTTTTAAAACTAATGAAAACAGCAGAAGTCAATGAATCATTTGTATTATTTAGCCTGACATGTTTACTGCTCCAAAATATGAGACATTTCTCAAAAATTAAATATATTGTGTTCAAAGGGGAAAAGAGTTTTTGTTTTTTACCCAGATATTAAAAATGAATATATTTTAGAGCATTAACAGCAGTACTGTGAAACAGTGATATTTTTATTTAGGTTATCATACCATCAGAATTTTATACCAGCCCATGCTTATTACTAAGTATAAGAGACTTCCAAGAAGCTAAAAAAAGGTTTTTATGTGTGTTGTGCATCTCATTTGCAAAGAAAACCTAAATAGTTTAAGTAAGGATAAGAAACTTTGGCAAACTGCAAATATACCAAAGAGCTTTTAATCACTTTCAGGTTATGCAGGCCAAAAAAACTGCAAGTTGCGATCATTCATATTTACTGTTCCTGTAAACAAGCAAGGGAATCAAGGCCACCATCGTTGCTGAAATGACGGCAAAGGAAATTAAATCTCTGATCTCACACCATCACACGCAGAGAGGGTCCATGATCTTTGTTTAGTCTGGATGTTACTGTTTGTTTCAGCCATTTTTCATTGAGGGTCAAGCTGTATACAGAGTTTGCTCACATGTTTGTGTAGGCAGATCCAATGTATTCATCACATCTTAAACAGTTTTCAGACCACAGAGCATCTGACAGAACTGCATTAATTCAACCTTTCTTTAACATTTAACTGGCTGAAATGGATTTTATACTTGTTTTATACTTGTTTGTGTTTTCATGAGTATGTTTTTATATTTTGTCTAAGCATTATTATCATTTTTTTTTCCCCCACTTGTGTGTATAGCCCGGTCGTGATGCGAAAGGTGCAGCTTTGGCTCTTTTTACAGCACGTCTCCATCAGCCAGACCGCACTACCCATAAAGCTGTTCTTCAGGCCATTATATATCAGCTGGATAAGGCTATTGAGAGGTAAAAAAAAAAAAAAAAGACCACGTCCATTAAACTGATGAAATGTAATGTGTTTAACGACTCTGCAATTTTATCTCAAACATTTTTCTTCCCCCAGTGTTCAGACTCAGAGGGACGGGCTCATTTTCATCTATGACATGACTAACTCCACATATGCCAACTTTGACTATGAGCTTTGCGTCAAGATTTTGAATCTGCTTAAAGTAAGTGTTATGCTGTCAAGACCATCTTTCTGTTTCACAGTCTGCTCATCTGGCATTAACCGAACTCGGTGGGGTTTTGGATTTGATCTTTCGATATACGGGAAGCTTTTCATCTGTCATTTGTGTTTACTGTTACACATTATTGAGGGTTGGGACTGTGACGTCAAAAAAACGAAAGGTTAGTTGGTACCCTTGAGAGTTTCTTATGGGATATAATGGATTTTTTTGATTAATGAGTTATACTGGGTCTGTGGAAAACAATTAGATGCTATTTGTGTGTAACTTACATTGTAGAGCACAAAATCACTCAAAGAAGGATGTTTCTAATGAGTTCTTTTGTAAACTGCACACACAACCATAATATGCCTAAATTATACACAAAGCATTCAAGTATTACCCACATATGTTTACCACAAAACATTTTACTCATGAATTGAAAAAAATCATAAAGACTCATAGGAAGATCATTGGTGAATTAGTCTTCCTCATTTTGACGTCAAGGCTGCAGAAATCTATTTGTGGAGAACTGGAGCTTTAATAATAATAATTGCATGTCTGGGAAATGTTGTCAACATATCACAGCATTGTAGACCTTGTTTTGATTATATAGTGTATTTGACTAAATTAAAAGTTTCCTTAAAATTAACTAAGATTCTTTGATCAATGCAAATTTTAAAAGAACAGCATTAATTTCAAATGGAAGTCATTGAATAATTGAATGGCAAAACCTTAAACTGTACTGACCAGAAAAGTATTAGGAATGCACTAATGCCATTTTTTTTTTTTTTTTTGGAACTGATCCGATCTCGATACAAATCCGATCCCAATACTGTGCCTTTTTTGTTTGTTTTTTGTTTTCTAAGTATATTACTGTTTCTATAGCTCTGGTCCTAAACTTGAATAATATATCTTCTTTAATAAAAATAACAGACCTATAGGCCTACTATACATGACAGATGACACAATCTAACTAAAAACATGATGCTTGTTGTAAACTAGCCTACATTATTTGAGCGTTAATTATGACATTGTGTCATAATGTTATGACATCTGTTGTGGTCCAGATTATATTTTCTTTTTTAATATTAAGATTTTTCTTTTAAATCTCCAATAGGCTACTACTGTTGACACTAATCGTTGGTAAAATAATCGGATATTTTCCTGCAGGTTTTACGCAGGCTAAACTAAACTGTCTGAGGACAGTTTTACTTGATAATCCCTCGTCAAATCTCGCTGCGAGTGATACGGAGAAAGTTCAAAACAAGGGCTGCTTTTATGCTTCAATGCCAAAACACAAACTGGTCTTTTAAATAAAATCTTAATATAAATAAAATTACTGTGACATGTTCACAGTTTCAGAGTAGCCTATATTAGGCTAAATAATTTTTCTGTTATTGGCAATCCTGAAGAGCAGGTAATAACCCTCTCTACTCCATTACTGCAAATGCGATCTGCTGATCTAACAGACACAGTGCAACATGATTTAGAAACGGGAATGAACTTCTTGTTGCTCGTAAAAAATAAACACATTTAATGCAAAACTAAATCAATTTCTTCACTGATTATTTAAACTAACAAATAGTCTTGGAGAAAGTTTTTTGTGTTTTCAAACACAACACGCAGTTTGAATTATGAATAAATGGAGAATGATTGACAAGCTCAGCGGCGGAACTGCTGAACTGAACATGAAGTTAACCATGTGAATATTCAAACTATAGAATGGCTTCAGAAACATTTGGGATATCTTAGGCCTACATGACTAGTTTCTAGTGCCTTATAATAGGCTACCTTCATGGCTTAGTTAGCTTATAAACAGAATATAGCTCACGTGCAGGATCGGATTTGGATCGGTACAAGCTGGCCAATGCTTGATCCAGCAAAAATATGCGGTATTGAACCAATGTCTGATTCAAGTATCTAGATTGGTGCATCCCTATATGCTATATAAGATTAGTGGACTGAGATAGTTTTATTTATATTTAATAGATTTATTTCTTGCATTTTTATTCTGTATTTGGAGAAGCAAGAGATATAATGACCAGAGAAATTACTTGAAAAACATTTATTATTCAGATTCTCTTATGTTTGGAAACTGTGGACTTTTGATGGATAGCTTTGAGAGTGCAACATTCATTGCTTTGTCCAGAAATGGTGAAAAGTTTGTGGACATACTTTTTTTTATGAACAGATTTCTATATTTGCTCCACCCATAACAGGTGCATAAAATCAAACAGAGAAAGTTATATGACCTCCTTAGACAAACATTTTTAGTAGGAAGAGACAAACCCTTTTTTGTTCCAGTATTACAATGCTGTTGTTCATAAAGCAAGATCCATAAAGAGATTATTTTCTGAGTGAAAGAACTTGACCTAAACCCCACTGTACACCTTTGGGATGAATTGGAATGCAGACTGTGTTCCAGAACCCATCAATCATGTTCACTGATGGTTTACAGAACAAATGGAAGCAAATCCCCAACATCTATTGGCCTCCCTAGAATAATGTAAAGAAATAAATACTTTTATTTGACAAGAACATATTAAAGTAATCAGAAAACATTAATAATTAAAAAAAATGTTGTTGCTAAGTTTTCTATTCATCAATTACTTTGGAAAATAATGCATTATGGTTTGCAACAGTTAAGCAACACAACTGTTAAAATCTTTTTTATAATAATACACAGAATATAATATACTAACATTCGTTTCCTCAATATAAAGTTTGCGTTTTACAAACATTTGACACCAAAGCCTGCAATAAGCAGAGGATAACTGATACTGTAATAAATCAAAAATCTTATTGACCCCAAACTTTCAAACAGTGCATGTTCTTGATTTCTCAGAGGTTTAGTTTAATGTGTGGGTCTGTAAATGGCAATGCCACAGTTTTTTTGTGTGTTGTGCTTACTGTCTGTGTTTTTTGTGATTTAGGGGGCTTTCCCTGCTCGTCTGAAATGCGTCTTCATTGTGTCGTCTCCGCTGTGGTTCAGAGCACCGTTTGCGGTACTCCGTCTGTTTGTGAGAGAGAAACTGAGAGAGAGGGTATGTGTTGAGTTCTGGATAAGTAACACTATATGCAAACATTCCTTTTTTTAAATGTCCCTGTTATGTTATTTTACCATCCCCTAAATTATTTGATGTTTTCTTTAAATCCATCCTTAAATTTCCTCAGAACATTTAACATATGTGGTCTTTCTTAACACTTTCTTTCCTACAGCTAACAGGAAAAGTGGATTTGCTTCTTCCATTCTGTATACTGTATTTAACAGTGTGAATTAAACTCTTCAGTCCTCTTTAGTGTAGTGTTTTCATTGGAAGCTCCTGTCACCAAGAACACTAATTCCTTGTGTGTGTGAACACTGTGCAATAAAGTTCTTTTATTGTTTTGAACAGACAGGATAATAAGGAACTTAAAATGCATGGAATCATGGCTTGTTTGTGTGATTTATTCATCTGCATATTTTTTGTATGTCTATGTCTGCAGGTATGCACTGTAAAAGCCCATGAACTGGTCAATCACATCCCAGTCAGCTCCCTTCCAGAACATTTGGGTGGCTCATCACAGTATAGCCACATTGCCTGGATTCAATCCTGCGTCAACTCCAGCCCCAATCACCCCAATAACTCTGCATACGTCACTGGGGATTGCTTGGGGAGTCTGCTCTGCTCCTACTCCATGGAGCACGACCAGAACACCTCTGCTGACCCCTTAACTGCCAAAACGTCAGGGGCCACCTTCCTGGGGGACGGCCTGAACTCAAACTGCCCCATTTTGGACGAAAACAATGCCAATGTGCCGAACCACAGAATGACAGGCCATGCGCATTGGAACGGCTCTGCACTGCCAAGTTTAGGGTCGAATGCCAATGTCTTAAATGGGCGTGGCCGTCAACCGCCCCCACAATCAGACACCCCCCCAGACACGCCCCTGCACCAAAAACACACAGCAGGAGGTGGGATTTTAGGTGTAGGAGGAGCGTGTTTAGATGCCAGTCGGCAGGATGGCAATGGTGCTGAGGAGAGTCAACAGGATGTGGAGTTACTAGAAGACGAAATGGGTGAAGGAGATGGAGTTCCACCTCTCCCACTGAAATCAAGGCCACCACCCTTAAATCACAGCCCCACCCCAGATATGAGCTGGCTACCAGGAACGCTGACGGAAACAACCATGTTGTCAGTTCATGTCGCTGAGCCTGGAGGAATGAGTGTGCAGGATCTGGTGCAGCACGTCAAGCGCAAAAAGAAGAAGGGCATTTATCAGGAGTACGAGGAGATCCGCAAAGAGCCTCCTGCTGGAACCTTTGATTATTCAAAGTAAGTGACGTTTAGGTTTGGGAAAGAGCTGTAAAAATGTTGTTTATAGACAAAGAAGTGTTTGTTTATATGAATTAGGACTGCACGATATATCATTTCAGCATGGATATCGCAATGTGTGTGTCCTCAATAGTCACAGGATATAACCATAACAGAGTGAAACTTAATCATTTGCTTGTGTTTTAAAGGCAGTTTAAAGCATTCAGGCACAAAAAAAGTAACTTTAATGAAAAATAATTTTGCTGAATTATTACAATGAAAACTATACACTATTATTAACCTACCATTTCAACTACCTGGCCTGCATGGTCTTTGTTTTACCCATAACCAAATCATAAATAAAGATAAGTTACACACACATTACCACATGTCAATCACTTTTTTTCCCCGTGGCATGAATAGGCAGAGTGATTTGTGTCGATATAATGGCGTCAACAAACTTGGTTGGTAAAAAAGATGCACAACCAACAGCAACCACAGTATCTTGAGGTTTTCACTAAAATTATTAAGTACAAGCGTGAAAACGAAAGATTGAAGCAGTGTACTGACGCTGTGACACATTACCTAATTAAATATCTCGTTTACCAACTATAGTGAGACGCAATCCAGTGGCACATCCTTAAACTGTCTGACGTGCACTGCTCTCTGGGGTTTTGTGCCTGAAGCACCCCTTACTGAATGCCTGGAGCTCAAACATATGCACATGCTGAAGCGCATGCCAGAGTGTTTGTGGTCACGTAATGTGCGTTTTCAGCGGTATAGTGTGAATGGAGAGCTGTTCGGAAATGCTAGGTAAAACAGTGTGGATGTGGATTGTTTTCGTTCTAAAATGCCATTTTAAAACTAAGACGTATTAGTGTAAACGTGGCCTGAGTGTGTGTTTTTCACGAGCAGGTTGCCGCTGTGACTGGGGTAGGGTGAAGGATGGCGATGCCGGCTTAGCATCGTTGTGTCAATTCGCCATCGGCAATGGATGATGGCATCCTCTATCAACCCAACCCTAACCTGAATACTGTTTTACTCTAATAATAATAATAAAAATAATAATGGTTTCCTCAGTTTAAAATGAGCATTTTACAAACATTTCTTAAGGATTTGATTACAATAAGCAGAAAATAACTAAAACAGTAATGAAAAAATGTTACTGATTATTTGTGTTTGCAATTTGGTTATTTATTTATTTTTTTTACATGATGCACACCCTTACAAATTCACCCCGATCAGTCTAAATGAATGATCATATTCATATCACAAAATTTATTGCAGAAAAATTAAATGTTAAAATGCCAGAGTTTTTCAATATTGTGCAGCCCTAATATAAATGTGTTTATTCTGACAGGAAAGCGTCTAACCAGATAAAGAATCGCTACAGTGATGTGCTTTGCCTTGATCAATCTCGTGTTCACCTATGTCCGCTCAATGATGAGGATGATGAGGTCAGAGTAGTGCCCTTTTCCTTTATGGTCTTCTTCATGGTTGTCATTTTAGTATATTGTTGAACTTTATTATTTACATACTGTTGTAGTATTAATGTTTTGAATTGGATATGATTTATTTATTTATTTGTGGTTAATATGATTTTGTTCTACCTTTTAGAAATTCTTTTTTTAATACTTTTTAAATGATTAAATATGTTAACATTTCTTTTTCAGTTTATATCGTGTTATTAGGTGACGCACCGAAATTATATTCAGGTGCTAAACTAGAAATTCAGGTTGCAAAATTGAAATCTTTATATACTTTTTGTAAAATTAATTGTATTACCATTAGTTTAAATCTTTTGAATGTTAATATTATTTCATATAAGTGAATAAGACAGTCACACATAGTGTTTCAATTGAAAGTATCATAACAATTTGAAAATAAAATTAAACTTTAAATAAAAAAAAATGAATATATTCTACTTTGTTATTTACTGAAAAAAAAAAAAAAAAATATATATATATATATACACACACACACACACACACACACACACACACACACACACACACACACATACACACATACATACACACACACACACACACACACACACTATTAATTATTTAATATTATATATTTGGCAGAATATGTATTTTAACCAAAATTCAGTGAATCCAAAGTTTGTGTAATTTCTTTTCATTTAAGCTTTATATAACTTCAACTATTAAAAAAAGTGACATCACTGGTTTAGTAATTGTTTTCGTTATCTATTTGATTTCAGACATCTGACTATATCAATGCTAGTTTCATGGATGGTTACAAGTGGAGTAATGCTTACATAGCTACTCAGGGTGAGGCTTTTTGATTTACAGAAATCTGTGTGTTGTGAAGCATAGGTTCATTTGACAGATTTTAGTGAATGTATGTAAATGTTTTTGTTTTAGGGCCTTTGCCAAAAACATTTGGAGACTTTTGGCGGATGGTGTGGGAGCAAATGGTTTTAATCATTGTTATGACTACAAGGTTAGTTTCGTTATGTAAAAATAAAGTTGAACTCGCTTTATTTAAAACTGTAAAAAAAATTTTTAATGATGGCAAAACTGTATTTCAGACATAATTATATAAGGATGCAACTAAAAACGTTTGCTTTCTATTCTTTTTAAATTTCAGCTCATCAAATAGTCGTGGAGTATTGTCAATTGCCATAAATATTAAGTACTAAAACTGTTTTTAATATTGATAAAAAAAAATTTGAGCTGCAAAATCAATATTTGAGTCACTTCTGAAGGATCATGTGACATTAAAGAATAGAGTAATGATTGTGAAAATTCAAGCTTTGCCATCTTGGAATAAAAAAAACATTTTTTTTTTTTTGTAGAAAACTGTTTTCTCATGACAAATAATCATTATAATATATTATTATTATATAATATATATATATATATATATATATATATATATATATATATATATATATATATATATATATATATATATATATACATTATAATAAAATGAACTGATCTTAGAGTGTGTGTTTATTCAGATATACATGTTATAGTAATTGTCTAATAAAGTTCTATAACATTTTCTCTGTTTATCTCAGAGTTGTAGAGCGAGGCAGAGTAAAATGTGGGCAGTACTGGCCATTAGAGGCTGGTCGCACTGAGGAGTATGGGTACTTTTTGGTGAGAAATGTCCATATTGAGGTGTTTCAGGACTTCAAGCTATCACACCTGGAGCTGTTCAACACTCAGGTTAGTTTCTTAGTGTAAGCGTTTATCTTGTCCTTCTGTTTTATTATCTTATCTAGAGATCTTCTAAAACTGATTGTCCTATGATTTTTAGCATAATAGAAAGAGTTGACTCTTTTCAAGAGAGATTTTTGTTGTTGATTATTTATTGGAAATAAACAGGCAGATAAAGCAGCTAATGAGTTCAGACTACACAATTTTCAGTCACGTCACAGATGTTTTCACACTGCATGACTATCTGGGGAAGCATTTTGTCGCTGCTTTGTTTACACTTAAGATGGATCGGCAATGTTTTTTACACTGCATGATTTTACAGTAGGAAGAATCGCAGACAACTTTGTCTCTGTCCACAAACTATGTCTCACAGCTGACATGAGAGTACATTGTACATTATTGAGGAATGGGTTAAATGTATAAACAACAAATTGAATAATTTGTAAATTAAGGAAATAATTACCCTTTTGAAAATAGACATGACCAGGTTCTACATATGAGATGTCAAATTGGCCACTCAAGACTTAAACTACACTCATATTTGTAACTTCTGGAAGAATATTTTGACAATAAAACATATTTTAGTAGAATGTATATTTTTAAAAACATTTTTTTCTCAGGAAATATTTTAAGGGAAATATTTAAAGTGTTTTCTGGAGAAATTTTAGAATGTTTATCATTGATCCTATTGAAAGATCTTATGACTTTTAATATCAGTGTTGTTATTTGTATGTTTATTTCTACAATGCATGATTATTAAGAAACATTTATGATTGTAGATTAAATATTAAATACTTGATACAAGTGTTGCCATAAATATAGCCAATGCTGCTGATGTGGAATTAAAATATGAATAAACCTAGATATCCTATAGATCTTCTATTGATCTATTTTTATTCATCCAGCAAGAGCAGCACACATGTATTGGGTAGTTAAAGAGGCAGCTTACATTACTAAACATAAAAAAACAAGTTGGCGAGGCCGTGGCGCAGTAGGTGGTGCTGTCGCCTCACAGCAAGAAGGTCGCTGGTTCGAACCTCGGCTCAGTTGGCGTTTCTGTGTGGAGTTTGCATGTTCTCCCTGCCTTCGCGTGGGTTTCCTCCGGGTGCTCCAGTTTCCCCACAGTCCAAAGACATGTGGTACAGGTGAATTGGGTAGGCTAAATTGTCCGTAGTGTGTGAATGTGTGTGTGGATGTTTCCTAGAGATTGGTTGCGGCTGGAAGGGCATCCGCTGCGTAAAAACTTGCTGGATAAGTTGGCGGTTCATTCCGCTGTGGCAACCCCAGATTAATAAAGGGACTAAGCCGACAAGAAAATGAATGAATTAATGAAAAAAACAAGTTTGGGTTGCTTCCAAGCAACATTTCTGGATTTATTTTTACTCTGATATCAAACCTTCACAGACTGAAGAGTGAAAATAAACCAGAGATTTACAAGTAAAACAAAAACTGGTCTAATCACCTCCATTGCTTGTTTGAAGGTGCCTATTTATTGTAGCAAAACTTTTGAAAGTTATACCACAAGTTGATTTTACAAAAGTATATTCAGGCCAGGGGTGTTCAAACTCTGTCCTGGAGGGCCAGTGTTCGGATGAATTTTACTTTAACTCTAAACAAACACACCTGAACCAGCTAAGCTCTTAAATATACTAGAAACTTCCTGGCAGGTATGTTGAAGCAAGTTGTAGCTAAAGTCAGCAGGAGTTTGGATACCCCTGATCTAGGCCTTCAGTACACAATAATGTTGTTGAAATGTAAATGACAGGCTCTTCTGTTCTCAGACAGGGGAATGTAGGGAAGTGTCTCATTATCTCTACATGAGCTGGCCAGATTTTGGTGTTCCGAAATCAGCATCGGCCATGTTGGATTTCCGGGCACACGTGAAACATAGACAGGAGTCCTCATTACGAACACTGTATCCAGATTGGACGGGACCCCCAGGAGGCCCCCCAGTGGTGGTGCATTGCAGTGCAGGCATCGGCCGAACAGGTAATGCTCCACTTAAATGAATACTTCACCTAAAAATGATAATGACCCAATAATCTACACAGTGTCATGCCATCCTAAGTGTATATAACATTTATTGTTTCAGATGAACTCAATTCAGAGTTATATTGAGCACTAGAGTTGCCATTCTTGTAATGTCAGAATGAATGATGGCCATATTTATAAAGCTTTAAAAAAGCACATTGATCTATAATGGAAGTAATCTATAACACTCCACTGAGTTAATGAATGCTCTGTTTTTTTTCTGTTTTTGTTTTTTTTTGTAAGAAAAAAATACAGATTTAAAAACTCTTATTATTGGCTTCTAGATGTTGACATATCAATATTCGCAAATACATTTTATTATTATAATGAACATGATACTATCCCGGGCTCTTTGTAAACTGTGAATAATTATTTACCTAATCTTTTGTCATTCATTTTAAGAATATTTAAATTGTTTTATTAACGGTGTTCATAACAGAACGAAAGGCTCAGCGAGTTCATATTATTCAGAAACATAACTACAATCAGGCCCAAGATATTGATTAAAATCGATAGGCCTATTTTTCATTAAGAAAAACATTTTTTTACAGCACTCATTTTCACGGGTGCTGTTATTCTGACCTGATGTGAATAGTGTAAGTGTGTGGTTTCCTTGACAATTTGGTTTTGGACCACAATGGGCTATGTGCTCACGCTTCCCTGGCGTCTCTCGTAACTAGGCGACCATCAGACATCCATTGCTTCAGCTCTGACACAACTTTATGGAGAAAAGTAAAAAGCACTGCAGTGTTTGGGTGCGTTGTGTGTGCCTGAGGTAATTTGTCATTACTGCAATGTGTATATTCCATACAAAGTGTGAAGCAGATTGGTTAGTTCTACTTGCATGAATCGTGGTGCGCTTGCGGCATTCGAAGAAGTTCAGATGTTTTCAACTTGGTGTACCTGGAAAATGCGTGGTCATCACTTCCACAACATGTGCGTGTTGCTCTCATGTGCGCATCTTGCAAGTTGCGTGCCTTCATTAGAAATGACAAACTTAGCTTATTAGCACTGCTTACAAGGCATGCGCTTAGCGGCCACATTTTAATAAAACTGTAGCGCTTCATACTGAAGCTTTTTTTTATCGATATTGACAATGGTGTTCGGTCAATAAATATCGATAACGATTTTATCGCCTAGTCCTATTTGAACATTTAATGTGCAATGAAGCAATACAAAGTTCTTTTTGTTTTTATACCTGCAGTGTTTATTGTGATGATTGAAAGCATGTGCCTAGTTGTACGATTATAGAATGAAGATGTGAAACTATTGTTTTATCTGCACTACAGTGTGTTATACAGGTTTCTTTTTTCTTTTCTTACAGGCACGTTTTGTACTTTAGACATTTGTCTCTCTCGTCTGGAGGACATCGGGACAGTGGACATTAAGCAGACGGTGCGTCGCATGCGGACACAGCGTGCCTTCAGCATCCAAACATGGGACCAGTACTATTTCTGTTATAAAGCGGTGATCGAGTATGGCCAGCAAAGCGGTCTGCTGCAACCAGTGGAGTGGTCCGACACAGAGCTGGAGACTGACAGCGAGTGAATCAGGAATAACAGGACTCAACGGCACGGAAGGAAAACAAGCCGTCTTTTCCCCTCTCCAGGCTACAGGTAGACTCCACCGTCACCTCTTTTCTCCAGAGGAACATGCGGAGATACTGAAAGAGGAGCGGAGGATGCTTTTATCCTGCCACTTTTAAAGCCCTTTTATTTTACTCAGATCTGAACCAGATCCAAGACTGTGGCTTTGTGTACGAGTTGTAGCATTTTATTTTCGTTTCGTTTGTTTGTTTTACTTTTTTATATAAATGTGTGTGTGTATATATATATGTATATATATGTATATATATATGTATATATATGTATATATATATATATGTATGTGTATGTATGTATATATATGTATATATATATATATATATATATATATATATATATATATATATATATATATATATATATATATATATATATATATATATATATATATATATATATATATAAATACTGACTTGCACATGTGGGTTGACAAACTTGAAAAATCCAGTTTATCGTATTATCTGCTCTCTTTATTTTTATTATTATTCTCAACATGTTGTCAATTTAATATCACTCGACTTGGGGGTTAAATTCACACTTTTTATCAAAAGTGTAAAAACGTAAAACTTGAATATACTTTTTTCAAAAAATCTTCTTCTCACATCAAAATAGCAATTCTCTTCATGTCTGAACAGGTTTCAACAGTTTTTGTGTTTCGTTAAAACTAATCTTCAAGCCAAAGGTATGGTGTCGAATGCTTGGATGTATCTGTAATGATCGTCGTGACTTAAACCCTTGTATATCTTGTAACATACATTTATATATTGTGCATAACAACTTTTGAAAAGCCTTGTTTTAATATAATACTCTTTCTTCGAAAATATGTGTATCTATATATATAAATATATATATATAAAGAGTATATGTAAAGTTATATGTCAGGTTAAAATCATATAAATAGAAGAAGAGGAACACAACTATGCCATATATGGTATATCATCATGTTGATTGTTGTGGTCCTGCAGATTTGATTCTCATTTAACCTTGATTCATGATTATCCAGCCTTAATGCAGGGCGTCTCTCACTCAGAGCATCTCAGCTATGAGATTCTCTCTGAATTCTGGCCCTTAACCTTCAATCACTGCCTTGCTCCCTCTCAAGTATGAACTTTGACTTGTTTTTTGTTTGTTTTTTAATCCTTCCACTTTGAGCCCCAAGTTGAAGTATCTTGACCCGCACGGACACTGCTTCTGTTACCATGATTCCCTTCAGTGTCTGTACTGATGTGAAGTGTTGGAGTCATTTGTTACAAGTGAACTGGGTCTTCAGCTGTGTGAAGCTCTGGGGCTGAAACGCCTCCGTTTTTGTGCCTTCAAGTTTTCGTAGCTCAACGAGTAGAACAAGTTGTTTCACACACACATACACACACACATAGGGAATTTAATTTAATCTCAGGGGTATACTTAGTGTTTTCCTGCTCTCAAAACATAAACAGAAAAGAAGCAAGCAAAAACCTATAGACATGTTATTTTGGATTTTATGCAGCATCCTGTATTCTTTTCTGTTTTTATTTATGCCTTTTCAGCAGTATTCAAATTTGAATGTTGGTACGACAAAATGAACAGACGTGATGTTTTTGTTTTTTCAAAGGATAAGCTAAAGAAATCAAACTGCAAGACAGAAGACTTTTCCGTTTTCGTTTTGTTTCTCATTAGGTTCAGTTCAACGTGGAATTGTTACTCAGCGTTGTGTTTTGGGAGATCTGTTATTTTTCCAGATGCCTGTAGCAAAACCTTTTTTCATACTCTGTGAACTGTTAAAAGGGCCAAGACTTAAACACACACATGTGACTGAACAGCACGGCTGCCACTAACAGTTTTTAACTCTTTGCCAATCAGAAGACTGAAAGAGGTTTTAATGTAAGAAAACCAAAAAGGAAAAAAAAAAAAATAGGAAATGAACTTGAATGTTATGATTACAATTAGAAGAAGAAAATCACATTGTTTTTATTTTGGAGAACTATGGAATGCTTTCTCCTGGAATATCAATGCTTGTATGATGATGATGGTAGTGAATGTGTGAACGTCCCACTCATCTAATGTTTACTGATTTCTCCAGTGCAGGTGTGTTTTATACGGCTGATTCCTGCTTGAATGAGACTAAGTGGGACACACTTGGCTGTGATTGATTAAAGCAGTCGGGAATGCAATGTGAGTGTTTTATTTGTTCTTTTGGTGCCCAAACTTCTTGTGATCGAGTAATGGCCTTGTTTTTTTTTACCTGACATCTGCACTAGTGTAGTAGTAAACCTGAATATTATTCTGAAACTGAGCATGTGTTTGTGTGTTAAATAAGATGACGAGGACTGAAGTGAAATATGACTGTATTGAAATATACAACCATTGCTTTTTCAGAAGCGAGTGATTTATTTCAGAATTGGATACAATTTGGGCTATTTTGAGCCAAACAGGACACTACTTATTGGTTTTGAGTGCTTGAAACCGGTCAGTATGTCTGTTTTTTTAAATATATATAATGTAAATCTAAAAATGTGTGCGTGTACATCAGGGGTGTAGATTTAGCATGAACAGAGGGGACACATCCCCACCAATGTCCACCAACCATTGAAATGTGCCCACTAATAATTTACTTCGTCAGAAAAACTACCGCCTGTGCTCCATCTTTTATTAAAGCTGATATATAAGACATGTTTCATTTGCACTGTGGCTAAAGTAAACTGAAGTCTTTATTAAACTCGCTCTTTATCAGTTAATAAACATTCTATTAACATTACATTATCAGCCCTGTAGCCAGCTTATTGAAAGAGGTGCTTGTTTTTTTTTCTGAAAAACTGATTTTTATTTATTTTTTTTTGCAGTTATTCGCCAGATTTTCTATTGAATTACGAGGTATAAATATTGCGTTTTAGAAACATTTTAAGAACAAATTTTTGCTGGATTATCTTGTCGAATGATAACCATCATAACCAGACTTTTTGATATTTCCAACCATTTTATCAAATTGCTTACTGTAATATTTGACTATTTTAACTGTTTACTAACAAGTGTGCATTTAAACAAAGTTTTATATCACAGTTTTTTTTAATATATGAAATTTTGAATAAATAAATATAAAAGATACTTAATTTTAAAATACTCATTAATTATCATAATTTATTTATTTATTTTTAGAAATCTGTTTAAACTTGTTTTAAAGTAAAAACTGAAGCCTACAGCCAAATAACAAACTGGCCAGTGCATTCAACTTTCCCATCTGAATTTGGCCATTTGAATAGGAACAATTCAAACAGTAATAATCCAACTTTGGTCTTTAGAACCACCTGAATCCCCTTGGCTATGGGCCTGACTGCTAATATATATTTTTTAAACTGGCCAGTTGTTAATTTCTGAAAATAAATGCTGTAATGATTCTATTTTGTATGTTCAATGTTAAAGACAAGTTAATATTATATTTAAAATAAAAGAAGTGAGCATTTTACCATTAATAACAAATCCGAGACCACTTCAAAGTTATTAGTTGTCTGGAGTTGCTTTCCAGAACTAGGTTTCCTGGTGGCTTCTACAGTGATTTTAGATATCATGCATGCAGTATTTTTACATGAATTAAAAATTGCACCCAGTATTTATTCTAAATGTACAGAAACCTTAAACCTATTTGTAATCCATTTTTTAAGTGTCGGCCGAGTGCTGAATTGACATTAGAGGGCGCTAAAGACTTTTATTGAGGCAATGAGAATAAGGCATATCCTAGTGTAAAAAAAGAAAAGCCTATTTAAAAAGCACCTTACATTTGTTTAACCCTGTAAAGCCTTGTCTGACCAAAAAAACAACAAAATTTTATTTAAATGAATATTGAAAAATATATTTTGATAAATTGCTTTTTTGTTGAGTGTCAGATTGAATAGGCCCAGCAGTTTTATATCTCATTATATATGATGTAGAATTACAGAAAAGTTTTATTGAGAGGGTGTGTCAGCTTACAACGTAATAAAGGGATGTTGTAGGCTAGTTTAAAATATATAGATAAAATGCATATGCCTTATATAGGCCATGTCGTAGCCTAAATGTACACGGTATTTTTAAGTACACACTAGGCTCACTATATCCTTCATCAGTTTCAATAATGTCCAGCTGCAGTTATTGATGACATGCAAAATTCAGATGGAGAACAGGAAGTGATTCTTCTACACAGCAATCACTATCAGAACAGCAAAATGTTTCTGTTTTATGTCGTTTATAATTGTTTAAATCTGCCGAAATATAAAAATTACGAACAGCGTTTATAGAACTCCAAAAGGTTTTTCCTCACAAAGAGAAAATTCAAGAAACATGCTGAAAACAGACTACTAAAATCTAGATTGTTCTTTTTTAAATATTTCCCAAATGATGTTTGAGCAAGAAAATTTTCACAGTATGATAATATTTTTTCTTCTGGAGAGTGTCTTGTTTCTTTTATTTAAGCTTGAATAAAAGCAGTTTTTAATTTTTAGCCCCTTTAAGTTATTTTTTCGATAATCTACTGAACAAACCATCGATATACAATAACTTGCCTAATTACCCTAACCTGCTTAGTTCACGTTATTAGCCTAGTTAAGCGTTTAAATATCATTTTAAGCTGTATAGAAGTGTCTTGAAAAATATCTAGTAAATACTGTCATCATGACAAAAAGATAAAAGAGATCAGTTATTAGAAATGAGTTATATAAACTATTATGATTACAATGGTCTCACTGAAAAAATGATGTCTGGAAAACTGTTGCAAACAATTTATTTGTGTTCAATTTAAACAAACAAATTAAATTTAATAAAATTTAACTTAATTTCTTTGTTTAAATTCAGCCCAAATAAATTGTTTACAGCCATTTAATGTGAAAAATTAAAAAAATGTAGTAAATCCAAGGAATCATCTCTGAATTTTTTTCAGTGTAGTTCTGTAGACTATCGAAAAAAAAAAAATTGCTTAAAGGGGCTAATAATGTTGTCCTTAAAATGGTGTTTAAAAAAATTATAACTGCTTTTTTTCTAGACGAAATAAAACAAAACAAAATAGACTTTCTCCAGAAGAAAAAACATTATCAGACATACTTTGAAAATTTCTCGGCCCTGTTAAACATAATTTGTAAAATATTTAAAAAGAAAAAAATTCAAAGGGTGGCTAATAATTCTGACTTCAACTGTATATATATATTTATAATTTATAACAACTAGGCATGTGCTGGTATAAGATTCTGCCAATATGATAACCCTGGATAAAAATACCAGTTTCACAGTATTGTAATCACTGCTCTAAAATATGCTCTTATTAAATGTATGGCTACTCCCCATTGAACGCTATGTTTTGGTTCAAGAAACATTTAGAATATTTTGGAACCGTAAACATGTCTAAATAATTAAAACAAATCACAGACCTTAGCTATATCATTAGTTTGAAAAACAGATTTATTTCCACTTGACAAGGCATCTTTGGATAACTCTTTTTTCTTTGGATATAAACAAGCCACTGCACTGTTAGGTCTATAGGATGCTTTTGTGTTGGTGCATTATTAAGTGTTTTTATGAATCCTGAGCTGACCAGATGCTTTACATGTGGAGTAGAGTTGAACATTTCCACAAAAATCCCTGATCGACCTTCATTTAAATTAACGATTGTTAACCTTAAAAATGTGTCTGCTTTATGGCATGTAAATTACATTAAAAACGCAAGCATCCCAACCTAATGAAAGTCTATTTTTCTTTGAGTAAAAGTCTAGTAAGATTGTAAAAAAAAAAAAAAGCATCAACTGCTTGGTGTCAAATAAACAATTGTTATTGTTTTGAACGCTTCAAATGCTAATAGTATTACACAAAACAATTTACAAATACTTCTTAAAGATCATGTAATGGACTTAGAAATGTAGTTATCAAATATAATACAGTGGTCTTTTAGCATTACAACATTTGAGTATTCTTGCATAAGCTGGTTGGTCAATATAAACGAATCACCCACTAAAGTAAATGGAAAAATCTCTCAAATCAAAAGCAAATAAAGACACGTTGCGCTATTCTTACCATTTTATTTGTAACAAATAAAACTTTTCCAATACAATTGTATTCTCACACATCTGTCCTTACAACATAAAGTAGGAAAATTAAAAAAAGAAAACGTCCTCTGAAATATTTACATTTACTACAAAATCAGAGGTAAAAGATTTCCCTTTTGTGTTTCACATTAATCGATGGGTGAAATTGTAAAACCACTCACAACGTCTGACAATATGAAAATGGTGATACAATGCATATTTGGTCAGATTACATGATATAGATTGTGCTAGTTTATTTTTCACATGGAACAATGTCATAGTCATGAATCATCAAAATCAGACGGTGCCTTCGCATTGTACAAATGGGGACTGTCATGCACTGGAAAATAGATGTGTTTGTTTGTTTTTTTCCCTTAAAACACTGACATTGAGATTAGCAGAGAATGTCCCATTAAACAAATGCTAATAATTGATATATATATCCTCTTGAAAAAATAAGCTTAGCTAGTTTCAACAAAAGTTGAAATTTGAAAAACCCTGAAACTTGGTTCTGATAAGAATATGCTGTAAAGTGTACTAAAATAAACAAGGTAGATAGCGGAAGATTTGTCAGTTAGAATCTCAAATACAACTAACTCAAATCTGGTAGAAAAAAGGCTGCAAAGAAATCGAAACATTTCCTTCCATCGAAAGTGAAATGAGCTGAAGTTCTTGGTGACCAGACTTCCTTGAAAATTACTAAATGATGACTATTAGCACTGGACTAGAAGGAAAAACCACTCATATTAGACCACCCTGTCATCTAAAGTACAACAATAACATTATGCGCATACTGTCTTAAGCTTTGGAACCAAGACTTTTTGTTTTCGTCTTAACATGCACACACTGTGAGCGACACTGTGAAATTCATCTCATTCATTAAAAAGAACATTCTGTGTTGAAGAAAGTGTAAGGGTTAGTGCATAGAACAAGAGTGCAGCCATTTCCAAAACCACAACCAGACTGTCATAAACCATACATGGGCCATTTTTATTTCTGAGCGCTAGATCTCCTTTTTAAATGCGTTTAGGAATCTAATTCTGGATCAAACTTACGATGAAACTTGAAATTTTAACTTTAGTTGGTTTTAAGCAACGCTTTTCGAAATCCCCCTCCTTTCAAATGTATGAAAAAACAACTATTTTACATATTGTCAGAAAAGAGGATCATCCAGCCTGATCTCAAGAAGAAAAATAACTATTTTACGTTTTGTCAGTTTAGTGGCTAATTCATAGTGGTGGGCAAAGAGAGGCTTCGTAAAACACAACCAGTCAAAGCAAATTTATTGAAGCTTCAAAATGTTTTGAAACCTCTCTACAGTGACACCTAGTGGTCATTTTTTTGTGTATTGCACTGGAACAGCTTCAGCAAAGAAACAGTTTAGCAAATTGAGGTATTAAACTCCACATTGAGTTGAAGCTTCAAGTGATTTAGGGAAGCGGTAAGAGTTCCTGACTAGCATGCAGAGATAATGGGTTTGAACCCAAGGTGATGCAGCTATAGATGTTAGATTTGAAATGCTCTGTTCTTAACATCGGTTTGACATCCAAGTGAACACTTTATAAATAAATGTCTTGTTTTGGTCGTAAACTGTTCTTGCTAGATCAGATACGGTTGCGACCGGAAGTAAATGGGAATTCTTTATATTATTCAAAAAATTTCCTATTTATTGTATTTTATTAACGTCTACTCAAACCCTAAACCCAACCATCACTGTCCTGTAAAAATATGAATTATTGTTATACAGTGTTTCAAAAATGATGCTATATTGATGGCATATCTGCAGCTGGATCCTATTTAGACTACACCATTAAACAGTAGCATTATTAAAATACATAAAATCATCATTTCAGAGTATTTGTACAAGCCATTTGTACAAGCCATTTACAGCACATTAACTAGGTGCACACACACGGTCCCCCTAAGAGACAGAGGCTGCATCCGAAACCACATACTTCCATACTATACAGTACGCTAAAATCAGTATGCGAGCCGAGTAGTATGTCCGAATTCATAGAATTTGAAAATCAGTATGCAGGAAGTACCCGGATGACATTACTTCGGCGAGATTCTGAAGTCCGCATCCCATGCACACTGCGCTATCCCATAATGCCCTGCGAGAGAATTCATGAATGGGAGTGAAGCGGCGCAACTGACGCAGGTAGGACACATGATGATGACAAAATGGCGTCCGAATTTCATTTATACTTCTTACATTCATACTGTATAGAACATACTTTTCTAACGGACAAGCAGTACGTTTAAATTCAAATACAGTACCTACTGAGTAGTAGGCGGTTTCGGACGCAGCCAGAGTGTTGTCCTGACCCTGCGTCAAATGCAGATTTGCCATGTTTCGAAATGCTTCTGAAATAATCGATGCTTTGAATCCCTTAACTTACGTGACCAGGTGTTTCGAAACATTTTAGTCATGTGACCTGTGTGTTTTGAATCACCTTAGTCATGTGACCTGGGTGTTTCAGGTCATGCTTCGGTGCAATGTTTCGAAACACTTGCGCTTCAGGAACTCGACACTATGTCGAAACATAAGTTTCACGTCAGACATCCCTAATAATTTATACAAGTTCCAATTTACAAAAATGTACGATTTTAAAAAGGTGTGGCACATAACCGTCATTGAGGGATGAGCAAAACGTTTTGTATGAGATTATGAATTAGCCACTAATTCAATAAGTTATGAATTGCAGTGAGATCATGTTGAATAATCCGATTTTAACTTTTAAATTTTTTAAAGTAGGTCAGCCGCACTTTGGGGGATGAGCAAATCACACTTAAATATACGAATGAGAACGCATAAATTAATACGAATTAGTCACTAAATGAAAACTAAGAATATTAACAGACATGAAAACGGACATAAACATTTAGAAATGAGCGTTTCCTGCAGCAGTATGGATTAAAACGCAAAACTGTCTCGTTTTAATACTGATTTTCAAATACAAATAATTGATACTGTAATATTCAGTACACGTAATGGAATATGGAGATCTTTTGGCCCATTATAGATACAATAAATGTGTGTCCCAAATGTACAATTTTAACCCAACCCCACCTCAACATTGGGGGATAAGAAAAACATCCTAAATTGTATGAATGAGATCGTACGAATTAGCCACTAAATTAATGTTACGAATTGCTGTGAGATAGAGTTGGATAATCTGATTTCATTCAAATGAAAACGTACGATTTTAAAAAGCAGGTCAACCCCGGATTGGGGGATGAGCAAATCACACTTAAATGTACAAATGAGAACAAACAAATTAATATTAATTATCCACTAAATAAAAACGTTACAAACTGCCGTGAGATAAAAAAAAATAAATAAAAATCGCATCATCTCTGACAATGCGATACAATTAATAAAAATACAGACATTAACATTCAGAAATGAGCAATTCCTGCAGCAGTATGGACTGAAACGCAAAACTATGTCTTGTTTCAATACTGATTTTCAAATACAAATAATTGATCCTACGATAATCAGTACACATGTAATGGAATATGGAGATCTCTTGGCCCATTATAGATACAATAAACGTGTGTCCTCTCAAAAATAGACACGTATTGGCTTTCCATAATATAATTGTCTAGTCATCTTGGCAGTACTTCACTTGAACGAACAAACCGCCTTGGTGTTTGGTGTGAAATATATTGTAAAATTCACTCTGGCGGAAATAGCTAGTATTTATTTATTTATTTAGTACATAAAAGCAGATTCATATCCATAAATGTGAAACGCATAACTTTAATAGCGAACCATTTTAAACATGTGACTATGATAAGGCACTACCAGTGTCGAATGATCCATTATGTTATTGTTTCTGAACACGTCAACCTTCTGTTGTAGCGAGTCTGGTGCCATTCAGCCTTCGAACAAACCAACAAAACCTCTAAAATAGTTGTTTTGGTCAACAGTAGTGAAAATAAAAATCTGTTTTACTGCAATCAGTACTTTTCTTAACGTATGTGCAACTGACAAGTATTTACTCACATAGTATAAATATCACTCAATACATTGACGCTTTAGATATATATGTATATTTATATGTGCCAATATGCGTAATAACATTTTATTTTATACTTTATATAATATAAGATTAATGAGACCATATAATTACAGTGAGAATATCTCTAATACTTGAGTGTTTTAAAACTCGAAGGTGCGATCAATAATCACGTTCAATATTGCACAGCTTTTGAGACAAATCTCCATTTTAACTTACTTTTTTCTCGTCTTAAATCTGTGATAGATTTGTACGTATATATCTACGCTTGTGTGTGTGTGCGCGCTACAGATAAACAAACAGGAAACTGGCGTAAGCACCAATACTTAGGCTGTGTTGTTGAATTTCATTTTGTACGAATCACTTAAACAAGTGAGTTGGTGGATCCGTTATACAAACTGGTGACTAAAAACAGTGGCAACTCTACACTCGGACTGCATCCTGTTATAAACATGACTGTTGTTTTTTTTGCGAGGGGTTTGGTGGTTCATAAATTCGGACAAGTATAAAGTAGCATTCAACTGTTTGATTGTTGTCTCTTCTAATGCTTTCGGAGTCTCACTGGTCTATTGAATCGGTCCAGACAGCACATACCGATTTCCTCCAGTCCCAATATGACTTGACAACTTTCAGTTCTATGACTGGAGCTGCAATTTGTGGTGACAACGCAGTATCGCAGCTGACCTCTCTGGCTGACTGTTAAACTGTGTGCTGTCTGGAGGAATCAAACAGACTCTTGAGCAGCAGAAAGAAGCTGTCGGATTGATCAGACGCAGGTCTCGCTGTGATGTTGTGGTGGTGGTGATGATGATGAGGTGGCTCTTGGTCCAGGGGAAGGTTTTATGTTGCATAGTGATCAAAACTGCCCAGGTATTCCAGCCCTGCTCGATAGCAGAACTGGTACTGCTCCTGTGGAGGGAGAAACAAACACACACATGTCATTTGATTGTGATCTAAAACCAGTTTACACCTCAAAGTAATAGTAATATATAGTAATAAATAGTAAAAGTAATACTGAGAAAAAGTTGTGATTGTAAAAAAAAGAAAAGAAAAGATGTAATTATATGGTATAAAGCAGTGTTTCTCGACCACGTTTCTAGAGGACCACCAGCTCTGCACATTTTCTATGTCTCTATAACCAAACACACCTGATTTAGATCATCAGCTCATTGGCAGAGACTGAAAGAGCTGTAATGAGTGTGAGATTTAAAGAAGAAATCCAAAACATGCAGTGTTGGTGGTCCACCAGGAATGTGGTTGAGACACACTGGTCTAAAGGAATGATCAAATTATTCACTGAAGTATTAAAGACAGAAACACAGGCTTACCTCTGTCTGCACCATGGCTGGTCTTTGAGTTCGCAACATTTTGACAGTCTGGAAGATATCGACTACTCCCTCATAACGCATCCTCTCCAACACTATACTGAGAGTGATAAATACACCTGTCCTTCCAACGCCAGCACTGCACACACACACAAAACATAGAAATCTTAACTCCCAAAACACATTACAGTATCATCTGGATGTTTAAGGCTTGAGATTAAATGACATTTTGAATCAGGACAATATGTCGTTACATTTTTTGTGTGTAATCATGATAAAGTCATTTGATTTTCTATTCAGTACAGTGCAACAGGAAAGTATTCAGAGCGCTTCACTTTTCCCACTATTTTCATGTTACAGCCTTATTTCAAAATGGATTAAATGAATTTATTTCCTCAAAATTCTAAACACAATACCCCATAATGAAAATGTGAAAAAATAGATTTTTAAATTGTTGCAAATTTATTAAAAATAAAAAACCTGAAAAATTCCATGTTCATAAGTATTGACAGCCTTTGATGTGGAGCTCTAAATTGAGCTCAGGCACATTCTGTTTCCACTGATCATTCTTGAGATGTTTCAGCAGCTTAATTGGAGTTCACCTGTGGTAAATTCAGTTGATTGGACATGAATTGAAAAAGCATACACCTGTCTATATAAGGTCCCAGAGTTGACAGTGCATGTCAAAGCACAAACTAAGCATGAAGACAGAGGAATTGTCTGTAGACTTCCAAGACAGGATTGTCTCGAGGCACAAGGCTGGGGAAGGTTACAGAAAAATTTCTGCTGCTTTGAAAGTTCCATTGACCACAGTGGCCTCCATCATCCGTAAGTGGAAGATGGACCAGGACTCTTCCTAAAGCTGGTCAGCCATCTAAGCAGAGTGCAGGGGAGAAGGGTCTTAGTCAGGAAGGTGACCAATAATCCGATGATCATTCTGTCTAAGCTTCAGCGTTTTTCTGTTGGGAGAGGAGAACCTTACAGAAGGACAACCATTTGTGCAGCAATCCACCAATCAGGCCTGTAAGGTAGACTGGCCAGACCGAAGCACTCCCTGTCAGGAATTTGCCAAGAAGCATCTGAAGGACTCTCAGACCACAAGAAACTAAATTCTCTGGTCTGAAGAGACTAAAATTGAACTCTTTGAAGTTGTAATTGTACTCCTTTGGATGAGGCGTTAGGTTAGGAGAAAACCAGGCATCTCTTATCACCAGGCTAATACCATCCCTACAGTGAAGCATGGTGGTGGTAGCATCATGCTGTGGGGAAGTTTTTCAGCAGCAGAAAGTGGAAGACTAGTCAGGAGAGAGGGAAAGATGAATGCAGCCATATACAGAGACAACCTGAATGAAAACCTGCTTCAGAGTGCTCTTGAACTCTGACTGGGTCGACGTTTATCTTCCAGCAGGCCAATGACCCAAAGCACACAGCTAACATATCATTGGAGTGGCTTCACAACAACTCTGTGAATATCCTTGAGTGGCCCAGCCAGAGCCCAGACCTAAATCCTATTGAACATCTCAAGAGAGATCTGAAAATGGCTGTTCACCGCTGTTTCCCATCCAACCTGATAGAGCTTGAGAGGTACTGCACAGAGGAATGGGCAAACATTTCCAAAGACAGGTGTGCCAACCTGGTGGCACAAAATATTAAGCAAAGGCTGTAAATACTCATGTACGTGTCATTTTTTCTGGTCTTTTATTTTTAATAAATCCGCAACAATTTCAAAAACTATTTTTTCACATGTCACTATGGGGTATTGTGTGTAGACTTTTGAGGAAATAAATGATTTTGATACATTATGGTATAAGGCTGTAACATTAAAAAAATGTGGAAAAAGTAAAGTAATATGAATACTATGAGTAATATGAATTTATAATTTTTTTTTGCATATAACGAGACTACTAAGAAGTGTTTTGACAAGTCAGAGCCACCGTACTCCAGTGAATGGCACAATTTAGAACGGTGTCTGATTTGATTTACTTTGTTTCGCAGCACAAAGCACTTGATGACATACAAAGTGGAGAGTAAAGAGAGATGTTATATGAAGACAGATTGTGGTCTTCTTTTATTGATGTGGCTCCTAAATTCACAAGCAAAGCATCAGACTGACAACCTAAAGTAAACTATGAATCACTTGGTATAATCCCGCAGCTCCTTGATTAAAGGCAATTGGTAATTCTGCATCAAGTCTATGTGGATTTGGTATAGCCTTCACATACCCTCTGCCAGACTCTCTGAAAAATGTAACTACAAGTAACAATGACATGAAGCGCACAATTTGATTGGCCTGCTTTGTAGTGGTGTCAAGTGTGGGCTGAGAGTTTAACAACCCTTGAGTACTAAAGAAGAGCTCCGGATGGATCCCTTTGTCTTGTGTTTATTTTATGATTAAAATTGTTTAACATTTGCCAGTTGCTGCCTCTTTCTCCCTGAATGAGTGCAAGTTTGAGCTGTTGTTATAGTAGCATTTCTAAAGTAAACTCAAAACATCCGCAAAGAAACGTGATACAGTGAAACATAGAAACCCTACTGCATACTAGAATACAAACACGGTGCAAGGTATGCACTATGGTGTACGGTAAATACTCGACACAAAACTATAAATCAGGGTAAAGGAGGTTAAACTTGTTTGCCTCTCTTCACAATCTCTAGAATCTTCGAATAGGAAAAAAACATGCAAATATTTTGGATTTTAACATTAGAACTACAGATGGGGTCATTTTGACCGCTTTTAATTTTTGCAACTTAATGACTTTGTTGAAATAAAACAGACATATCTATAATACCCTGACTCTTTCTAAATATGTGCATATTTCTTTCCTACATAGTTATTTTATTAAAATGACAAAAAGCTATCAGTATTTCTACCTAAAACTATCATAGCAGTTAAAATGGCCGCATGCATTTTAGTATCTGCTACTTTTCCCTGTGATTTTTAAATATGCATGCCTCTGTTGCCTAGCAACTTCTTGCTAACAAAATCATAACTTTCTGCAAGCAAAAACATCATTTTACTTCATATATGTCTTTCGAAACAGCATTTAGGAGCCATATGTTTACTTTATTTTAAGGTTTATGTTGTTAAACATGATTTCTTTCATTTGCACCTCTTTCATATTTGCACCTCCTGCAGGCCAGAGGAAGCTTAAAACCCTGGGCGTGGCCCACTGGAGAAGGGCCTGCTGGGAGCGCATGGTCTTTAGACCTTACCTTCAGTGTGTTGGTGGCCAAAGTTGTTTGATGTTTATTTGATATAATTTTTTGTTTAAATTAACTCTACAATAAACAGAAACAAAGACTTGTCGTTCCATGTACTATTTTTTTAAATAGGGAATCGTCTAAACCCCTCAGCAGACCCAAGATGTGACTAATGTGGAATTTTGATTAAGGGTAGTCACAACACAGCATATTAAGTGTTGTGAAAAAGCCTTCTCCCGTGCTTGTGAAAGTGAAAATGAAAGTGAGGCGTGGAGATTGACGGGTGGTCTAATGTTACTTGCCTAACTATACATTTATAGGCTGTTTTATCAAAAAAAATTTTTTTTTTTGGCGATGACTAAATTAAATAGGAAGACAGCCATTCCAAGCTTAATTTTAATATCTCAATAGAAACTTGATGTGACAATATGACGTCTTATATAGGAACGGTCAGAATGACAACTATGGTACTTTTAGTAGTTATAGATATTTGGTAGTTCCAGTGTTAGGAAGGAGAATATAGTCAGTCAGTAATATTAACAAGTAGAAATTTAAGTACGATTAATAAATGTGAAAGAATTGTTCATTCGCAGTTCATGTTACAGAACCTTACTGTAAAGTGTTACAATTACATTTCAGATTTTCCTCACCTGCAGTGTACTGTGATTGGCCCATCCTGACCGAACTGTTCTTTTGTTTTGTGCACTTGACCAATGAAGTCAATGAACCCTTCGCCAGATTTTGGCACACCCTGCTCTGGCCAATCCGTGAACTGAAACTGCCGGACTGTTCTGGATTGTCCATCCTTAAAGAGAGAGAAAAACCAATAAGATACATCAGCATTTCAACCAGGGGTCTGTGTGGAAAAGTTATATAAAACTGTATTACAATTTTCATAACTATTAAATAATTTCTAACCTGCCAGCTAATGAGTTTTAAGGGTTGGATAATTTTGTAATGTTGATTCATGTTGAAAATTAAAAATTTATATCATGTATTTGAGAAAACCTAGAATTTTTTAATGCTTAGACTCACTTTTATGCTTAAAAAGTGGAAATTCCTAAGCTAATGAATCATGCAAACCAATTATTTTGACTGAATCGTTACAAAAATGACTTAAAGAATCAGATTTTCTCCATGCATCTATATACTGAATTGTATGAAGGAATTTCAGAATCAAGAATGCACCTACAGATTAGACAGTGTGTTAACATGGATTACAAAACCCATCAAATACATGAATTTAACAATCAGAAAATGTGTATTCACTCCATGCTCATATTTTTCATAAGAAAAATTATGACTGTTTTAAAAAAAGCTTGTAAATGAGTATTTCACACACCCTGGCGTCTGTGACTTTAAACTCTCGGAGTATATACTGAGGCATGTTGTATTCCGCCATGGGATCCACAACAAAGTACTGGTATCGGGCTGATCGGTCAGACGGCCAGTACTGATGACATTTCTCCTGCATCAGACACAAGACACACATTAGCATCAGGGTTACTAACAGTTACCAAAATGTAAATGATTAAAAAATGTTTGGTTAATAAAAAAGTGGTTTTGAAACCTAAATATAATGGACTACAAAAACAGTCCAAGGTACTCTAAAAGTAGGTGAGTTAAAAAGCCTTTATTGACGTGGCTATTGTTTAAAAAAAAAAAACAGCTCTATTGAGCTCCCCACTCATACATTTTGACAAAACTTGCCGTCATCAGGGTGACAATATTCATGTGTCTTGAGTTCCAGTGAACACTCATTTAAACACATTTGACACCGCTAACTTTTCACTTACTTTTTGAGTGCTTTGGATGTATAATTTTTGTGTATTTTTATGAATTCCCCAGCCATAGATCCCCAACACATCAATTACCCATGAAGCACTTTTTGTTTGATTCTGGATAATAGATTACAACTGAAATATATTTTAGTTAATCTCCAAGACAAAATTACTAACTGAACTGAATAAAAAGCTAAAGATAAACATAATAATAATAATAATTATTATTAATAATAATCAATGAGTAATAAAGCAAAAAAGTCATAAAATAAAATTTAATAAAAATGAAGCTAAAATTAATATAACTAATTATAACTATATAACAATATTTGGTTTTATACTATTTATACAGTATATATATTTATAAAACAGTTCTGTCTGGTCCTCGAATCTGATTGGCTGATAGCCGTGCAATATTCTGCAATAACAGCCTCTTCACCTTTCTGTATTACTCCGCACAGATAGAGTGACAGCAGTTTGATAAATATTGCTGCTGTTGGACAACAATGCATTTTTGAAGCTTTTTAGGCAAGCACGATTAGATTGCAACTATGCAGTTTATTTATTAGGATAATGCCTTTTTTAAATAGATATAATTTCTGAGAGACAGCGCGTTGACAGCGAAAACGTTTGACGTACCACTACAAGATGGCGACAGAGAGCGCATAATAAGCCAATTAATAAGCCAATAAGCCAATTTCAAACTACACCTGATCAAATCATAATAAATCAGGTAAATGACATTCTAAGATGATCTGTCTCTTTTGGATGTTGTAGTGCTGTATTTATACCAAAGTAATCTTAAAGTGTTTCTGGTAGTACTAAGAGTAGTAGTAACACGTGTTTGCTTTGGCTTTTTCTGGGCTAATTATTGTGATATCCCGATTGCAACAGAGAAATACTGGGAATTGTCTCTAGACTGATGGCATTTCATGCCGTTCAGCTTTACAATCTTAAAATGTGAGCATAATAACCTGTTTTGTCATCACTTTAGATATTATGCTAGAGAATCATTCTAAAGTGATGTTGGTGAATGAGCAACCGTTTCTGCTGTTCTGACAGTCAGCTGCAGATGTGAATGAATGGCAGAAGTAGTTCCTCATATAAAATATTTTTTGAGACTCTCTAGGGCTGTATAGACTCTATAGGGCTGTATATATCATCACTGGTGTACCTCTCACCAGTGCCGATATACTGCCATATCGCACTGCTACTGTCATATATGACAGCATCTGAACGTCATTGTTGTGTGTGTGTGTTTGTGCGCATGTGTCTACTAACCCTTCCCATTTCTCTGAGTTTAGTAAGCATAACTACTATAGTAGAATTGTGTTCCCAAAGCATTCTCCAGAAATCTTCAACTGTCTCTGCCAGTGGCCCCTGAGTCGCAATATACGCCCTCTGTTGCCTGAAGAGAGATGAGGAAGAAACAAAGAATTGAGAACATTTGTTTTATTTATATAAAGAAATGAGAAGCGAGATGACGTTGTACCTGTAGCCGTCTATAAAACTGCCATTGACGTAGTCAGATCCCTCCACTCCTCTGATTGGCTGCAGACACACACGTGTGCTCTCATATGGCATGATGTTCACCAACCGGTTCTTGAACTTATTGCATGGAAGGCTGGCACTGACGAATCTGGAGTTATGCGCTTTGGCATTAGCTAACCGCTGAAAAGGAGACACACACACAAACATCTGTATCATTTAATGAACAGATATATTACACTGCAAAAAATGCTTTTCTTGCTTGGATTTTTTGTCTTGTTTCTAGTCCAAACATCTAAATATTCTTAAATCAAGAAACATTTTCTAGATGAGCCAAAAATATAGTCTTGTTTTAAGAAATAATATGTCAAAATTAAGTGAGTTTTTCCATAAAACAAGAACAATAATCTGTCAATGAGGTAAGCAAATTAATCATGTTTTTGTTTTGGCATAAAATCATTTTGCTTAGCCCATTGGCAGATTATTTAGTCTTATTTAGATTATTACTTAATTTTTGCATATTATGAGACAATATTTTTTGCATGTAGAAATGCTTTATGACTTAAGAATTTTTAAATATTTGTACTAAAAAAAAAAAAGCTAATTTTCTTTACAGTGTACAAACCAAAATTGAGCCGCCAGCAACAGCAAATAATATAATAATCAATATTTTAAGTATTAAAACAAATTAACATAATTATTTTTAGGCGACAAGGTGGCGCAGGGCTCACAGCAAGAAGGTCGCTGGTTCGAGCCCCAGCTGGGTCAGTTGGCATTTCTGTGTGGAATTTGCATGTTCTCCCCGAGTTCGCTTTTACTCCACAGTTCAAAGACATGCAATATAGGTGAACTGAATAAGCTAAATTAGCCGTAGTGTATGTGTGTGAATTCAAGAGTGTATGGGTGTTTCCCAGTGTTGGGTTGCGGCTGGAAGGGCATCCGCTGAGTAAAACATATGCTGGATAAGTTGGTGGTTTGTTCCGCTGTGGCATCCCCTGAATAATAAAGGGACTAAGCCAAAAATAAAATAAATGAATGAATAATGATTTTTATCCTATACACGCTGTATATTGTATACCCCTTTATAACCTGCCCCATACAGAAACATTTAAGCTAATTTTAAATTTCAAAATACACCACTGAATACTGTTTTTACTAAAAAAAAATTTTGGGCCTTTTTTTTTTTTTTAATAAAAAGTAATTTTAAAATAATTTTTCTACTTATAATTATATTAAATTTCAGGTTCTGCTATGTTTAGGTTGTAATTAAATATCTATTTTATCAGTATAATACTCAATTGTTAAATTAATTGATAGCTACAGTCCTAACTTTTAAGCATAGATTAGACAAATAAATTTAAAGTAGTCAAAAAAGTTTTTGTATGTGTTGTGGGTTGTTACTAAAATTCTTCACTTATTTGTTTTAGTTTATTTGTCACTGAAAATGTAAATAATTACTTTCAAATTGACTAAATAGATGTAAACTAAACCTAAATGATAATATTTTCTCAGAACTGAAATTAATAATAATGACAAAACACTATAACAAAGGGACAAAAAATTTGACTAAACTAAAATTAAGACACATTTCAGATTTTCATTCATTCAAGCTGAAGGATAAAAACCTTAACTGTAATTAAATAATAAAATTAATAATCCAATAAATAATGAAACCTACAGAGCTCAGCATAATTGAGTACAGCCCATTTTGCAAATGAATACTTTGATCCATTTCTCAGTGATTATAGGAAATGTATTTTGGTGCATTTAAACAAAACAGATTTATAAAACAGATATATTTATTAAAATAATATTTTAGTCATCAAACATATTTAGAAATTAAAAGATAATACAATTGAAATATTGCAAAAATAAGTTACAAACTACAAAATTTCTACATTTTTTTCCATTTTGTTTCTTATTTAGATTTTTCCTCTTTTTAAAATTTATATTTAATATTTTTCTGAACCATATAAATTTGGGTGTACTAGTTTCTGGGCCGTTATCGTAAGTTATTTTATTAGATAAGCTCCAGATTTGGCTTCAGTACTGACTAATCTAATGTATTTGCACAAATATAATATTGTAAAGCTTCCTATTAAACACATAAATTTACAAGATAGATTTGTGATGGGTGTACTTATATATGCTGGGCACTGTAAATAGCCAAAATCATTATTGAAAAAAATAACTCATTATGTCACAATGTTACTTTTAAATCTATTGCTGGCATAAACTCACTTTAAACTCCTGCTCCATTCCGCTGATGTGCTCCGGCGGCTCCGTCTGTGACAGTCTCTGGATGTAGGCGTACAGGTTCCGGGCCGGAACTTCAGTGTTGCCGCAGGAAACGGCCTCCAGCAGCGCCTCATAAATAAAGACATACTGCTCCTCTGTCTGCACCATGTAGTTTCGCTGAGAGCGCATTAGAGTCACGTGACCGTAAATATCTAACGTCTTCTCTTGCTTCACTCGTTCCAGCATGGCATCAATCACAATGAAGCAGCCTGTCCGGCCCACACCGGCACTAAGGGAAGAGACACCAAATGTTTCAGAAACAAGTATTCACACTTTGCTTTCCCACATAAACGCCCCGGACAAATAAAAGTCACGGACAAATGTGATTTTCACTCAAATCGTTAAAAATATTCCGATTAGACAAGGAAAGGATTTATAATTAATTGTCCCTTTATGTTTTCCTTATGGGACTCAAAAAAAAATGTCAGCTATAGGTCAAAAATGACCACCACACTGGAAAAAAAATCTGTTAATTAACAGTTCCCGTTTTGTCATTCCCAAGTGTTTTCTGCTTATTTAGGGTTGTGAATTGCATTACGGGATGCTGATCTCTGCTGTGTTGACTTTTGATGTTGAAAATTCTACTTCACAGTTTAACAAAGTGACTTTTATTGACATTTTACTTGTTTGAAATAATATAATGTATAAGAAATAATACAAATAGAAATTAATCTGTAAAATAACAGAAAATGTTCGGGCAGTTTATTACCAGGTTTTTGTATTATAATATACAACACCTAACCAGTGAATATATAACTTTAAACTATTAAAAATGTTAATAAAAGTCACTTTTTTCCAACTTTTCAAAGTTAAAAGTTATTGGAAGCCAAATCAAAGTGCCATAATGCAATTCAAAAGCATAAATAAACTGGGGGAAATAAAAAATAAAAACAGGAATCACAAACTACTGAAAACTCCTAAGTCTCTGATATAATTTTATATTTATATTTCTTTGCCAGTTTTTTAATTTAGTTTCTTAGATATTTTTATTGGGATTGTTTGATTATGTGTTGATTTGATGCGGATTCAGGTCAATTGAATAATTGCCACTTGTGTAGTTAGATTGGGGCGAAAATTTGAGTCTGGGTTATCTAATGTTCTAAGATGGAAAGACAGCCCTCCTGTGATTTTTTAAAATTCTTTTATTAATATTTCCCAAATGATAAACAGAGCAAGTAATTTTTCACAGTTGCCTACGTCATATAATACAGGGTGTTTCAAAATGAAGAAGAAAAAATAATTGGAGATAATCTCTTTCTGTCGTCGATTTAAGGAATCTCTGAAGTTTAAGTTCTTTTCACATTGATTAATTACCCAATGTTTAATTATGTTTCTTTGATTAAATACCGATTTTCAAAGTTGTGGTATTCTTTTTGAATCACCCTGTATTTTTCTTCTGGAGAAAGTCTTATTCGTTTTATTTTGCCTAGAATAAAAGCAGTTTTCATTTTGTTTCCACCCTAAACCATAAACACCATTTTAAAGTCAATATTTTTTTGCCGTCTTAAACAATGTCTACTGAACGAACCATTATCATACAATGACTTGCCTATTTACTCTAACTTACCTAGTTAACCTAATCCACCTAGCTGGCCTTTAAATGAAGAGTTTCGATGCAAAAACCTCTAAATGCCGCTTGATATTTTCTTCTAAAATTAGCATTTTTGTGTATAGGCTCAGAGATTTTACTTTTATAGTGACAAATAAGTTCCTTTCCATTGCCTTAAAAGTGACATAACTGAAAATAAACAGGAGTTTTTAGGAGAAAGTTTCAGGTGGCATTTAGAGGTTTTTGCATCTGAACTCTTAAAAAGTAACTTTAAGCTGAATACTAGTATCTTGAAAATTATCTAGTAAAATATTGCAAAGATGAAAGTTAAAGATAAATCAGTTATTGGAAATTAGTTAGTAAAACTATTACTGGGGGGCTGGGCCACACACTGGCGCAGTAGGTAGTGCTGTTGCCTCACAGCAAGAAGGTCGCTGGGTCAATTCAAGCCTCGGCTGGGTCAGTTGGTGTTTCTATGTGGAGTTTGCATGTTCTCCCTGCGTTTGCGTGGGTTTCCTCCAGGTGCTCTGGTTAGCCCCACAGTCCAAATACATGCTACAGGTGAATTGGGTAGGCTAAATTATCTGTAGTGTATGTGTGTTAATGAGAGTGTATGGATGTTTCTCGGAGATGGGTTGCAGCTGGAAGGGCATTCGCTGCATGAAACGTGATGGATAAGTTGGCGGTTCATTCCGCTGTGGCGACCCCAGATTAATAAAGGGACTAAGCCGAAAGGAAAATGAATGAATAAAGGGGGGCTAATGGTTTAGGAAGGTTAATAATTTTGACTTCGACTCTATGTCCAAAGCCTTTGGTAATGTTTGTATGTGATGTGTTTTGTGCCCTAATGAAAGCTTCTAAGCCGAAATGCGTTGGCATTTATTCTACGTCAATAACATTTTCTCCTTTTATTACAAGCATTAATGGAGTTCCCTATTTTTCCTAAAAGCTAAGGCATACTTTGTTGTTTTTTGGTCAGTATAATGCAGTGAAATACCAGGGCCACGCACACAACACACACTTTTACAGCTATATTTATGGAAACTTCCCACAGATATAGTGATTTTTATACTGTACAAACTGTACAGTGTATTCTGTCCTCTTCCCCCAGCCCTATATCCTTAATTACAACTCTCTCAGGAAACAATCTGCACTTTTACATTTTCAAAACACTTAAGTCTGTGTGATTTATGAGCCGTTTTCCTCATGGGGACCAAAACAATATGCCCACGAGGTCAAAAGTAATTACTGGTATGCTATACATTGGGGCACTCTCTCTTTTTCTCATTTTCTTTATGCGTTTTTTACAAAGTATTTTTTTTGTACAGCTTTGTCTCATGAATTTTGGTGTACCCTATATTTATCAATTGTCAGTTCAATTGTAAAAACCTTAGACACAACAAAGCAAAATTATTGTAGATATTTAAAAAAAAAAAAATGAAGAGCCACAACAGAGATTAGCATTGAGCTTAGGCATTTCCACAAAATAAATAAATAAAAATAGAATCTATGATATAACACCAATCTTATTTAGTCAAAACACTTTTCATCAATTCAGTACATTCATTCAATGGTTCCTACAATGTAAGTGCACTTTTACTTTCATAAGGGCAACATTTCCAAATGTTTACATTACCCACTTGTTTTTGGTACTTTACAAGTCTGTAATACTAGCTGCATTCATATCATAACATAATTACTATAATTATGAGATTCTGACTAGCAATATTACAACCTGGAAATTTTCAGAGAGCTTTTATTTCGGAGAGTTATCCCGGTAAATGTTATCTCACTTTTTTTTTTAATTGATTCAGTTTCATTTGTATCATTTCACAGTTTCTACAAAAACTAAAAAAGCACGGTCAAGACTGGTTTTGCAGCCTTAAAAAATACTTTCACATTTTACTAACAGCCCACGCCTCAGTTACTAATTCCACAGCATGATTTTAGAACAGTAATGTAGGACTGAACTATTGTAATACAGTTATTTAATAGATAAAAGACAGAGCAAGAGAGAGTGAATTACTTGCATTTGTATTTTGGTGAAGGAGATGCGACTGGTTAATGTTAAACCACTTTTATTTTTGGCACTACACCGGTTTATATTCTGTGATTCTACTCATATCAGTCACCTGTCGGGATGGATTTGAAAAACAACAGATTTGTTACTTTATTGTGGCATTTTGTTGGCCTTTTGAGCATAAATCAAGCTTATTTATATGCTGTACAGTTGTTGTGCAATTGTAATTAATTAATCCACTTTGTGTATGCTCCACATTAACCTGACTCACTCTGAAAGGCATTAGTAAAACAAACACTGCTGTTTTCACACATTATTTAAAAATAACTCAAAATATCTGATGTGATAAAGCCTGGTTCAGCAATCTGTTAATTGGATTGCTTTCTCTCCTGAGACAAACCACACTAAAGTTTGCTTTCAAGTGGGTTGGTAATCCTAAATCAAGTGAACTGATTTTTGGTGCGTTTCTTAACAAGACTGTCTAAACCACTGGTGTCAATTCCAGTTCTTGGAGGGCCGCAGCTCTGCACAGTTTAGTTCCAACACTGCTCCAACACACTTATCTGTAGCTTTCAAACAAGCCTGAAGGACTTAATTAGATTGATCAGGTGTGTTTAATTAGAGTTAGAACTAAACTGTGCAGAGCTGCGGCCCTCCAGGAACTGGAATTGACACCTGTGACCGAACAAAGGGAGAAAATTCAACATGTTCTGAAACTGCATTTAGTCACGTCTGACTAAAAAGAAAATATGTTAAATTCGGTAATAGCTACCTGCAGTGGACCACAATGGGTCCAGCGTCTGGGGGGTTGCAGGCTTTGACCCGTCTGAGGAAGGCCAGGAAGGGAGTAGGGTGTTCAGGTACCCCCTGATCTGGCCATGCTGTAAACTGGAACTGACGGACCTCCCGCTTCTCACCACTCCCACTCTGTACATAGAAAATACATACAGTATTACTGTAGACGAGACTACAATAATGCAATTAGTCCATGTTATATGCACAAATCATGACATCCAATAGTGTTTTTCATCGAATGTGCTGTGAGTTCACACTGCGCAATTTAAGCCCAGAACTTGCTCAGTTGCTGGGTTTCCATTACCCTGTGTTACTGCACATTTTGAAGTACTGCATGAGAAACAAGTTTAAGAAATGGCAAATTTCAGATAAAAATCCTTTAATTCACAAAGTTAATGCCAATAACGGGAGATGGAAACACATTTGCAGAATAAACTATGATGGAGCAAACATTACACTCGCATGACTTCACTATGCTTCACTATGCTTGCCTTCTTTACTGTTGATTACCAATGCTGACATTCAGTTGTAATCTTATCAATATTATTCTGCACACATTCATTATTCAATTTATTAGGTAAATTTGTTCAGTTGTCTGTTAAGGTAACTGTCTAATCAGCCATGACAGTAATTTCACAGTCAAGCTGCAATAAGCCCCAGCAATAAATCACATCTCACCAAAACTGGGCAACAGAAGACTGAAAAAACTGCAACGAGTTTTGATTTTCTAACCATGCAGATGGTATGGAGAAAAACTGGCATAAACAACAAAGACATGGATCCATTTTGCCTTGTATCAATGGTTCAGGCTGCTGGTTGTGTAATCCCCCCTAACAAATTTAGGATCTAAACATATTCCCTTATAGTTCCCATTCAATTTTATTATGCTCTGTTTAAAATGTTCTTAGAGTGTTCTAAACATCCAGTTTTTAAGGAATACTAAACAGCAGAAAACGGTCAAACTACTTGCTCTAAAAACAAATGTTTGCATGACAAAACAGACAAAGTAGAATAATATAATAAGAAAATATCAGTTTGCAACATCAAGCAGCATAACAAGCTGTTTTTAATGTCTAAAAATGAATGGAAGTGAATGAGACCGGAAGTCAAAGGCCAAAAAGATTCAAATGGTTGCGCCCGCTCGTACTCTGAGAATAAGGTGAATATTAATGTTCTGAGAACATTCCTTTTTAGCTGGGATGGTGTGAGAGATGTTTTCTTGGCACCTTTAGCACCGGTTGAGCATTGCTCAAACACCACAGCTGATCTGAGTATTGTTGATGGCTTTGTTCATCACTTTATGACTGCACTTTATAGCTATTTCCAGCAGGATAATTAGTTTCAAATTAAATGGTTGAAGTGACACATTGAATTTAGACAGTTCTGAAAGAAATAAGGGGTTTGGTCCAGTATTATCAAGTTTACCTACAAAAAGAGTTTGATTATTGACTTTTAAGTCATGAATATTTAAAGGAGCAATGTACTTTTTTTTTTTTGAAAATGGGCTCTTTTTAAAACTTTCCTAGAGCTGAAAAGGTGAGTTTTACCATTGTTGAATCTATTCAGCTGATTTCTGGGTTTGACAGTAGCACATTTAGCTTAGCATACATCATTGATCTTTCTTGCTCAAAAAGTTAAAAGAGATTAGATAATTTTCCTATTTTTAGCTTAATTCTTCTGTGGTCACATGGTGTTGTAATGCCAACGAAAAATGAAAAGCATTTCTAGGCCAATGTGGCTAGGAACTAAAAAACCTTTGCTGCCATACTATGGCTGCAGCGGACGTATGATATTTTGCACCGCCTGAAAGTAGTCCCCAGCTAGTTAACTTCCAATGTGACCTTGTGCTTGCACAGGGAGTGTGTGCCAGTAACGCTGCATAATACCATAGTGCCTGCATCAGCCATGGTACAGCAACAAAGTTCCATGATTAATATACCTGAAAGAGCATAGTTTCTAGCCATATCAACCTAGAAAATAGCAGCTTTTAATTTTCCATCAATCTACACAATGTCACTTCAAAAGAGTCAAGCTTTAAATTAGAAAATTATCAAAACTTTTAAATCTATTTTAAGTACGATGCTAACGGTCTAATCCGATTCAATGATCTGTGCTGAGCTTAGCTAAATGTGCTCCCACCAGATCTGGAGATTGGCTGAATAAATTCAAAAACGGTAAAACTCAACCTCAGAGGATTGTTAAATTATCTTATTTTTTTAACACACAAACCACAATAACATTAGAAAAATGTTACAGGATGGGATCTAAATAATCAATATCACAAATAATTGAACTGTTGCCAAATACAATGTCTAGGGCATAAATAACAGCAGCAAATTGTAAAACAACAAGCAGCAATGGTATAAAAATAGCAATCTGCATAATTTATTCATGGACAGCTCTGAATTTTAATGTCATGTTCTGTCAGTGTTTTATCCCCAGATTGCACAGCTGGCTCAAAAATTCCCAATTCAGCAAAAAAAAAAAAAAAGTCACGAAAAAGCTTTGTCTTGTCATTGGTGTATTTCCTCTTTAATGTTTAAAGCACAAACAAAGAAGAAAACCAGACATTGCCAGAAAGAAGATGTTATAGTGGGGATTTCATCAGCAAAGATCTACTTTTTATGTAAATAGATGATGCCTTATATAGGTCTATATCGAATACAAAAAGAAGTTTGTTTGTTTTTCTCAACAGAAAATAATGACAATAATATATTTTACCATGATTTACTAAAGATGCCCAGTAAAATGCAATAAGTATGTAAAAATAGGTAACAGAAAAAAATATTGTCAGGCATATCTGCTTTGTAGTCACTGCATCACCACACCAGGATGTGCATTATTTATACATAAAGAAAAATATTGCTTACATAAGCCATTTGTTATTCCGAATGATAATAGAACATTATTTAACCCATTTTTATGTCGTTTATTTTTACAAGTAGACACTTGCATTTATCATGTTTTCATGGTATATAAACAGACAGTAGTATATACCATATGAATATGACATACTTTTGAACATTTATTTTAATATGAGGACCAAAAATGGTCTAATTTTAAAGTCATATTTATTTTAAATTTAAAACTTTTTTGAGGAGTAGTGTTACTACATAGAGTATACAGATTATATTGAAAAACTCACAACCCAAGCTCGTCCTGAAAACGAACCGCTATATTCATTTCTCGAGAACGCCACATACGTCCCAGGAGCTATGTTTTTTTTCTTGTGCAGTTTTTGTTTTCACAAAAGAGATCCAAAATGTCTTTTGCGAGTGTCAATTGTTCTCACGTAAATCCACCAGAGGCCACTGGCAACTGACAGACTGACTGTCCAATCGACAGATCCACCCTCCTCCTTCCCTAAACCCAACCAATAGTGATTTCAAAAGCACCAACTGACCGGCCCTTTAACTTCCCTAAACCCAACCGACAGTTTCAAAAAGCAATCCAGAAAAAGGAAAGCCCTTGTCTGATTTTTACCACATTTTTAAATTTTACCACATTCTCACCCTGTTATGTACTTGTTTATTTTATTTTTATTGGCTTCTTTTTTATCTTATCCCTTTCTGGAACCGTTCTTCGCCATCTCAAGTCCACCGAAGTACATGGACAAACTGGTTACAGCAGGAAAGCCACCCATATGAAGTTAAGCAGTCAGCTGCTAGCGCAAAAAAAGAACGGCGTTCCCGTAGCAGTCGTTTTAAAGATAAAATGCAGCCACCTTCTGGCTACATAATTTGCGATCTCCAGAAATGTACATAGGAATATGTTTTCAGAATGAGCATATGTTGATTAAACTTGTGAAACTAAATTGTTTAGAAATTTTTGTTGATGCTGATATCGGCTGTTTGGTTACCTTAAAGAGGGCAAACGTCCTGACGCAGTAGGTTGCAAGCTCCACCGTGTCCAGTAGAGAGACCTGCATCAGTCCGTATGTTTCCGTTCCTCTGCTGGGCCAATACTGATCACACTTATTCTGCACACAGATCAGCAGACACTTAGTAAACCTCTAACTGCTGAATATGTTTCAGTGTCAAAGAAAACATTAGAGTAGAGCTGAAGAGTCAGCGGAGATCAACACTGACACTCAGCTGCTCTTCAGTTTATTGATAACAGCACTCACTACGGCTATGTGTCAGTTCATTCACTGGATAAGGAGACATTTGTTTAGTTATCAAATCATTAAAATGGAACTGAACCAGAGGTTTTCAATCTTTTAATAGCCATGAACCACCAAATATGATCATCCAAGAGCTAGAAACTCCATCCTAAAATAGTAATAATATACATGTTATAAAATCATAATAATATTGTTATAGATGCATATATATACTGTATATATATATATATATATATATATATATATATATATATATTACTCATGTTCAGTGTTGGGTAAGTCAATTTAAAAAAGTAATTTTTACCACCTATTAATTTACTTTAAGTACTTACTAATTCATTCATTTTCCTTCAGCTTAGTCTTTATTTCAGGGGTCGCCACAGTGGAATGAACCACCAACTATTCCAGCATATGTTTTATGCAGTGGATGCACTTCCAGCAACAACCCAGTGCTGGGAAACACCATTACACTCTCATATTTACACACGCACTCATACACTATGACCAATTTAGTTTATTCAATTCACTTGTACCACATGTCTTTGGACTGTGGTAGAACCAGAGAACAACATGACAACTCCACACAGACATGCCAACTAGCCCAGCTGGGACTCAAACCAGTGACCTTCTTGCTGTGAGGCAACAGTGCTAACCACTAAGCCACCGTGCCTACATACTACTAAGTACTTACTAAATTATTTCCTAATTACTTTGTCTGAAAGGCAACTTAATGACTAAATAAGAAATGTAATTACTTATTACTTGACTTAATACTTCCTAAAATCCTGCTAAATCTCAAAGCATACAGAATAAAAATTAAACGTGTAATTCTTTTAATTTGACAGGGTGCTTTTAAGCTTTATTTAAAAAATCAACAACACTTATTTTTTTTTAAACATATATATATATATATATATATATATATATATATATATATATATATATATATATATATAAAAGCAAAATTATCTGTTTACTTATTTTGAATAACTTTTCTACATTAAAAAAAGATGTTTGCTGTTTGTTCAAACTTACCTAAATTGAGCTGAAACAACAAATCTTTAAGGGCAACTTAATTGTTTTATGTCCAATCCAATTAAATTTGTATAAACTAATAAGTTAACTAAAGTATGTGTAATCATCTGCCAAACTAGCCTAAAAGCGAGTTATTCTGCAAATGTATAATTACAGAAACAAATTACTGTGTAACTAATTACACCCAACACTGCTCAGGATGGTCCCCTGTTTATTTATTTAAATAGTTGTTTACTTATTTTGATGAACTCGCACCATTTCGTTTAATTGGGATTTATTTGTTTTAATCTACATTCAAAAAAAAAAATTTTTTTAAACTACTTATTTAAAATCAGTTTAAACTACACAATTCTTGAGTTTTTTGGGACAACATAATTTTTTATATTCAATCGACTTCAATTTGTAAAACCTAATAAGTGAACTTAATTTCTTCATGTTGTCTCAACACACATCGATTGTATGGATCCTAGCACCCTTGATTTAGTTTTTATTAGTTGTCTCAAATGTTGAATAATTATATACTTGAATCTAATTTAATCATAGTTCTTGCATTAACATATTATTTTATAATTACTATATTGTTTTGACAAAGCTTTATTTGTTTTTTTCTTTCTTTGATACTAACGTGTGTATGCCTATTTTTAAATGCTTTGATTTTTTATTTTAAAACTAATTTAGCATTTAAAATGATCATTCATAATAGCTTTTTGTTTTTACAATTTTCTATGCACTTTTTCAATGAACAAATGTACAAAAGCACGCACATCACCTTTAACTGGGTGCTCAGCCAAAACGCAGAAAGTGCAAATTATATATTTAAAAAGGTGACAACACCACAGCAAAAATGCAAATTTATTAAATTAAAAAGGCTGACACAAAGCATGTAACGCTTCGAGCAGACTGATGAAGAGCCATGTGCTCAAAACATTACAAGCCTTTCCCCTGACTCCCTCCACCCCAGTTTGAAAACCTCTTCATTAAACCCTGCGTTCACTCCCTAGAAAGGAGCTTTTTAAACCAATTTTCCACTAATTTCTATGCAAAGGGAACTAGGAAATGAACTGAGACACAACCATGGAGAGTACATTTCAGCATGCAGTGATAGTGTGATAACCAGCCAAAAATATCAAAACATCAAGTTACGCTTTGGCAAAATGTGTCTCTGAAGTCAGTGAGGGGAAAAAGGAAGCGAGAAGAGACAGATCAGAAAAAGAGAGTAGGTGTAAAGAAGGGATGAGGCAGAGTTAACAAGGAGGAAAGAGGTGAGACACGGAATATCAACCAGTCAAGTGAAAGTGCGAGTGCTCTAATTAGCCAAGTGAGATGTCTTGCCTTGGAGAAGAAATACGAAGGCATCTGGAGAGTAATAGACAAACAGCATAAGACTTACTCTGCTCCGTAATACCACACAACAAGACTCACATGGAAAATCATATCAATGCTGTGTTTCATCAAATACGCTTAGAAGGGTTAGTTTTCTTGTATGAGTGTGTGTGTGTGTGTGTGTGTGTGTGTGTATTCCTATGAGTTGTATTATTTGTTAAAGTGTCTCAGAAGTTCTGTTCCAAAATCTTATTAGTTTCTAGATGAAGGATAACAGTTATTAGTTAGTATAATGTGTTTGGTGGGGTGCCTAAATAGCTAACGCTAATAAAAAAAGACAGACAGATAAACAGACAGACAGACAGACAGATAGACAGATAGATAGATAGATAGATAGATAGATAGATAGATAGATAGATAGATAGATAGATAGATAGATAGATAGATAGATAGATAGATAGATAGATAGATAGATAGATAGATAGATAGATAGATAGATAGATAGACGGACGGGCAGACAGATAGATAGATAGATAGATAGATAGATAGATAGATAGATAGATAGATAGATAGACAGACAGACAGACAGACAGATAGATAGATAGATAGATAGATAGACAGACAGACAGACAGACAGACAGACAGACAGACAGACAGACAGACAGACAGATAGACAGACAGACAGAGACAGACAGACAGATGATAGATAGATAGATAGATAGATAGATAGATAGATAGACAGACAGACAGACAGACAGACAGACAGACAGACAGACAGACAGACAGACAGACAGACAGACAGACAGACAGACAGACAGACAATAAAAATATTTACTGAATTTGAATTGTTGTGAAGGTTATAATGGCAGTTGTATTGATTTTTATAGAAACTGCAATGGTCCCTGAGGGTCTCTACTGGTAATTTGTTTCCTTCTACAGCTTAAAATTACTAAAGCCTGTTTATGTTTATGGCTTTCCGATTAGTCACGCATGCAGAGTTCATTTATTTTAGTCTAGACGCTGCCTATATGTAGACAGCTATAATGTACACTAGGTTTTGGAACAGAGCTTGTTTGTCTATGTATGGAAATTCACAGTATGTCTGCAAATCATTGCCACATGTGTGTAGTATGTCTGTGTGTGTATGATTTAGTGCTCTCACCCTCGATTTCTCTTCAAGTTTGGTGATCATAATGACATTCGCTGTGTGTTGTTCCCACACCATTCTCCAGAAGTCACTAAACGTGTCTGGCATGGGCCCCTGGGTGGCGATGTAAGCACCCTGTCTGCGGTAGCCATCTATGAAGTTGGCATTAATGTAGTCACCACCAGCAACACCTACAAAACCAGAAGGATTGACAAAAAGTTAATTCATTTTGATGGCCTATTTGGTTGTAATGTTGTAACAAAATGTGAAAGAAAATCAACTACTTCCTGATGTTCTAGGTTGTCTTTGACATTTACTAGACAGACTTCACAGATTTTAGATTTTTTTTTTTTTACTAATTATTCTTGTCATAACTTTTAATGGGTATAAATAAGAGATATAATGCCACTTTATTCAAAACTAAGTAGTGGCAGCACAAATCAAATAATTAAAAATATACTAGAATACAAGACATCCGGGGTAAGTGAAGTTAAAATTAAAATTCTGTCATCTATTACTTATCCTTGATTTGTTTCAGACCTGTTTGAGCTTCATAGTTATGATGTACACAAACAAAGGTATTTTGAAAAATGTTCTTAAACATATCTACTTTTTGGTTCCACAGGAAAAAAAAGAAAAAAAGAACCATATAAATGTTTGAAACTAGGGCTGCACAATATTGGAAAAATTACATAAAAAAAAATATATATATATATATATTTTGCAATATAAAAATGAAGTCCGAACTATTAGCCCCCTTTGAATATTTGAAAAAATCTCTCTGTTAAACAAAACTTGGGGAAAAAATAAACGGGGCTAATAATTCTGACTTCAAATGTACATTGCGATATGAATACAATTTCACTAAATGAGTGGAATAAATGTTTGTAAAGAATCTATATTCTAGACTGATTGGGACGATTCTGTAGAGGAGTGCATAAGATATAATAAACTACAAGCATAGATAAATTCAATAAAGGGAAATATGCTAATTAAATAAGTAATTGAATAATCAAATGTAAAATAATAATGTATAGTTTTTGTTTTATAAACATTTTAATAAAATTATTTGTTATTTATTGTTACAAACATTTTCTTATGTCTGAATGCTTTTAAAACCCTTACACACTCACAGGTCTCAAAAAACTGCCAAAATGATAAATTATAATCCAGGCTCAACATTCAATATACTCGCAATGTGACTATTGCGAATGATTACATTGCGATATCAATGCTGAAACAATATATTGTGCAGCTTTATTTGAAACCAAATGACTAGAGGTGTGAACCTACACTGGTTCGGTTCGGTTACGATTATCATGCCATCGATTTGGTTGAATTCGATATCTCGCCACACGGTGCATTGACGATGCTTTCCATACACAATTATATTTTTTCTTTCACAGCACAGCAATTCTTGTATTAAAATGTATAAATATATTTATATACTAATTGTAATACAATTTTGTCCTTTAATACAAACAGTCAGATATATACACTGTGCCTTTAAACAACACAGGCATTTATAGCAGATAAACAAATATAAATATCCTGCTCGCTTTCTGAGCCTTGTCTACCAAGTTCTTACACCCCTTTGATTGATCACGCGCTCAACAGAAAGGGCTGCGATTGGCTCTAACACGCTGGCGCTCTTCACAGATGAGTGACACTGATACACAGCAGCAGCGATCACAGCTGATCCATGATAGACAAGGTGGAGAAAACTCTGCAGACATGCGCTCGTGTCTGTATCCAGAAGTATTGCTGTAACAGCCGAGAGGAGAGGAAAAGTCATGCCAGTAGGTCAAATGAGCCACAGTGAGAGAGAGAGAGTTTACTTTCATTCTCTCAACTGCAGGGAAATAGGGGCTTCTGCTGTAAGTGTCAGGAAAAGACTGTCCAGAAAACTCACACGCAGTGAAATTGTGCACAGCTTCTGCGTTTATAAGTAGTTGGAGCGTTGTAGATTCCCGCGCTTGCCTCCCTCGCCATAGTAAGCTACGACGACATAGCGCATATGAGGTAAATGACGTCAGTACACAATAACCGGTTTTGACTATTACTGAACTGATACCTAATTGTCCGAGTCTGCATCGCGGTGCACTGAAGAAGCTATTAATTTTGACACTCCTACAAATGACGGTGATTAAATGTTGAGTAAATTTAAATTTTTTGGCGAACTATCCCTTAAATATTTAAGCAAATTACTGTAGCACATGCTATTTTACATTTACAACTGTTTATACATTATTACCATATTCATTGCCTTTATTTTTATTTGTATTATTTCTAACTTTATCACTATAATCTATTTCATAGTGCTGATGCTGACTAGAAAAGTTTTTACCAAAAACAAATTTCATTGAGGCTAAACTTTATTTTGATACTAATTAAATAAGTATACTAGCAACATTTTCAGTTTTAATAAATGTAAAACAACACAAGCATTCAAACACTTCCAGATAACAAGTAAAACAATAGTCAATGATGCAATAAAAGTAAATGTGTAACTTTCCCACAGCTGATCTCTTATTGTAACGCCTCTCAAAAATGAGAAAATGTGCTATTTCTCATGATTAAGTACAGAAACCGTCGAAACACTGAGTTCACACACAGACACTCACCATCAGTGTTGGTGAGGGCGACTCTGGTGTGGTCGTAGGCGATGACGTTGGCATATCTGTTCTTTGGCTTGTTAATCTCAAGGTTAGAATGTTCCCAGGAGAACTGCTGCCCTGGATCAATAGACTACAAGAGGGAAGCACATTATGAATTACACATCACACTGAACTTCACACGTTACGAACATCACATGGCCTATGCAATGAAATACAAAAAAAGAAAAAGAACTGACAGCATGCAATACTACAGTGTCCAGCATAAATGAGTACACCGCCCTTTGAAATTTAAGCTGTACATACACTTTTCAGACAGTGAATATGGACATTGTACAGTATACAGCAAATTTTTTACTATGTTATTCTGATTAATGTAATATTCGGTAATGTAAATGTGCTAATATAACATTGTTAGGATACGAAATTTTTTTTTTTAATTCAAACATAATGGGAGGGGGTACAAATTTATAAAAAATTATAATGTGTTGGGGTTACTTTTTTCCAGTTAATTTTATTTAATATTTTGTCAAAGCATAATAATCTTTACGATATTAAATGATGAGATCTACACAATTCCTTCATATTATCACAACACAAATCAATTAAGATTACTTGAATGTTTTTACAAATTTAGGTGGATTAAACATAAAACAATTAAGTTGTCCCCAAAAATATTTTTAAATAGGATATTTAAACAAGCCTTGTTTTAATTATTTATTTATTTATTTATTTAATTCAATTAATTAATTAATTAATTTATTTATTTAGGGGTTTCACCTTTATTATATAGGACAGTAGAGATTTCAGATAGGAAAGTATTAGGAACAGAGAGAAGGGAAGGATTGGCAAAAAACATTAAGCCGGGAATCAAACTCGGGTCGCTGTGAGCACTTCTGTGATATATATGTCGGAGCACAGAACCACTAGTCTATGAGCAGGAACTTTGTTTTATTTTTTTAAAAAGAGCTCCAACTTTGCTAATACAATGTAATGTGAAACCAAATTTGCACAAAGATCTTATTGTATAGAAACCCAGAGGTAAAAAAAAAACTATTTAAAAGTGATACGGGTGTTTATCTACACCAAAGAGCATAGAATCATCAAGAGGCGACACTCTGTTGTTATTTGGGAAACAGCCACTAGATGTCACATGGCAGACATATGGGAATGACATGGCAGACATATGGGAATGAAAACTACAATACAACAACAGCACGAATAAATATCATTAGATAGAATGAATTGAAATATTGAGTTTAATATTGAGTATGTGTGTGTGTATATATATATATATATATATATATATATATATATATATATATAGGGTTGTAACGGTATGAATTTTTCACGGTATGATAATCGTCTAAAACAATACCACGGTTTGACGGTTTCGCGGTATACGGTATGTTACAAATGTTACAAAATAATAGAACAGTGAAGCAAATTTGACTTTTTCCAAATAATATATTTTTAGTTACTATAAACAACACCACTTACAATGAACAAATAAAAATAAGAAAATAATAAATAATGTGTCAAAGTCCAAATAAAGTCCAAATAAACATGGTGCAAATCCTCAGTAAAAAATAGATATAAATATTTACTATACTTTAAATAGTTACATAACGAAACTAGATTCAATATGGAACATCCTTAGGTTTTATGTGCCAGCATGGATATGGTTGTCTATCGATATGGATTTGGATATGGTTGTCTGCAATGCAGACAAACAGCTGCATCTTCATTTGCGTCTTTTGAAAACAGCAAGAGCAGCAGTTCGTCTTTGCTGTGTCACTGTTTTGTCATGTTTCTGTGCTGCTGTGCATGCAAAAGTACTTAGTATGAGAATTATTTCATGCAAAACTTTTTTTTTTGCGTTTTATTTAGCCGCGCATAAATGTATGCCTATCTCTCATTCCGGGTTGTTCAAAAAGCTTGGTCCACAAACAAAAGCGAAACCTATACTTATTGGTTGTGATATAGCGAGTTTGAACCAATCTGGGCATGGAGGAGGGACAATGCATCAATGTATCATGTCTGATTTGTCCGGAGACACAGTGACGAGCGTTTCTTTGTCAAATCAGCGTTGTCAAATGTTGATGACGTAACCGCACTGATTCCGGAGCCTCTGAAAGTCCGCGAATGTTATGTGATACGGCACTGGAAAGCTGAGACTCTCTTCTTTATGCCAATCTTTGAATTGTATGAATCGGATCAGCGGATCAAAAGTTATTAAACATTTGAGAGCAATACTTATTTTTAGCTGCGGGCGGCTGTCTCGGTCTTTAAGGGTTAAAACCGTTGATATGCAATTGTTCATGGTATGATAATCGTGCACGTTCAAATCGTGGTAAACCGTCATACCGGTATATTGTTACAACCCTATATATATATATATATATATATATACACACACACATACATATTTATATATATCAGATTTATCAACATGCACGATCGTGTTCATCAAGTTGGGTTCTAAAGTATGGCTATTTTACAAGCAAGGATTCTGACACAGCAACGTTAAACTTATGAAATGTGAGGGATCATGGAAGTAGCTTAAAGGCAGAGAATGGGCTGTCTTTGACAGCTTGAGATTTTCATCTGCCACTTTCACTACAGTACATTTACATAAACACTAATACTCTGCTTTTATGATTAAGATAACACTGATTAAGAGTCTACCATGTAAACAGCGGTTTTTAAATACCTTAAAGTATCATGCGAGTACCAAAATGCAAAGGTTTTTCTTTCCGTTCGCCATGCGGTATCAAATTCCATTAAAACATCCTGAATGAAAATATGCTGAATGAGAGTGAACTGCTGAACTGCAGTTAAAGTCTAAAGATTAAAAATGAAACACCTGAAATTGCATGAAACTCTGGAGGAAACGCAGGATAGCCTGGCAATGCCACATTAATTGGTTTACACTGAAACTTTCCTTCTAAAAGCGCGTCCTTGGTCTCATCCAAATTTCTTTGCATGTTAAACACACGCAGGACCGGAGCAAGCTGAACTGGCGCTAGGCAAACAGCAAACACACCACCCTCAACCCGAAAGTGAAAAAGAAAGTGACTGGTTTGCTGATGAAAGCGAGGACTGTGAAGGAGAGTGTGAGTGTAGCGGATGAAAGTGAAGATCGGGGGGTTCGCTTACTATTCTCCTGCCCAAGGCAGCCGCCCAGGTCGCCTCTATGCACGCACCGTCCCTGAACGTACCGTCCTCTTCAGAATTACCCATATGTGTTCAATTGGATTCACATCAGAAGACATATTTATAATGATATATTATATTAACATATTTTAGAAGAAAAGAAAAGTTTTGCAACAAAAAGTTTACTGACACTTATCAACATCCCATTTTAAAGGTCATGTTAATTTAATTTAACATGTCAGTATTAATTTGTATGCTAGAAGTGTAAACTCTAAAATGAAAGTAATTTAAAGGGTCACGAAACACCAAAACACATTTTTTGAGCTGTTGACAGTGGTATATGTGTCCCACACTGCTAAAAACACTATTAGGACACCTATATCTCACTAAAAAGTGTAAATTGGTCGTTTTTGCGTTATTTCAAGCAAATTCGTACTTCCTGTTTGAAACGAATTTTTGAAGCTGCGTCACGGCCATGACATAATAGCGTTGTATTCCAGCGTGCAGACTGGGCGTCTGTGCCAGAGTGAGTCTTATTACGTCTTACAGTGTGTTGCATTAATGCATGAGTAAGGCTTGGTTCAAACCAACCAGCGCGCTCTATTGTGCAACTTCATTAATATTCATTACTGTCACAGTGTAGACGGCAGAGACGCCACGTTGTGTTGGCAAAACAAGCGTGAAGTGTTGCTTTTATAGTTTGCTGCAGTTAAGTTTTGTTTTCATTTTCTCTCTGTGAGAGCGCAGACTCCCGTGTGGATTAACAGTGTACGCGACGCGCGACAACAATAACTTATGTGTCTAAGGAGGATTATTGTTTACCTGAGAGCTGTTCTCATCTGCAAACGCTGAGATCCGGATTCGCTTGTAGTCTCCTCTAAATAAAGACGCGGCTCTAGTTGCTGGTGATTGTCCTGTCTCTACAGATTTGGTAAGTGAGCGACCAGTGCTCTTTGTTTATTCAGTTCGTATTTTATTCGTATCAAACAAACTATTGCACCGAGTGTAAACAAGTTAGCACTAACAGTTACAACCAAACTATAACCTCGTGTTGGATTTTGTGACCGGAATAACACACGCGGCTTTCTGACGCTACCTGCCGTGTGCATCTAAGTTTCCGGGAAATGCAGAGTTTTTTTTTCTCATTCGCCGTGCGGTATCAAACATTGCATGAAAAATACACGCTTAGAGCAGCTCTTTGAATTAAATATCACGTTTGTCGGGAGGGACATGAATGAATTCCCTGAATGAAAGAGCCAAACTGCAGTTAAAGTCCACCATTTAATAATTTGGCAAATAATTCGACAACAGATTTCCATGTAAACACAGTCACATTGTCCGCTGTGGTTGTGTGTTTTGACTCTGAAATTCAGCGTGCCCAAATAGACACTCCCACACCAAGCCTCTTTTCTTCCTCCGACACTCCCCCCTAAACAGAGGTGGACACGCCCACTTTTCTGACTTTTTCCAAAGTAGAGGTGTGAAAACACCCTGCTGAAACGAGGGGGTTTCATGGCCCTTTAAAGTAATTTAACCGTGACAGTTCCAAGAAAATAAGTATAGTTAATATATTAAACATTACGTCTCTAAAATACAGTATTAAAAGTGCTGATGATCACCAGTCTTGTGATTGTAAGTGTTGTATTGGCACCTTTCAGATTGTTTTTCAGCTTTAATGTCCTTTTTAAATAAATAAATAAACAAACAAATAAAATACAAAGCAGCTGCGGAAGCCAAAATGGCGAAATCGTGGGGCTGTTGCTTGGTGCTGCTGTTGCAATGGAACGTTCTATTGAGTGTCGCCTCTTGTTGATTCTAAGTTCTTTGTCTACACTAAAAAAAATTATGTTTGCTGTTTGTTCAAACTACTTACATTATTTAAACTGAACTAAAAACACAATTCTTGAGGTTTTAGTTGGGAATTTTAATTTCTACTTAAATTTGTAAAAACTAACAAGTCAACTTAATTCCTTCACATTCTCTCTACACAAATCAAGTGTTTGAAACCCAGCATTTTTTTTTACAGTGTAAGAAATCTATTAGGGTGTAACAGATGCCTTCAATCTACATCCGGAGGTGTGAAATTATGTGTGCTGGTGTGTGTGAATGTGTGTGTGTGTGTTTAGAGATCTGACCTCATACTCTTGAGAGAACCTCAGGCTGTCATTGGCCTTCATCCTCTCTATGTGAGCGGGCAGTTCAGAGACGGACACTGGCGGGTGGCTGGTCATGCCTGTCAATCACAGCACAAAAACACACTGATCACGTCACACTGTGAGGCTGATACTAGATTGACTAATCTGAGCACGGTGAGGGAGTGTTAATGATCTCATCCATGGTTTAGCAGTAGGATTTATGAGTGTATGTTTTAAGGAGGACAATTGTGAAAATAATGTCACCAAAGTTAAATTAACTGTTAGAATACAGTTGAAGTCAGAATTATTAGCTTTCCTGTTAAATTTCAATTTGTCTATATTTTTTGTCCCTAATTTTGTGTAACAAAGAGATTTTTTTTTTCCAACAACATTTATAAACATAACAGTTTGATAACTAATTTCTAATAACTGATTTCTTTTATCTGTGCCAAGTAGAAAGTACATCATATTTTACTAGATATTTTTTCAAGATACTATTATTCAGCTAAAGGCTTACCTAGATTAATTAGGTTAAGTACGCAAGTTAGGGTAATTAGGCAAGTTACTGTATAACAATTAATAATTGTTATTATAACAATTAACAAACAATTTTTTTTATAGGAAATACTGTGAAAAATGGCTTGCTCTATTAAACATACTGTGATACTTGCTCTATTAAAGATAATTTGGGAAATATTAAAAAAAAGAAAAAAAATCGGAGGAGAGCTAATCATTTTGACTTCAACTGTATACATCAATAAAATGAATGGAACCTTTTATTGATATCTATAGAATTTTTGAGTATCGCATTTAAAACTTCGAGCTTGTATGGATCATATAAAATGAAACGAGAATTTGGAGGCCCAAAATAAACAACAACAACAAAAAAAAAGGTACAGTACTGCATATTTGTTACTCTACATATTAAATGTTGAGGTTTTATGATTGAATATACTGTATGAATTTTCTTAACTTCATAAGCGAATATAATTCTGTGATATACAGTGATGAGAGATTAGCATCATTCAAAAGCCATTTGATCCATCTTGATATGGTTTTTCTATGATAGAAAAGAATAGGAAATGTTCATCTTAAAATATTACTAACAATATAAAACTTTGAATTTCTTTGTTAATAATTTAAATGTCTTTATTAATTAAGTGTTGAATATGATGGTGAAATCAGATAAAACCTTATTTTGCAGTGTTTTCTAAAGTAAAAAAAAGTGGTTCATAAAAGGTATCATACAGTATGACTTAGTTTTTAGGTATTGTTTTAATTATAGTTTGTACTGTACATGGTTTGGTAACACTTTATTTTGATGGTCCATTTGAGTATTAGTAGACTGTCTGCTTAATACCTGCTGATAGTGCTGCTAAACAGACATTTAACTTACAATAAGAAACTTTGCAAGTACGTCAACCCCTAACTTCAACTCTAACCCCAAGCTAACAGTCTACTTATCATCTAATGAGAATTAGTTGGCATGTAGATGCAATGTAACTTAAATTCAACAAATGAACCATCAAAATAATGTGTGACCCATGGTTTTACTATATAATTTGTTGTGTAACAATCAACAATGTTCCAAATATACTAATATTTATGGATAAATGTGCCTAATTAGGAAGCCACTTGGCTTGTTACTTTTAAGAGGACAGTTAATTACAGACTTATTTATTATTAATACTAATACAACAACTACTACTACTACTAATACTACTAATAATAAAATACTAAAAACTGGTTGAGGCAATTGGCAACTATAATCATTTCGAATTATATAATTAAATAATAACATAAAATATAAAGACTATACACAAATGTTTTATTTATTAAAGCAAACAGCCTCACAGAATATCACTTCATGATATTTTTAGTGCCTGTGGGAAGGGTTTGTCGGCACAGGGCACTTAAAAGTTTCCACTTAAGTAAATAATACACGTCCCACTCTAGAATCTCTAAATATGAAATCAAAACTATATTGAATCGGTGCGTGGGAGAGTATAGATTACAATACAGTCAGAAATACTAAGCAAGATGAAATGCACAATGAAACTGCTGAATCAGATCAAATTAAACTTAAAGCAAAAATCAATATTACTGCATTTAGAATATAACTGAGAAAAAGAGTTCATTTCATGTCTGCAATCCCTGCCTGTTCAATGAAGTCCCAGATCAGCACAGGTTAACACAATGGTTTTCCACAGACCAGCAATGGTTAATACTGTATTCTTTACTATAACTACATCAAATGGATCTCTTTTATGTCCCTGTTTAAGGCAAGATACTGCAGAATTTACAAGCATTTTGAACATGAATTCATTAAGTGTTTAGATTATGGTGCCTGAAATATATGTATTATTTAGTTAAATATGCATTAATTTGCACCAAAATCTTAACACCCGATGTTAAATATTCTTGTAAAAATGTATTTTGTTACTTTACTAGCAAGACATCTCATCCCTTTAAAGTGAAAACATGTCTTGCCACCCTCTTTTAATGCATAAATAAAAGACGTGTTACTACACTTACTGGTTCTTTAAAGACTCTTGACAGGTTGTGGCGCCCCTTTTTAAATTATCTGTTGGCTAACTCTCTTGATTCATAAGCTGAGCAATAACTAGGGCCAGACTGAATCTGCAGACATTGTCTCTATTTCTGCGGAGACTTTTGTAAAAAATCTGTGGATTTATGGAGAATAATTTAAGGAGTATCATAACTAAAATCTTAATATATGAAATTTAAAAATAGTAAATTTTTACACTTGTATTTAATGCAAATTCAATTAGATCCACTTATTTAGTAAACAAGGCAAGTCTCTTGTATAATATATCTATTAAAAGACAGAAAATATTACTTTGTATTGTATTGTAAACAAATCATATGAACATTTTAATATAACTGTTATTATATCACAATAATATTAGTGGAATGTATTTAAAAATGAATCAATATAAATATACACACATTTACACAATAAAATACACAAATAAATAGACTCAATGATGGGCTAAAAATCTGTGAAAATGTGCAGTTTTCTGCGCATGCAGATTGTGTGTGAGCCTAGCAATAACATATGAATACATATTTACTATTCTTTTTCATTTTTTGTTCATTTTTTTTACATTTATTTATCTTTATTATTACTATTATTTTTATTTTTACTTAATTATATTTTCGTTTTTGTAAAGGAGAATTTATAGGCTGTTGAGGGACGGAAGTGTTTATTTGGGGTTGGGTTAACAACAACATGGAAGGATAATTATAAAATGAATGTTGTAATTTATATTCTATGTAAAAACCTAATAAAAGAAATGTGAAAATGTAGTTAGTAATATTTTTGAGGCTTATAGATTTCTCTTTTTAGAACATTTTCACATTTATTTTGTATATAATCATGTAAATTCAGTATTAAAATATCCCTCTGTAAAAAAAAAAAAAAAAAAAAACTTTAGAAAATAGATAGAAATAAAACAGTTTGAAATGAACTAGTGCCACAGAAATGTCTCAGTGCAGGAGAAAAACATGACAAAAAACAACCTTTAAAATACGACCTATAACTGAAACTCTACAAACAGACTGAAAGAGTGACAACAAAATAAACACTTAAAAATATATATATTTTTGGATGTTTGCTTTACATTAGACTGAAAGAAACTCTTTATGAAAAGTCAAGAAGTCTAAAACTTTTCTCAAATTTATTTATTTATCAAAACTGTGATTTTGTCTGCAGTGTCTTGCATGACTTAAAGAGCTGGTTATAGACATATTATGGATGTGCATATTGCAGATAAATTCTTACCTATAGAAACTAAAACCTGAAATCAACCAGAAATAACTTAATAAACACTGTACACAGTCTTAAAAATGTAAGGGTTTAGAAGTAGGATTAGGGAGAGAAAATATCATTAGTTATCATAAGTAGTCAATGGAAGGAGTGTATGAAGTCAGAGCAGAAAAAGCCAAACGAGTTAAGAGCATGAAAAAGCCAATCCTGTTACTGCATATGTGCGAATGGAGGTTAAGCAGTCAATATAGACTCCAAAAACCACAACTAACTTGATAACCGCCGATAACCGATGATAGATGCGCGCAAACCTAGAAAGGAAAACCAACACTGTGTTGATATTGTCAGCGTGTGCATGTGTGTGCATCACAAGGACTAAAATGTGGACTCTTCAGCACTCTGTACCTGCGTGTGTGTGTTTGTGATAGGTCTTTTCATCAGTAATATATTACCAGCCGTTGGGAAGTTGATTCTGCGCAGCTCCACGGGGTCAGATGGATGCTGGGAACTCATGGCTTTACCGCTGCTGGGAAAGCTGCACTTCCTGCCCTCCAACTCTGCCCGCTTCCTGTAACATCACACGCGCAGGAGCATTAAAGCAACACTCACTTAGTAGGAAATAGTTTCTATTGCATTTGGGTCATAATGCGATTTACAGAGAAACATAATACACAGACCTGTCTGGTTTGCTGGATGGCGTGCAGATAAAGGCGAGGACAGAAAAAAAAAGAATAAGGGATAAATGAAATCAGCTTCTGAAGTAGTAAGATATCAAATGTCTCTCATTCTTTGTTCAGTTTTATCCTTTCATTCTTTTAAATTATTCAAATTTAAATGGACAGTGCACCCAAAGAGTTATTTACCCTCAGGCCATACAAAAAAAACAAAAAACAAAAAAAAAACAATTTGTAGTGGTTATTAAAGGAAATTATCAAGTAAATAATGCTCAGTTTATTTTGCAGATCAATTGTATTGTTTCATAATACCTAAGTTTATCATCAGTAGTCTCAGGAAACAATTTAGCCATTGACTTGCATTTTACGAATATCTAAGGAGCACAATTTTAGCAAAACTTTTTGTCGCCTACATCTTGGATGGCCTGAGGGTGAGTAAATGAACAGCAAACCCTGTTTTAACAATGTCCAAATGAGAGACGTGTGGTCAGGGGATCCTCACCTACCATCATGACATGTATACTAATGATAAAATAAATATTTGTACACTGATCTGCACTCAAAAAAATCCTTTTTTTATTTTTGCTTGTTCAAAGTACTTATTTAAAATGAGTTGAAACAACACAATTACTGGGATTTCATTGGGACAACCTAATTTTTTATGTTCAATCCACATAAATTTGTTAACAAAGTTAACTTGATCGATTTATGTTGGAACAACATGAATTAATTGTGTGGGACCCTGCAGTTTTTACCGTGTGTGCTATAAATGCAATTTCTGTATGATTCAAATGATTAAAATCATTTTTATAATCAAAATTGCTGTATTTTGCGTGTCTTCTGTTCAATTACAGCGTAGGAAGCGAGCTGAGGCAGCACTGAGCTGTGCCTCACTTCAATGCGCAATCCCTTGCAAACTGGCTTGAGCGAGCACCTTTTGCTTACTCAGAGTATGCTACCAATGTAATGCTTTATTAAAATGTTTTATACATACGTTCTCACTTTACATTTAATAGATAATGTATTTCATGTGTATCTATCTGGTATTTAGTGTTAGGATCTGACATACAGCCGCACTAAAAAGGCATGAGGTGAGGCAGGCAGTAGCTCTGCCGCACTGAAGAGGGCGCACGTGAGCTCACATTATTCTTGTGTAGTGGTTGCTCTTCTTCTACGCAGTAAAGTTCAATAGGAGTCAGTTATTTTATGTTTTGCTCTGACTGACTGCAAAAATCAAGGATATCAGCTCAAAAATTTCTCAAATGTGGACTTTCAATCAAAACGTGCATAAATAATTTAGGACCAATGCCGGAGCTAAAGGGCTTGCTTCAAAGGACGGGACAGAACCTACACAGTGTGTGTGTGTGTGTGTGTGTGTGTGTGTGTGTGTGTGTGTGTGTGTGTGTGTGTGTGTGTGAATGAATAAGAGAGAGCGCGCGTATCCACTTACAGCACTTGCTGGTGCTGTGTGTTGCTTATAGCTGTCTGTAGCATACAGCTGGGTGTTTTTGGGAGGGATATTTAATCGCTATACAATTTGCATTCTTGGCCCGATATGTACCTGCCATGAGTATAGAAAGAATGCTGGTATTATAAATGAAACACATTCGGCAGCTGGAAAATATATCGAGTGAATATGTTTGTAAATCTGACTCTTGACTTAGAAAGAGTCAATGCCTCACCAGCCAAAAACCTCACCACACGTCACTGCTCTATAGTAGCAGATTAAATCAAATTCATTTTAGAGTGTAGCACATTTAATAAAAAGTATATTCATTTATATATATATTTATATATATATTTTCCATCTGAAATTTTAAAACTCGCTTTTAAAAGACTTTAAAGGATTAGGAAATTTAGGCCTTACAGCAATGAAACACTGAACATATCTGCATCGTGCATTTGTCATTTAATCTAAAATCCTCTTTAACTGTGGTTTAACTCTTTAAATCTCACTTTCTGCTGATTTGTCTTGTCTGTCTCACCTTTTAAAGAGGAGGATGAGGATGACGATGCTGATGATGAAGATGACGGCCAACACTGGTCCAACCACCCACAGAAGTCCCTCCTCCTCATCTACGATTGGCTGTGGCTCCACATCAGAGAAGAGCACCGCATCAGAGAATGGGCTTGTGGAGTAGACAGTCTGTCAATCAAAGATCAGCACATTAGCATAAATATACAGTATTTTCAAATATGTTAAAAAAATAATTATTTTTTTGTGCTGTAAATTATTTTTACAGCACAATATCTACAATATAAGATGCTTTATGGCTTATTTGCATGTGTTTTTTATTTTTAATAAATCCATTTGGTTGACACTTGAAGGGGCTGCTCATAATACTTTCATGACAATTTTTTAATTATTACATAAAACTTTATGAATATGAATTAGATGTATGCATGCTTATTACAGCTGTCATTAAGTGTCATTCGCTCAGTTTTGTTAATTTAAATGCAAAGAAGACATTGTTTGAGATGTCTTGGTCATGACAACTTGACATTGCCAAGACATACAGTAACTTGTCATAAATAAGCCATAAACATGACTGTTATGGAACAAAATCAATGCCAAAAGTCTTGAATTAAAAAGCTTGCTGAATAGCACAAACTGAAAAAATAATACACCGTATTAACAAGTTCTTGCATTTTAATGACTTGAATTCCAGGGTTGGTATTTTTAGGTCTTGAAATTTAACATATCTGTTTATTTAAGCTGTGAAGATTTCAGCTAAAAATATTTCAAACATGTTTTCATACTTATAAATTCAATAATTCATATTCAATTTCCAGATTTCACTTACAAAATATTCAATACCATTTAAAATACGATGTATAATATTCAAAGGGCAATTTTCAGTTCATTTTATTTCAGTTCAAATAATTTGCTTTCATAAATTCAGTGGATCAAATTTGACTGCTAAAATTCAACATTACATCCGGGAACTGCAGGAAAAGCAATAGATTGCAGATTGAAGATCACTATCTGCTCATTCACCAGCAGGTTTACATAAAGTGTCTTTTGTCGAATATGATGTTACACAATCTCTATATTTATTAACTCCTTCTTAATCTTAAAATATTTCATCTCCACCTGCTCCACATGCAACATTTATTGATTAATTGGTTTGTTTGTATGAAATAAATTGTAAACTTTGCCCCGATACATCAATGCAGTATTTTAAAGTAAGTGGTGAAATTATAATTATACTCAAACAATGAAGAATTTGTACTTTTTTGAATATTCAGAATACAGAAACACCTAAAGAGTTGCATTCAACTATATCCACAATATAACATTTTTATATTTTAAACTTTGTTTAAAGAGCACCTTTGACGAAAATCATCTTTTGAAAGATGTTTGGACAGAACTGTGTGTAGGTATAATGTGCTCACTGTCATAATGGAGTGATAGAAACACAACAGGTCTCTTTTTAAAATATCCTGATGTTAAAATAGGATCCAAATCCCAGTGATTTTAAGGCCCACCGCAACGTGATGTAGGAGTGTGGTTTTCCATGCCCACCGAATTGATTGACAGATGCCATTTTTCTATAATAACACGTATACACATCCGCAGAACATTTTGTTTTGCAAATAAACTGGGATAAAAATATTTGTTACAACTCTCTGTGATTTTTATAAGTTTTGTAAGTTTAAAACTCTTTTAAAACAGAGCATGTTTTATTAAAAACAGTAAAATTGCTATGTAATTTTTAACCGCTATAATTACCAAGACCGTATGGTGTCAGAAAACGTGCATAAATGTGTGTGTACTGCAAACGGCATTTGTGTGTGACTCATAATTTCAGAAAGGCTTGAATTAATTATATATGTGACCAACAATATATGAAATAAACTTACTAGATATTTTTGACTAATGAGCTGGATTTCAGCTTCCTCTGTGTCTGTCTCTATCACTGACTGCTGTTTATCTGACATAATGCATGATGAGAAGCAGACACTTACATGGAAACGGTGGGCGGGGAGAAGCAGCTCATTTGAATTTAAAGCCAAAGGCTACAAAAACAGCTCCACTGTACTCCAAAATGGCCAAATTCTGGAGGCTGTAATAAATACCCTGATAGGTATTTTGAGCTGAAATTTTACAGACACGTTCTGGAGACACCAAATGCTTATCTAACACCTTGTAAAAAGGTAAAATAGGTGCGCTTTAAAAATAGGATTTATAAATCAAATTGCATCAACATTTGCTCTAACTGAAATAAAACCATTTCTCTGGATTAACTAGATTTATTTGTGCAAAAAGGTTTATTTTTGTTTTATTTAATTATTTCTATTTATTTAATTTGTTTGATTCTACGTATGTCTGATAACATTTCTTCAAAATTTCTGATATTGTCATTTAAAGTATTTTTGTCAAAAAATGTTTGAAGTGTTATGATTAAAAATCATGTTATTTCACCAAATAATGGTATGGTGTATTACTAAATATGGATATAAACATATCTGAAACCCCAGGACCTTATTTCTTAACATTGTCAAATCCATTTTATACTTTCAATGCCACATTTCCAGCTTTAACAACCAACATTTTGTGAATCTTTACAGTTATTCTGTTCCTATACAGTACATTATCACTGCAGACCCCAAAATTATATAGTGGACTTACATTCTGGCCCAGTTCGAGAATAGCCAGTACGAAGCACACATACTCCTGTCCGTTCACCAGAGGTCGGTTCATGAAGGCTCCATACACATGTCCATCTCCTAACTTAAATTCAGCAGGAAGATTTTGGAAATGAGCAGTGATGTAAGGCTTTGCCTCTGCCTGCCTCCGTAAACGCACAGAGCGACCGGTGCCATTAATCTCCCTCAGCAGCTGGAGAAAAACAGAAAACAGGACATATTAACCACAGCCAACACTGAATCAACAAGTGCTTTCAACTGTGAACTAATATGCTGACAATGGCAGAAAACCAAAAGACGTTAGAATACACAAGACGTGTCACTCATATCATTTTGAATGGGGAAAAGCTTGACAAGCAGTTTTGCAGAATTTGATGTTTCCCCATTCAAACAGAATGCCCAAGCATACTGCCTGAGAGATGTTTCAATGATGGCCGCCTAGTGAAATGACTTGTCTTAAAAGGACTTCGTTAAAACTGAACAAAGTACTAAATAATGTACAAATATTTGTACCTCATCGAGGTTCATCTCGTCTGGATCGCTCCACATATTCTGGAAGTTTCCTGCTCTCTGCCTTTTCAAAGGAACGACCAAAATGTAGAAACCCCTGCCAATTAAACATCATGATATATTATTATGGGGGAATCTCACGAAAAAAAGCTGGCTAAACTAAACACAATTGCATTAAAAGCAAAAGTTTTAAAGCACAAAAAGAAGAGATAATGAATCAGGTATTGTATCTATGCAACGGTTTATTGAGCCTTTGCTTTTAACAATTTACATTACATTATGTTTACACAACCTTGTGCATCAAGAACAATTCACAGTCACTGAATTATTTTAATACTTAGAATTCTGAAGATTTAATTACGCGGCAGTTCATATTTTACAATTTTTAAAATTATATTTTAGTATTCTCAGTTTATCTCTTACACGTTTCAGTTTGTTGTGTAGAACTGGGTACATTTTAGAATTGTCAGTTTATATTTTGACTTCTGTTTATATATTACAATCCTCAGTTTATATTTTGGAATTCAAAGTTATATTTCGACTTCTGTTTTTATATTAATATCCTCAGTTTATGTTTTAGAATTCTTAGTTTAAATTTTGACTTCTGTTTATATATTAAAATTCTCAGTTTATATTTTTTAATTCTTAGTTTAAATTTTGACTTCTGTTAATATATTAAAATCCTCAGTTTATATTTTAGAATTCAAAGTTATATTTTAGACTTTCTAGTTTATATTTTGGACTTATTTTGGATATTTTTTTTAGAATCATCCATTTATATTTTAGAATTCACAATTAATCTTTGTATTTTTGTTTTTGCTGTATCTTTAACTTAAATATGAACTTAAACTTAAATAATAGAACTGCGACTAAAAAAATAATAAAATACAAATACAAAAATATTTGTATTTAGTATAATATAAAGAAATATAATTGAAGTAAAACATATTAGACCAGAGTTAAATTTCGTTTGGGGGAGTTGATGCTTAGAATTGTTGGGGGCTTGGATGCTTGGTGGGGGCGGTTGTTGCAGCCGAGGGAGGAGGAGGGCAGGCCGTAAATGGGCCGCAGGCCAGCAGTTTGAGGCCCCTGATTTAAGGTAAACATTTTTAAAAGGCCTGTCAACATTTTTTTTTAATAATAGTAGTTTTATTTTGCATTTCCAAATAAATAACTCAAATTTTTCTCTCGACAGTGCGATTTTTACAAAGTGAAACTTACAGTCAGGTACAAATTATTTCCTGAAAATACAGTAATATAATATTTACTCTTAAAGATTAATTTATCAGTAATTTATTGAATAGAAATGTTGACTAATTCAGAATAAAATTCATTCAAGTAACTGTCATAACTTTGTAAAACTTTAACAACTTCAAAACTCAGAGTTTTCAATAGAATTCTGAGTTAATTATTTTTTAGTTCTCTGCTTATATTTCAGAATCCTCAGATCCTAATTCTTTTCCAGATTTATAAGTTTGAGAAGTAATTTAGAACCTAATGTTAATTCTCCCTGTATATGTTTTGGAGTTTCCCTGACCTGACGTTAGCCTGGCCTTGTACAGTGGGCAGCTGCAGAATGGCAATGCTCTGCGAGCTGGTCTTGTCCAGCAGCTGTGGTTTCCTGGTCATCAGGTTTGGAGCCGTCATGGCGTCCGTGCGGTGCTGCAGGCCTCCAGTGCTGTCGGATTTACTGGTTAACAGAAAGTTGTACAGAGACTGAGGCTTTAGCTTAGTCACTAACTTCTGCCCGAGCCGCCCATCGACCTCCACACTCTCGCCATCGCCATATGAGATCTGACAAAGAAAGAAAGATGGAAAACATTAAATGCACACTTTGACAGTCAAACTATGAGTATCTTATGGCACACACACATAAAGAGAGCAGAGAAAGATTTAGACTGACACCTCAGACACTTGCTAACATGCACACACTCACACTTAAACAAACACTGTCATACACAATTCAGTCTCAATATGCTGCATGAAGAGGTGGTGACACAGACACACACAGTCACAAGCTTGATTTAATACTAAGCTTATGAAACAATTCATCACCTAACCCAGTGGTTCTCAACAAGGGGTCTAGATACCACTAGAGGGCCTCTGAACACTTAAAAGATGACTTTGAATGATTTCAAACAATTCGATTTTTAAAAAAAAGTTTAAACAGGTAAAGATTAAAATACAAACTCACTACATGTTTCTTATTAAATTATGAACATATGTGAATTTTATATGAAGACAGAATTGTAGACCTGGAAATTAATAAATGTATGCTATAAGTAACAGTTAAAATAACAATTCACACCATTTACTACTGGCTTACTACCTGCTATTATTAAACTATTAACTGTTTATTAGCATTTCTAAAGTATGATCTTATTTTTCATCCCTAATCCTACCCAATACCTAACTACTACCTTACTAACCACAGGTTTAAAACATATACAGTTGAAACCAGACGTTAACAAAAAAAGAAACATAACTGTTTTTTAAAAAACAGTTTCAACTCTCTTTTTCAACTTTGCCCACAAATTTTCTATAGGATTGAGATCAGGGCTTTGTGATGGCCACTCCAAAACAGTCACACTGTTGTCCTTAAAGCACACTTAACTAATTTGGCAGTATGCTTCGGGTCATGGTCTGTTTGGAAGACCCATTTGTGGCAATTTGTTTTAATTTTTTGGCTGATGTCTTGAAATGTTGCTTCAGTATTTCTTCTTTCTTTATGTTGCCATCTATGCTGTGAAGTGGATCAGTCCCTGCTCCAGCAAAAAGCCCCACGACATGATGCTGGCAATAAGGCAAATGTGTTGATTAACCATTACTAATTGTGTATAGATATTTTGCAGCTAGCAAATATAGAAAGGTTTTCTGAGTCATTTCTGAATCATCAATGAATTATTACTTTTATTATTTTTAATTATTACTTACTTAAAACCAAATGAAAGTAGGCTTAAGTAAGAAGGTAATGCAAAAACACATATGAGCTTTAGAAAACGAAACCAAAAGGTTAAATCTCAGACATTTTAGGAGATTTAGAAACCCATCCCAAATTGTCTCTGTTGGTCTGCAGAGCATGTGAGATTACCTGTGGGGGTGCAGACAGGTCTCGCACATACATAACGAAACGGGTAAACAAGATAAGACTTTCCACTATTTAATCGATCACGGATGTTTATATTGGGCGGATACAAAATAGTGTAAAAGGATGTTATTAATAGTAAAAAACAAAAATGTGTCACTAAATATGTTTGGGCAGCCGTTAATATACCTGGTCGGCACACCAAAGTAAAGTCTATTTGTGGGGAGTACTGCTAACTATTACTAAGCAGCTAATAAGTTTATTGAGCTAAAAGTCTTAATTAACTTAAAAGTTAATAGTTTGTTAATAGCATGAATTTTCCATTAAAATAAAGTGTGACCAAATTTTCACAGTGATTCCTATAATATTTTTTCTTCTCAAGAAAATCTTATTTAGTACCTCATCCATTATTTTAGTTTGGCTTTTTTAGTTTAGCATATACAGTAGTTTGGCTTATTTTAGTTAAGCATTGCACTTTAATTACATTTTAAGCTGAATACTAGCTCAAAATGACTAGAAAAATTCTATGTACTGTATCCTTGTAAAAAAAAAAAATTGGTTGTAAAAAATTAGTTATTAAAACTATCATGTTAAAAATGTGCCGAAAAATATACTTTATGTTAAAGAGGGGAGTTTTTGAAAGAGAATCAAAATTTTGACATCAACTGTATAATGTAGAAATGACTGTGTATATTGTATTCTGTACAATAAAAATGCCATTTTTCAGAAAATAAGTAGCATGTGACTACAACTTGCACAACATTAGAATTACATTGGTGTATAACTCACAAGTGTTTATAAGTTATATAAACATAATTTAGGTATGTTTTTATAATTTAATTAAGAAACAGTGTAAAAATTACCTGCCGGTAGCCATATACTGAGTAAGCTCTATAGTTGGCTCTAAATTATAGTGGTTTTTATTAAAAAACAACATCTAACATAAACATGGAGTCTAAATTAATTCATTTAAAGCATAATTCTGGCGTGTGGCAAATGTGCTATACACATACTGCTTGACAGTAATTGCATTAAATAGGTTGTTTTGGAACTGTTGCCTCTCCAGATGTCATACAGAGTTGGAAGACGCAATATTTAAAATTATAATAACTGGTTTTGGTTGTGTGGGTGGATGGAAAAAGAAAAAATATGACAAACATAATTTAAATAGAATTGGTAACTATGCACACAGTTCAGCATGAGTAAGCCACCAGGCAACATCAAGTAGTGTCAGTCAATGCCAGTGAGTTCGCACACGCGCACACACACACACACACACACACACACAAACACACACACACACACACACACACACACACACACACACACACACACACACACACACACACACACACACACACACGGCACAGGGAAACAAACAGGGAAAAAATAAAAGAAAAAAAACCACAGGGAACTTTTATGATCCCGGACGAGCCCCCATTAAATGTTAAGATGTGTGATGTTGGAGGATGTAACATGGAAAAAGATAATAATTGGTTGTGTTTGAGAGTAACAAAAGACAAAACGCAGACAAATATAATGTGAACAGAACTGAGTTTACTGCGCAAACAACAGTGTCAGTCGGCAGTCGGTATCAGTGCATAAACACATGCGCACACACAGGGAAAAAGATATAAAAAATAACATCAGTCATGAACTTGGATGGGCCTGCATTAAATGTTACGACACCAGATGTTGTCTTGGTTAGGGAAGTAAAATTTAATTGGTTAATAATTGGTTGTGTTAATTGATAATAATTGGTCGTATTTGTGAGAGTGCCATAACTGGAATTTAACAGATATAAAATGTAACTTATATTCAGAAAATGTTATACAGTATGCAAAAATATCATGATCACAAATGACAGGCAAGAACAATCATGTAAATTCATCTTTAAGCCTGAATATGAATGAAGCCAAAAAAATTGTTTGAGTTTAAGGCCCTGTTTACACTAATTCGTTTTGGTTTGAAAACGCATACGTTTTTACTACGGTTACGCCATCCGTCTACACTAAGCCGGAGTTTTCGAGCACCGAAAATGGAGCATTTTGGAAACGCTGAAGAGGCCGTTTTCATCCTAAAACGCTGCTGCTCCGTCTCAGTGTGGATAAGGGAAAACAGAGACATCTGAAAACAGAGGCGGGGCTGCCAACATTCGCTTCTCTGATTGGGACTTTTCCTCAATATTAAGTAGCCTACACACAGTTAAAGTTCTGCATCCTCTCCTTATAAGTTCAGACTTCGCAAGTTTGATATGGAAAACAGACTCCCAAGAACATGTCGGGTAAATGTTCAAAGGGAAAGGTGTACTTTATAACCTTATTCACATCATCCTGGCTACATTGTTTCACTTTCTTAACAATAAAATAAAAACATGAAGGAACTGCTATTTTCATTTTGATATTAACAACTTAACAGACAGCAGAAATGTTGTGGCGTTGTGCAGCATATACGAGCGTCATCTTCACTGTATGCGTATTCATAACAAAACAGAGCGTAACATTACTGCCTCCATTCATTTTCATTAAAAATATGAAACATGCCCTCTCTTTTGCTGAATATCAGTTTTAATAATCAATACTGGCCATTATAAAAGTATAACATACAATAAGTTTATACATTATAGTAAATAAAGGCAAGCAATTACTCAATATACAGAATGTACATGGTTAGATTAATCATTAACTTATCTTTGTTCTCAGCCAAAACACGTTACCCGAGAACATGTAATCGATTCAAAACACCAAAGTCGAGGAATATGTTGTTAGATATAGACAACAAGATGAATTAAATATCACGTTTAGCAAATATAGTGAGATTAGATCCAGCGGGAGATCCTCAACGAACACTCCGACGAGCACATCTCTCGTCTGGGTAGATGGGCTGCAGCACATGCCAGAAAGTGTGTGTGTGTGTGAGGTCACGTGATGTGCATTTGCAGTGTTTTGGTGTAGACGGAGAGCTGTTAAGAAACGCTGGGTGAAACGCTAATGTGGACGCGAATCGTTTTCATTCTAAAACGTTGTTTTAAAACTAAAACGCACTAGTGTAAATGGCACCTTAGTCATTTCAGAATAGTATTGTTTTAATTGTTATTATTTATAACAGAGTTTTTTAAATTCATATACACTGATGGTTTAGTTTCAAATAAAAAGATTGCAAGTTTGAAAACAAGCAGCTTTGTTACAATGATAGCACCAGAAACTATTTTTTCTATATCAGGTGTGAGATTTAAATATAGCTTTATTTTAAATGCTTTAGGCAACACAGTGGCTTAGTGGTTAGCACGGTCGCCTCACAGTAAGAAGATCACTGGTTCGTGTCCCGGCTGGGCCAGTTGCGTTTCTGTCTGATGTTTGCATGTTCTCACTATGGGTGGGTTTCCTCCGGGTGCTCCGGTTTCCCCCACAATCAAAAAACATGCGGTAGGGGTGAATTGGATGAACTAAAATGGCCTTAGCGTATGTGTGTAAATGTGTATATGGATGTTTCCCAGTATGGGTTGCAGCTGGAAGGGCATCCGCTGTGTAAAACATATGGTGAATAAGTTGGCGATTCATTCTGCTGTGGCGACCCCTGATGAATAAAGAGACTAAGCCAAAGGAAATTAATGAACCAACACAAGCACACACATACACACAACAAACACATATTATAAGTGTAGTTCTTACGATGAGAGACTGCGCTTTATTACTGGTGGTTCGAGACTCCCAGGTCAGCAGAACTGAACTCTTCATTGCAGCTTTCACTTTGAAGTTCACAGCAAAAACTATGAAAAGGGGAAAAACAAAGATCAACAAATTACACATCAATACTTCAGCTCACCTGAGCACAACCTCTGGCCTCCATCAAAGCTGAAGCATTTATGAAGAACGTCAACAAATCTCTTCAACGGTTTCTTTTAAAATCATTTCCTACATCAGGATGTTACTTTATCTGACAGCAGGAAAAATACATAGTCCCTCTTTTTTTCATGGTACTGACAAGAATTTGTCACTCTTTTCCAAGAGCTCACCTTTACTGTAGTTGTTTTATGAGATAATGGAGCACTCCAACATTGACTTAAACCCATTTACAGAAAGATTCTCACCTTGTGCTTAATGGACGCCATCAAACAAGAGACTCAGACCAACAAAAACACACAGAAATGACCAGACATAAAGAGAAAATGGCCTTCCAAAGAAAAGTTTTGTATATGAATGGTTGCCTGACAGTAATTGTTTTGTTTGTGTGAGGATTCACATGTGTCCTACCTTCCTCTGCGGGTTGTGTTTTGATGGAAATGGGGAGACTATAGGGCCCGGGGCCTTGTTTGCTAAGCATGCAAACTCTCGCCACGTACTCAGTATTTGCCCTTAGGCCATGAAGAACCACTGTGGTTTCCGAAACATCAGATTCCATGGCAATGTCTGTGCCATTACTATAGGTGACAGCGAACCACACGCGGTAACCTTGAATCCCGTCATAGTTTTTTGGTCGCTCCCATCTCAGGATCGCAGATGAGGAGTTGATGCTTTCGGCTGTTAGGTTTGCCAAAATTGGAACGTTTTCCTGTACGCTCATGGTTTGACCCTCAGTTGTCATGGGGTCTGTTATCATGCCATCGGTGGTTGTTTGCACCACGTTTGGGATTAGAAGTGTGACTTGAGCACTTGAACCGTAACCCCATACAGTGCGGGCCGCAAGGCGGAAGACGTACAGCACTCCTGCGCTTAAAGATGAGACTGTGTAGGAGCGTTCCTCTGCGTCCAGCTCCTGTACCATAAAGGTGTCTGAGGACGGGTCGGCCTGGCCGTATGAGAGCCTGTATCCCAGCACAGGGGACAGTCCGGTAGGGGGAGGCTGCCACTTTAGCAGGGCAGTGCTATCTTCTGATGACACCACTGTGAGCAGAGGCATACCTGGCACTGCGGAGCAGAGAAAAGTTTAAAGTTTAACATTAAATATGAAAGACATAATGTTTGCTGGGTTAAATTAAATACCTGGTTTTGAGATTCATACTTCATTAAATAGTACACCCAAATATGAAAATGAAAGTGTCTTTACTGCTTGAAAAGCAAAAGGGTTTTCTTAAGCAATACACGTGGAATTACAAGAAAAAGGGACTAAAGGAGCATTCACATATCACATCTAAATTCCTGCCGCTTTCTCCAAAACTGTTAATGCACTCATGAGCTTGTGCTCCTGTGGCGTCTGTTTTTGCAACCATTAGATAGGAGGAACCACTACTGACAACCCCTTGCTGTAGCTCTGATACAAGTTTTATTTAGGGAGAAAATTAAAAAGCACCACAGTGTTTGAGTGGTTTGTATATGCCTGAGGTTATTTGTTTACCTTTATTATTAAAATGTGTGTAATACATACAAATGATGAAGCTGATATGTTGGTTATTGTTACATTAAACATGGTGAATGTGCATGGTGCCATTTCGAAAAGTTGAAGTGTTTTAAATTTTCTGTGCTGTAGGAGTGCATAAAAACATTTGTCACACTATGTCACACTCCATTTGCACGTGTTTGCTGCACATCTCTATTTGAAATACCTTGAGTGCACAAAAGTTGCAATATGTAAACAGCCCCTAAGAAGTCACTTACATGACCATTTTCAACTAAACAGAAAACCTTAAAAAAAAGTGTGCTAATCAAAGTTGTTTTGGAAGAAATTATGTGGTTGTCTACAAGTGAATCTTTTTTTAAAAAACAAAAACTTTAAATACATTGTGTAAATTAGTTTAAATTTACCCTGAAACCTTCGCACTTTCAAAGGACTCACGGCAGTTGACAAGATGCCTTAACATTCAACAAAGTTTTCATTACATGTACAGTTGAAGTCAGAATTATTAATCCCCCTTTGAATTTTTTTCTTTTTAAAATATTTCCCAAATGATGTTTTACAGAGCAAGGAAATTTTTACAGTATGTCTGATAAAATTTTTCGTCTGGAGAAAGTCTTATTTGTTTAATTTTGGCTAGAATGAAAGCAGTTTTTAATAATAATAAAAACATTTTTTTAAGGTCAATATTATAAGCCCCTTTAACCCTCTGGGGTCTGAGGGTGTTTTGGGGCTCTGGAGAAGCTATGTTTTTTCGATAGCTTACAGAACAAACCATCGTTATACAATACCTTGCCTAATTACTCTTATCTGCCTAGTTAACCTAATTAACCTGGTTAAGCCTTTAAATGTCACTGTATAGAAGTGTCTTGAAAAATATCAAGTAAAATATTACTTACTGTTAGTAGTTGTAGGTAAGATCTATCCATTAAGAACAGTTATAGTCAGGGAACTGTTTTGTTTATCTGCCCTACCTGTCTACAGGTTTTTGTTAATATTTGTCGTCTTTATTTAAACATTTGATTTATGCAAATTAAAGATTTATTGACTGGACGTCAATTTGTTAATTCAATCGTCTTTGTCCATTCATATGTTCGGCTCAAACCTTGATATTGTTATTTGAGCCAGTTTTGGCTTTTGGGCCGTAACAACTGTCATCATGGCAAAAGATAAAATAAATCAGTTCCCCTTCGGGGGGAACTCCAGCACTATAAGTGGATTTGATTGTAAAATCCACGCATTGGGAGGTTCGGTTCAGAAGCTACTCGTCTGAAAGAGTATTGAACGGGCCAATTAAGAATGAATTGGCAGCGCAAGCCTGCGCAGGTGAGCGGCATAAGCAATCAACTGAGTATATAAGCTCACCTGGCGCCAGCAGACGCTATCCTTTTCGCTTCAGAGCCTTTTCTGATCGAGCTTATGAGGGTTCCTCCTGCTGATCTACAGCCATTCGAGAGAACGATTTTCATCCCGGTCCAGAGCGAGTCCACGCAGCGGCAGACGGTCGAGCTGGGTATCTCCCTTGCCTGGCGTCCCTTTGGGTCCGGTCCTCCAAGAGCGGTGCGTATTGTTGCAAATCCTAAAAGAGCAACACAGTCGTGCAGCACGTCCTTTTCAGGATGGCGCTCCGACTGTGCGTTTCTGGTTGCGGGGGTTTCCTGGCTCCGGATGATGGACACGATCACTGCATTACATGTTTGGGGGTCCAGCATGTTAATGTGGTGCTCGGGGGCGGTTCATGTCGTCACTGCGATGCCATGACCGTTGCGCAGTTGAGATCGCGGTTAGCTTTCGTAAGAGAGCGAGCCACCCCAGTTGCCTCCTGTTCTGCAGCGGGCGCTCGGGCAGATCTGAGGGCTTCAGCGAAAGACAATCCGCCGCCCACGGGCTCGCGGACCTCTCGCTCCTCCAAGCGCTCCATCCAAGCTTCGGGTACTGAGAGTGATCCGTCTAATCAGATGGTAGCTCTCACGCTCGCTGACACCGGAGATCAGATGTCCTCCGCGGCATCGGAGGGCGGGCTTTCATTGTCCGACGATGATCCGGACCCGCTCGCCCCCTCTGGGCAAGCGAGCGCCGTCAAAACGGATCCTGAAGCGGACATGTTGGCCGTGCTTTCTCGGGCTGCTTCGGCCGTCGGGTTGGAGATGGTTTATCCCCCAGCCCCGCGGCCGGACCGACTAGATGGGTGTTACGTAGAGGATCAGAAGGCGAAGCCTTCGAAGCCTCTCGTCCCCTTCTTCCCGGAAGTGCACAGTAGGCTTACGCAGTCCTGGAGGGCACCTTTCTCTGCCCGCGCTGCGTCCGCCTCCGCCCTCACCACCCTGGATGGTGGAGCTGCCAGGGGGTATGAGGCGATCCCGCAGGTGGAGCGCGCCATTGCGGTCAATCTTTGTCCGCGTGGCGCCCCCGCTTTGCGTGGTCCGCCCCGTCTCCCGTCCAAAGCCTGTAAGTTTTCTGCCTCCCTCGGAGCTAGAGCTTACAAGGCTGCGGGCCAGGCAGCTTCCGCCTTGCATGCGATGGCCACCTACCAGCGCTACCAAGCGCAGGCGCTGGCTGAGCTGCACGAGGGTGGGTCTAACCCAGGCTTATTACACGAGCTGCGTACGGCGACCGACTATGCTCTCCGGACCACTAAGTCCACCGCCTGCGCACTGGGGAGGACGATGTCCACACTTGTGGTCCAGGAACGCCACCTCTGGCTAAACCTGGCAGATATGCGCGATGTCGACAAAGTTCGCTTTCTTGACGCGCCCATATCCCAGGCTGGCCTGTTCGGCGACACCGTCGGTGAATTCACCCAGGAGTTCAAGGCGGTGAGCGAGCAGTCGGATGCGATGGGCAGAGTCATCTATCGGCGGGGCCGTAAGCCCGCTCCATCCCCGGCCGAGCCATCCACCTCCGCTGTTCCTCGCCGAGGGCGCCCGCCAACGGCCGATGCCCCGCCCCCGCCTCCGCCTTCGGCGAAGCGAGCGCGTCGAGCACGCCGAAAGCCGGTAGCCCCTCCTGCCCAGGGCGCCGCTAAGTCCGGTAAACGGACCGCGAAGCGTCCCTGAGACAGGCCATCCGGAGAAGAGGAGACTTGCTCTTTCCCCGCTGGAGGGCGGGGCCCAAAATCCAACGGTACTTTTCAGTGCCACCAAAGTTTCGATCAAAGAGCATTTTCTCCCTTCCCCGGATGTGACAGCTCAAGCCCCGCCAGTCTGGGACGCGCTGCCTCTCAGCTCGCAGGGCTTGCATGCTCCGCCAGCGGCTCTCGGGCGCTGGGGGGACGGTCTCCCTTCTCCCAGCCCCCAAGCCCCCTCTCAGGAGTCAGGGTGCGGAGCCAGAGCGAAACGCTCTCCTCCAGCTCTTCTGTGGGACCCTCGCGCTCCCCGGATCAGCACACCCGCTCCTTGCTGCCCCTCCGCGGGTACGTCAACGATTGCTGCGATGACGTCATTAGCGAGGGCTCTGCCTGCTTGGTTAGCGCGGGCCAGCCCCTCGCGGTGGCTCATACGCACGATCAGACTCGGCTACGAACTACAGTTCTCCAAACGGCCTCCCAGGTTTACGGGCGTGTATTTCACCAGGGTCAATCCCCTGTCCGCCCCTGTCTTGCGAGAGGAGATTGCTGCCCTCCTGGCGAAGGGTGCAATCGAGCCGGTGCCTCCAGCCGAGATGGAGAGCGGGTTTTACAGCCCGTACTTCATCGTACCCAAAAAGAGCGGTGGGTCACGGCCAATCCTAGATCTGCGCGTTTTGAATCGCTGCCTTCACAAGCTGCCGTTCAGAATGCTTACGCAGAGGCGCATCCTCCGATGCGTTCGTCCTCAGGATTGGTTTGCAGCCATAGACCTGAAGGACGCGTATTTTCATGTCTCCATTCTTCCACGCCACCGTCAGTTTCTGCGGTTTGCGTTCGAAGGTCGAGCATGGCAGTACAAGGTCCTCCCCTTCGGGCTCTCTCTGTCTCCGCGGGTCTTCACCAAACTCGCGGAGGGTGCCCTAGCGCCTCTGCGGCTTGCGGGCATCCGCGTACTCAATTATCTCGACGACTGGCTGATTTTAGCCCACTCTCGGGAGCAATTGACTGCGCACAGAGACGAGGTGCTCCGGCATCTCCGCCTATTGGGGTTGCAGGTCAACTGGGAAAAGAGCAAACTCGCCCCGGTGCAGAGGATCTCTTTTCTCGGGATGGAGCTGGACTCGGTCACCATGGTAGCGCGCCTCTCCGGAGAGCGCGCTCGCCTGCTGCTGAACTGTCTGAGGGAGCTCGACAGCAAGTTAGTGGTCCCACTGAAATATTTTCAGAGGCTCCTGGGGCATATGGCTTCCGCTGCGGCCGTCACACCGCTCGGATTGCTCCATATGAGACCACTTCAGCACTGGCTTCAAGATCGAGTTCCGAGACGCGCATGGCATGCGGGCACACACCGAGTCTCTGTTACTGCGCTGTGTCGCCGCACCCTCAGCCCCTGGAACGACCCCTCGTTCCTGCAGGCCGGTGTGCCTCTGGGACAGGCGTCCAGTCATGTTGTTGTTTCGACAGATGCTTCCAGCACAGGCTGGGGAGCCGTGTGTCGCGGGCATGCAGCTGCGGGCCTGTGGGTAGGTGCCCAGCTGCATTGGCACATCAATCGCCTAGAGCTGTTGGCAGTGTTCCTTGCTCTCCACCGTTTTTCTCCGGTGCTGGGGCAGCAACACGTGCTGGTCAGGACGGACAGTACGGCGGCGGCGGCGTATATCAACCGCATGGGGGGTATGCGCTCTCGCCGCATGTCTCAGCTCGCCCGCCGTCTGCTCCTCAGGAGTCACCCGCGGCTGAAGTCGCTGCGCGCCATTCACATCCCAGGTATGCTCAACCGTGCAGCCGATGTGCTCTCACGGCAGCAGATTCACTCTGGAGAATGGAGACTCCACCCCGAGTCTGTCCAGCTGATATGGGCGCGATTCGGGGAGGCCCAGATCGATCTGTTTGCTTCCCCCGAGAACGCTCATTGCCAGTTGTTTTATTCCCTGACCAAGGGCTCTCTCGGCACGGATGCACTGGCCCACAGCTGGCCTCGGGGCATACGCAAGTATGCGTTTCCCCCAGTGAGCCTGATCGCGCAGTTAATGTGCAAGGTCAGGGAGGACGAGGAGCAGGTTTTGTTAGTTGCGCCCCTCTGGCCCAACCGAACCTGGATATCAGAGCTCTCCCTCCTCGCGACGGCCCTCCCTTGGCAGATCCCTTTGAGAGAGGACCTACTTTCTCAGGGACAAGGCACCGTCTGGCACCCTCGTCCCGATCTCTGGAACCTCCACGTGTGGTCCATAGACGCGAGGAAGACTTAGGTAACCTGCCGCCCGTGGTGGTTGATACCATCACTCAGGCTAGAGCCCCCTCCACGAGGCGCGCCTACGCCCTGAAGTGGAGTATATTCACTGAGTGGTGTGTCTCTCGCAGAGAAGACCCCCGATCTTGCCAGATCAGTGTTGTGCTCTCTTTCCTTCAAGAGAAGCTGGACAGCAGGCTGTCGCCCTCCACTCTCAAGGTTTACGTTGCTGCCATCTCCGCTCACCATGACGCGGTGGCTGGCAGCACCGTGGGAAAGCATAACCTCATCATCCGGTTCCTCAGAGGCGCTAGGCGAATTAATCCAACTCGCCCCCCTCTCACGCCCTCTTGGGATCTCGCCCTCGTTCTTACGAGCCTGCGATTTGATCCCTTCGAGCCACTCGATACAGTATCTTTAAGATTTCTGTCCCTGAAGACAGCTCTGCTGGTCGCGTTGGCCTCCATTAAGAGGGTCGGGGACCTGGAGGCATTTTCGGTCAGTGACTCGTGCCTGGAATTCGGGCCGGGATTTTCTCACGTTATTCTGAGACCCCGCCCGGGTTATGTGCCCAAAGTTCCTACCACTCCTTTTAGAGATCAGGTAGTAACCCTGCAAGCGCTGCCCCCGGAGGAGGCAGACCCAGCCCTGTCATTACTTTGTCCAGTTCGCGCTCTGCGCATTTATGTGGACCGTACTCAGAACTTTAGATCTTCTGAGCAGCTCTTTGTCTGTTATGGCGGACGGCAGCAGGGAAGTGCCGTGTCTAAACAACGTTTATCCCACTGGATTGTGGAGGCCATTTCTTGTGCTTATTTGAGCAGAGGCCAGCCGCGCCCCCCAGGAGTGCATGCGCACTCCACTCGGAGCGTTGCATCCTCTTGGGCGTGTGCGCGTGGCGCCTCTTTAGCAGACATTTGTAGAGCTGCGGGCTGGGCGACACCCAACACATTTGCAAGATTTTATAATCTGCGAGTGGAGCCGGTTTCCTCAAGGGTGTTAGGTACCTTTGGTGATTGAGGAAACAACTCGGTAGGTGTTGTACACGCTTGCGGTGCCTTTTTTTCCCTAACACGGAGAGATGTGCACCCTCCTGTCTGTCAGTAAAGTTCCCCATTCGGTGAGCCCTGCAGATTCCTCCGAGGCCCCCAGCACTGACTCAGCGGAGGAGTCACTTGCTGGCCCATTACGTAGTAGGTCTGCCCGCTGGTCAGCCCGCGTTTTGGGTATAGGTGCCTGCTATGACCGATCCCCGCTGGTGATCCCCATATGCTTTCCGCCACGGTTAAGTTCCCCCCCTGGGCGGACCCGTGCTTTCCCTATCTGCTAACCACCTTCTTATGCGCACTCCCCCTTTTCAGGGTTAGTCCATATGTAATTCCATTGTTCCCCCTATTGGGTGCGGATGGTCTCCCCAGCGTCCTCCCTACTGGGATGGCACGCTTCCCAACGTACTGTCGTGTATTCCTAGAATTATCTAGACGCTAGCGACTCCCAAAAAAGATACCTATTCCGTAAAACTTCTTTTGAAGTAGGATAAGTTAGGGCCAAGGGCACGTTGGAGGACCACGCCTCTCGTGATCTGGGTGCGTCACGCTTGCCTGACCGCTCTCTCATGGTGGGTGTTGGTAAGGTGCAGTCATTATGGCGCTTTCAATGGGCTCCCAATGCGTGGATTTTACAATCAAATCCACTTATAGTGCTGGAGTTCCCCCCGAAGGGGAACGTTCGAGGTTACTAAAGTAACCCTTCGTTCCCCGAGGAGGGGAACGGAAGCACTATACTCCGTCGCCATAATGACTGTCCCTTAGCTGTTAAAAGTCTCTTCAGCTTAAAAAGGATAGCGTCTGCTGGCGCCAGGTGAGCTTATATACTCAGTTGATTGCTTATGCCGCTCACCTGCGCAGGCTTGCGCTGCCAATTCATTCTTAATTGGCCCGTTCAATACTCTTTCAGACGAGTAGCTTCTGAACCGAACCTCCCAATGCGTGGATTTTACAATCAAATCCACTTATAGTGCTTCCGTTCCCCTCCTCGGGGAACGAAGGGTTACTTTAGTAACCTCGAACGTTATTGGAAATGAGTTATTAAAACTATTATGTTTAGAAATGTGTTGGAAAAAACTCTTCTCTCTGTTAAAACTGGGGAAAAAATAAACAGAGGGGTTAATAATTCAGGCAGTTTAATAATTCCGACTTCAACTGTAATGTATTTTTAAATTTATTTGGATTAATAAGAAAAATAGAACAATTTGTTAACAAAGATAGGGCTGTTGCTCTTCAAGTCAGATTTTTTTTTTTAAATAAGCGTATCACTAGATACAATAAAAAAATGGTCTCAATAATTTTTGAAAATTAGAATATTACCATTGAAAAGAACATACAGGGTAACCCACCAAGCAATTATTTTTAGAAGTCATCTAATAGACATCCAAACATTAAGATCTCAGCTACAACAATTAGGCTGTCAGTGAAAGTCTAATTGTCAACTAACAATAGTCCAAAAATAGACTTGTCTAATCCGTAGGTCTAAATCTGGATTCCTGGAGGGCTGCAGCTCTGCATAATTTTGCTACAAACCTAATAAAACACAGCTGATCCAACTGATCAAGGTGTTCAAAACCACTAGAGACTACTAAGCAGGTGTGAGTGGGAGGTGGTTGGAGCTAAAGTGTGCAGAGCTGCGGCCCTCCAGGAATTGAGATTGAGACCACTGGTCTAATCTGTCTATTTGATGACTAGTCTATTTATAGACTATTCTCTATTAGATTTTTCATCGGCAGCCCAAATGTAGGCTTGTTTTGTCCAAGACATTTGTTTGGACATCTAGACATCTATTAGCCTATTATTAAACACAACAAAGATGTAAATCACTTTTCACCATTTTTGGGTGACTATTCTCAGGTGTATGTGTAAGTGTGTGTATGTGAGACAGGCATGTAAAAATATAGTACAGTATACACACATGATGGTTTAGTTCTGATGACGATTGGTTTGCTGCGTGCTCCATCGCCTTTTGAGGTGAATGCAGCCACGGTCACAGAGTATTCAGTGTTCGGCCACAAATCGGTCAAAATCACTTCCTAATAAACACATACACACTTTACTATATAACTAAGAAGACCAAATGTCCTACAATACTGCTCCATATAATTTGTATTCATATCAGAGATTGCATAGGGAAGGGGGCTTGTTGCAAAATTAATGGGAGGAATCACCATGCTTAATATGGTGGCTCCTGGAAGTCCTGCTTTTCAGTTAATAAACTCAATATCCTTATTATAGAAACACTTTTTAGTTGACTATAGTATGTTCATGTATAGTATGTGATTTAAGCTAAATAAGCAATGTTTATGATTTCATTATTCTATTAATTTGCTTAGACATTTGTTGAAATATATTTTCCCCCATTCAACTATATGATCTTGATATATTTTAAAAGCAAACATCCAATATGCATGAAAAATTTGGGTCATGTTCAAAAAAGATATACTCACATGTTCTATTGAGTCATTCTGCGGCTGCTTACAAAAACAAAGCAAGACAAAAATTAAAGTGAATGCCAGGATGCAATATGACTATTTGCACACACAGAGAATGAATGTCTATTGAGAATAAACAGTGTGAAAGGTTCACTGAAACAATTACATGGTGGTTTTAAGGCTCTTAGTTTCTGAGATAGTTATCAGAGGTTCTGTCTTAGCATGCGGATAAGAAGCATATACTGATGTTATCTGCTAATTAAAGCAAATTTATAGTCCATTTAGAGAGCATTAGCTGAGCTAAGAAGCCTAATCACTGACAAACAAACAACTCATACAGATCGAGTGATATTTGGAATCTGCCTCATGTTTCTAGTCTTTTCAAGTGTTTTTTCAATTAGCGGCGTTACCAGAATCACTGAAAAATGACAAAACTTCAACTATGTTTAAAACTGTTTTCACATTCTCATCATCAACATTTTTAATATAGATTTTACAGAAAAATGGCTTTATTAAAGGGCACCTATGATAAAAATCAACTTTTGTAAGCAGTTTGGACAGAACTGTGTGTAGGTAGTGTGTCCAGTCCTATTGGAGCGATATAAACTCAACAAGTCTCTTTTTTAAACTTCTTGACAATAAAATAGGACCCAAATCCAAGTGATTCTGAGGCCCACCACAACGTGACATAGGGGTGCGGTTTACCCCGCCCACCGAATTGATTGACAGACGCCATAACAACATGTATACATGTATACAACATTTTAAAAACAGAGCATGTTTGTAATAAAGACAGTAAAATCGCAAAGTAATTCTTAACTGCTATAATTACCATGGCCACATAGTGTCAGTAAATGCTAATATGTGTGTATGTGTGTACTGCAAATGGTATTAGTGTGTGACTCATCATTTCAGAAAGGCTTGAATAAACTCCACCACAAATTCATCAAATAAACTTACTTGGTGTTTTTGACTAATGAGCTGTATTTCAGCTTCATCCAAGACTGTCTCGATCACTGACTGCTGTTTATCTGATGTAAAGCAGGAAAAGCAGACACGCATGTCGGATCGGTGGGCGGGGAGAAGCAGCTCATTTGCATTTAAAACCACAGGCTACAAAAACAGCTACAATGTATTCAGAAACCAAAATGGACATATTCTATTATTTATAATTAACAATCTGATAGGTATTTTCAGCTGATACTTTACAGACACATTCTGGAGACACCAAAGGCTTATCTTACGTCTTGTAAAAGGGATAAAATAGTTTCAGCATCTCCACATAAACAATTATCTTACTTACTGTTATTAATGCTTACTTTTTCTAAACAACTTCTTTTGTGCACTGAAATTGTTACATATAAAAATCTAATTAACATTACTTTAACAAGATTTATTAAAGACACTTTAAAAAATCTGAAAAAGAAAAAGTAAATCAAGAAGAGCCACTTAAATACCCACTTAAACACTATTTCATGGAAATTCTACCTCTCTGTAGGCATTTGAAGCTATAAACATAAAATACTTCAGCTTCACCACTGCTCTCAGCGTCACTGAATCTGTGATCACCACATCAGAGCAGGTCTGTTATTGTGCATCGATGTGACAAGCATACATCCTAATAAAGGTCATCTGCCTTAGTAACCTGACCAAATGCAAACATACAGTAATGTTGTAAACGAAACCACATTACTGACATTTACATCTCAGTCAGGTCCAATTACTCAGTCAGATCACACATTTAAAAATAACTAACCCCCTACTGCAACAACTGAATTAGCAAGTGTCTTAGCTGTGCAGCAGGAATTCTAAAACCGGAATCCCACATTTTAAAAAACATGCATCATAAGTGAATTGATCAAATCTAAATTTAGCACTACAGTCAAACTCTTATCCAGCAGCATATCTCTACATAGCAATCATATTCTGTCATCAGCTCTTATCAAAGAGGTTCTTGCTCAAACTCACCTCTCGCCCCGCAAACGGGAGGGGGCCAAGGGCTCAAAAACTTTGTGAGTTCAGGGCTCTCTCCCGGGACGCATGCCAAACTTGCTTTATAATAAATCATCAGCCAAGTGTGAACTCTTAAAAAACTTTTTAAACTTGTAAGACTCATTGTTGATCACATTTAATGATTGATGATCACAGCGAGCTCAACAGATCTTTTAATCCTAGTTGCTTTGCGCATGCGCTATTACGAAGTCAATCAATTTGGTTGGTGGGAAAACCGCACTCCTACGTCACATTGTGGTGGGCCTCAAAATGGGAGGGATTTGGATCCTATTTTAATATCAGGAAATAAAAAAAAAGACGTATTTTCTTTAAACAACATTGTCTTTAAATCACCCTAATATGACTGTGAACACATACCTACACACAGTTCTGTCCAAACAGTTCCCAAAAGAAGATTTTCATCATAGGTGCCCTTTCATATGAATTATCCAAGCTAAGAACAGCAAGTTGCAACGTTTGAGATTCTTTTTTTATCTTGTAAATGCACTCTTCTAAAAAGTACATATTGACTTTAGAAGTGTACATGTGTGTGCGTCAGAGAGGTGAAGTCTCCTACCTGTGGGTCTCTCAGTAGGTGTTCCCTGATTCTGGGCGAAACTGTTCTCTCCCCTGCAGTTCGTCTGGCGTATGTCACCTGGAAACCACGGATCTTTCCATGCTGTCGCTCAGCAACCGGAGGTTTCCATGACACTCTGGCAGAGGTGGCGTTTAAGACCACCACATCCACACCCCGCGGCGGTGCGCTGGGCACTAAAGGGGCATTTTAGTAAAGGACACGTCGTCACAACTCAACTTTCTCTCCACATCACAGGAGAGGGTGAGGAAAGGAGGCATGGTATCAGGGTTTCATTTTCTCAATATATACAGTCGGGACAAAAGATTAAGCCATGGGAAGGGATCTGACCATGTTATGACTGTAAGGAAATCCATAGAGGAGTTGGGGAGAAATCAGAAATATTCCAGCCACTTGGAAAGGCAAATGTGTCTTTAGTAGATGAAGGAAAGGGAGGTTTAGTTTCATATTTGGGCACTGTCACACAGACATACCGTCTTCCTCTGTGCGGACCAATATCGGCAGGCTTTCAGGCCCTTGACCATTGTCAGTGTGGGCAGCGATGGTCACAGAGTACAAGGTCCCTTTCTTCAGTCCCTCGATTCGATATCGGAAACAATTAGACGGGATGTCTGAGATCTTTTGAACAGGGTCTTTGTCCCGTTCAACTGCCACATATCGGATGGAGTACCCAGTAACAATCCCATTTTCATCAGTGGGGGGCGAGGCCCAGCTGAGAAGCAGACTTGTGGAGGAGGGGCTTGTGCAAGTTACGTCCTGAGGAGGGGGTATGGATTCTAATTGGGTCGTTAGAGAAGTGAGCAGGTTTAAGTGTGTGTTAAGAGTTGTTGGATGATAATGTGTGGAAGTGAAATGAAATCAAGAGAAAAGACAAAAAAGAAAAAGACAAAACAGACAGGTAAAACGTTGTGATGCTGTCATCCACGTATGATGAACTGACATGAACATAAAACTTACTTGTTTGACTTCCTCCATCCAGATCCTTTTATTGAGTGTTTCATGCTCTTACCTGCTTACACTTAACCAATCCAATGAACAGACAGATTCATGCTAGTCAAGGGGCTCACATAACACTCTATGCCAGTATATCAACTCAAAATACCTATGTATTTTTTAACCCTTTTAAACTGTTCAAATTTCGAATAGAGGTCTTTTTAAAAGCCAGCAACTCTTTTGCGCAGGTCTATCTAAAGAGTTAATGCTGCCAACTGATGATCAACAGTAAAAATTACACATTTTACTTCTTCTCAAACAGAAAAACCAGCAAAAATCAAAAATACAATATTATATGTCATAGCTTTGCAATCGCTTGTTAAGTGTGATGTCAAGCGAATCAGTTTCCGGGTTCAAGCATAAAAGTACAGAGACATCATGATTTAATATGGAATCCAGTTTAATGACTAAAAAGTGGTCATAAATTAATATTTTCTAAATTTAAATGAGTTGGGGCTTGGACCTGGAAACAGCATTCCATACGTAATGACATACGTCAAAAAAAATGGCATTATAATGGAAGTCTTGTTCATGAAAACTTTTATTATCGCCTTTTAAACTATTATAGACTCGGAATGAAGGAATTACTTTCTAACAAGAGGCTACATGTGCTGCTGAGGATTAAAGACACATGTGAGAGGTTTGCTCTGACTGTGTGCTATATTTTGTGTTGTTTTTGAAGTCAAATAATGACTAAATGTATACTGTGTGTAGTTTTTCTGTAATTGGTAACATATCAGACACTGTAAGGGGCTGTATGTTTTCATATATGCTGCATTTATTTATTTATTTTATAGAATTGCAGACTTTTCAGTAGGCTATTTCACCTATATCATTGATCTGCAGTTATAATCAAATCCTGTTCATAAAAAGTTTAGTAATGAACATTTATATACAAGTATTTATGTGTATAAAGCATCTGTTTTGTGAGAAGTGTTTTTCTTATGATATGTGAACGACCCGTATGGTTTTACGGTACTCATTTCTTCGAGGGAGAATGACGCCGACTGAAACTTTACGTTGTACACCACGCCTATTAAAAGAGTACGCTTTTGGCAGTTGAAACGCAAGCTTGATAAAGGTGACCCGTACCGTACCAATGAGTGGAAACGGGCTATAAGGGGTTTGTTTCTCTTTAAGTAAGCCTAGTTACAAATCAGTGGAAGGGAGTTTCTCATGCCCAAATCTTACACACACTATTTGTACTTGCAACATTGTCAACAGCAATTACTCTTTGCATCAAGGAAACATTTACTCACGTCAGAACACATGTTTTAATTAATGTGAATAGAACTTGCTTCTGGCTTCAATGCAATATTTATGTGCATTAATATGCTAGTACATTTGAGGAGGTTTTTGATCATTTTAGACATTTAATTACTAACTTTACTTACAGATGGTCTTTTATTTAATAAAGTACACAGGGTTTCTGCAGGTCTTATGAAAGTAGATTTATGAAGTTAAAAAAGACTTGAGGCCCAAAAATTTGAGAGGGACCACACAACGTGAATATGTTTTGTAAATGTAAATGTATTGGGAGCAGGCAGTGAGACCTATAAGCAACTCCTCAAGAAAAAAAATAAATAAAAAATAAATATATATATATATATATATATATATATATATATATATATATATACTATCACACAATTTAAACAGAATTTTAATCTCAATTTTAATTAATTGCACAAAAATGCTTGAGGTTCTAATCTTCTGATCAGACTGTTAAAAGTTGTCTTGTTTTCCATATCAAATATCTAACAGTTCTTAAGATACATTTAAAATACATTTATTAAGAAGCAAAATTATATGACATGAGAAATCTTGATACATGGGTTTTAAAATTGTGAATATACAATGCAGGGGTGTCAAACTCAAACCGCATCCTTGCACAGTTTAGTTTCAACCCTGCTTCAACACTTACCTGTCTGTTTCAAACAAGCCTAAAGGACTTATGTAACACTAGCATACAACTCTTCCTGACATAAAACCACAAGTTTGAAGAATGTGCCACCCTGCAACCTATTCAGTTTTATATATTTAAAAAATATTTCTTTTTCTTTTATTATCATTATTTATTTGACCTAAAACACCATGCTGCCAACCTCAACTATCAAACCTGACCTGTTTTTATGCTTCATTTGTGAAATAAATGCACATCATATATTGTTTAAGCACATCATATACAGTTTGTTGCACAATATGAGAGTCATAGTGTGGTATTTTTTATTCTTTTAATCAATTTTGTACTGTTATATATTTATTTTTATATATTGTTTTCTATTTGTACTGTTATTTTCTGTTACTTTTGCTTGTTAACTGTCATTAAAATCAGATAAATAAATCTTTAAAAAAAGCCTAAAGGACTCAGTTAGTTTGATTAGGTGTGTTTAATTAGGGTCGGAACAAAACTGGGCAGAGTTGCGGCCCTCCAGAAACTGAGTTTGACACCTGTGATTTAATGGGTTCAGAAAAAATGCTTATCAAAAAATGTTTTAATAGCTGCTTACAGATACAGTCTTCACTATTTATTTGTTTATTTTGTTAATTTTCTCAGCTTTCTTTATTTTGTATCTAGTAAACATACTAAATATTAAAGAAGATATTCAGATGAATTAGATTTTCAGTGGAAGACTTTCTGCTTTGATTTAACACATTTTAAGACCTTATATTTTATATGTAAGAATTAATACTTTTAAAAGACTCACAGAAACCTAGAATACATTTCATTTTACACCCATTGCTTAAGGTTTTAAATTCACACAGTATATGGTAAACACATACACTTATAGAATATGCCTGTGTATGTGCCTGCATTCATGGCCCCCAGAGTTTCTCTTAATATATTCCTTTCTCTCTCTCTCTGTGTGTGTGTGTGTGTGTGTGTGTGTGTGTGTGTGTGTGTGTGTGTGTGTGTGTGTGTGTGTGTGTGTGTGTGTGTGTGTGTGTGTGTGTGTGTAATTAATCTTTCTTATCTAGATGTTGGGAAGAGAACACTCCGCTTCACTTAATGTGAGTGTGGACCAGTGTTGGAGAGCTACTGATTAAATTCATTCAGTTTAGTGTAGTTCTGCTAATGGGAGAATACAGGTAACAATCTCCATCTAGCAGCAATGGGTTGTGTTAAAAGTTAAGCAAAAAGGTGATAAACAAACATGCTCTCTTAAACTTGACTCTCTTAAATATGATTTCTTAAAGTGAATCAATATGCAAATTTTTTTTTTCTGTAAATAAATAAAAAAACACGTTTGTGATAGTTACAATTGGCATAAATATTATTCTTATTGATTAATTAGCTATATTTATCTTTCAAGTTTAAGGATTTAGTTTAATGTTTTAATCTGTTTAAGTGCTGTTTCCTCATTTGAAACTTGTTTTTATGAACAATATGCTACTGTTCAAAGTACTAAGGTCAGTCAGATTTTCAATGGTTTGGAAAGAAGGCTCACCGAGACTGCAATTATTTGATCAGAATACAAATTAAACAATAGTATTAGTAAACATTTTGACCATCTGAAATAGCTGTTTTCAATTTTGTTGTGTTTTAAAAAGCAATTTATCCATGTAAGTGAACAGGAAAACGTTTTGGCATCATTACTCCAGTCTCCACAGTCCTTCAGAAGTCATTTTACAGAAATATGTTGATCATTCTAATGTGCTATTTTTGGCATTTGTAGAAACAGTGACGAATTTTTCAAAATGCATTTTGGTAAAAAATACAAACATTGTAAAAGTCTTGTCACTTTTGATAAATTATTATAGCTTTAATACAATTAGGAATGTGTATTTTATCTAACTATATTTAGAAAATATTAATAAAAATTTTATAAAATACACTGGTTCACACAATCCAACCAGAGTGAGTTTACAGTGAATAGCTAAATAGATCAGTTCACAGGGCCCTATCATACGAAAATAGGCGAAATTAGACACAAGGTGTGTATGGCTAAATTTTTTGCTTTTTTCAGACCAGTGCAACTGTAATTTTCACATTTTGCACCACTTGTTTAAATAGCAAATCCATTTGCACCACTTTGTTGACTCATGGGCATGTTGCAGTTTGCTATGTTGAGGAGATGAAATAGATTGCACCATTGACCAACTAAAAGTGTTAGTTTTAATACAAACAGGATGATCAGCAATACACAAATATCTGTACATGTCAAAAAAATTAAAGGATTAAAATGTTACAAAAATTATTATTTTCTACATAAATTTAAAAACCACTAGTTCCATGCCTTTTTCACTTTCTACACAAGTTTGCTGACCACACTTCGTTATTTTTGTTCATTTATTGGTTTGCTGGAAATTAGAAATTCATTTAGAAATAGTTCTGAAACAGATCTTTGTGCTTAACAAATTAAATATGTAAGCGGTGGAGTGAGTTTCCACCGTTTCCTCACATCACAAAAGGAGTAAAGTAAAGAGTAAAAGTAAAGTAAAGAAAAAGTAAAAAGGCCAAATGGAAGCTCATTCTTTATCCTGGAACAGCAGATGGTCTGTTTAACTGTTTTCTTACTAGTGAAGCGTTCAGTTTTTCGACTTACAAAGTCCACTATGTAAATAAAAAATGTGCCATGGGGCGACGCAACTGACTCTTAAAGGGAATGGGAGATGAGACTCCGTTTACTTTAATACACGTTATACTCAAAACACACCCATAACTCATTAAGAGAATAAGCACAACCCTGCTAGACATGCGTCAGGGCGCAGAATGTATTTTTCCATCCTTAAAATAGCAAAAGTGGATTCAGACATGCCCTTAATGCTTTTGTGCCATGCGCTTTAGACTTTGCACTTAGATCAATAAAATAAAGCCCATGGTCTCCAGTACATGGCTCATGAAATTTGCATATTTTCAGACCAGTGCAACCTTAATTTTCACATTTTGCACCACTTGTTTAAATAGCAAATCCATTTGCACCACTTTGTTGACTCATGGGCATGTTGTTTTAAAAAAAAGGCCTGTTAAAGCGCATTGTTTAAAAATGAGCTAAAATCAAGAAATCCTGACATTCAAGTCTAGTCCACCAGTGAGAAGCATTCTGATAAGCCTAATGCTGAAATAAGCTGGAAAATATAAAGTAGCTAGATAACCTGGTGGACCAGTTTGAGCTAAATAAGCAAGTGCCAGCACAGCAGCATCCCTTGACACAGCTTGTTGTTTTCAGCAAGCATAAAGATATTTGAGACTGTTTTTACAAAAGCTTTAGACAGAACATACGTGTTTGTGGAGTCTGAACGGTGATTTCACTTGTAAAAGCCCCCAGGCCGTGTTTACTGCGCGCTGCTAGCTGAAATACGTAGGTGGAAAACGGCTTCAGATTCTTCAGCAGATAACTGGAGCTTGGATCAAATGTTATTTTCTGCAGGAGAGGGGTTTAAAGTAATTAGCATTAAAGCAGACGCTACAAAATGAAAACGTTCAGCATGTCTGTCTGTGTGCGTGTGTGTACCTGCTCTGGCTGGTCTCCAAGTCTGTAAATGAGCTCATAGCCAGTGATGGCATCTGTGCCACTGTGAGCGGGAGGGATCCACGACAGAAGGATGCTGGTCTCTGATTTCACCTCTGCCTTCAGCTCGGTGGGTTGCGACGGGACTAGGAATAAGCAGAGGCAAAAAGACGATGCTTGGAAAATGATGCAACAGAAACAAAATATGCTGCAATACTAACAGCGGTGGACAGTATTTGTGTTATTTCACTACTGTACTTGAGGGCATCTAAAGAATCTGTGCTTTCTGAGTATTTTTCATTTTAGGAAACATTTACTTTTACTCCATTCTAAAACAAAATAGAGCATTTTTTGCCAATACATAAATGTATTTATCATGCGTATTTGTTCTAAATGTATTATTTATCGTGTTAGGAGATGTGGTAGGGGTATCCCATTCGTAAACAAGCTAAATATGGTCAGTTACTCTGATAAATTGGTTAACAAATCGTACTGAACAATTAATTTTTGAATTGAAAAGATCCAATTGCCTCTGTTCTGAAGTCAATAACTCACTGATCCAAATGATTCATAGCAAGCCTAAAGTTAATGATACATTGATTCAAATGATCCAGTCAGTTTGAAGCCACAGTCATGCTAGAATCTGTGCAGGCAAAATTCGGTTGGATTGTACTTGGAAAAGGGACGGTATAAAATAAGATGATGAAACACTTTTAAAATGACCGGTTGCACCATATTTCTGTACAGAGAGGTCACACTTTAATCATTTGTTGGTCTCATGCAGTTATATATAGAAATATATTGATTCAAATGATCCATTCAACATGAGGCTACTGTACATTTAATAATATACTCATTCAAATGATCCTGTCAAAATGGGGCTAAAGTTAATATTATATTAATTCAAATGATTCATTCAGAGCGAGTCTACACGTAATACATTGATTCAAATGATCTAATTAGAGTACGGCTACAGTTAACAATATACTGTACTAATTCAAATGATTCAGTCAGATAAAGGCTACAGTTAACACTATATTGATTTAAAAGATCCAGCCAGAGTGAGGCTACAGTTAACAATATATTGAATTAAATGATCCACTCAAAGTGAGGCTACAGTTGTTAATATACTGATTTAAATGATCCAGTCAGATTAAGGCTGCATTTAATGACGCACTGATTCAAATGATCCAGTCAGAGCGAGTCCACACCGAATATATTGATTCACATGAACTAATTAGAGTGAGGCTACAATTAGCAATATACTGACTCAAATGATTCAGTCAAATTAAGGCTACAGTTACCACTAGGTTGATTCAAATGATCCAGTCAGAGTGAGGGTACATCAACACTATATTGATTCAATTGATCCAGTCAGAGTGAGGCTACAGTTAATGACCTGCTGATTCAAATGAACCAGTCAGAGCGAGTCCACATGTAACATATTAATTCAAATGATCTAATTATATGGAGGCTACAGTTAACAATATACTGATTCAAATGATCCAGTCAGATTAAGGCTACATTTAATGACTCACTGATTCAACTGATCTAATTAGAGTGAGGCTACAATTAACAATTTACTGACTCAAATGATTCAGTCAGATTAAGGCTACAGTCAGGGCCGGTGCTTCCATAGAGGCGACCTAGGCCCCCCTCATCCGCATCTAGGGTGGCAGAATAGATAGAGCGGCGTCCCCGAAACTATCCTTGCCACCCGCGGCCACAATTATATCCGCGTCTAGGGTGGCAGAATATAGAGAGCGGCGTCCCCGAAACTACCCTCGCCACCCGCGCCTCAGTTATAGCCGCGTCTAGGGCGGCAGAATAGAAAAAATCCCCCCACTATAATGTATAAGTTAACACTATAATGATTCAAATGAATCAGTCAAATTGAGGCTAGTTAATGACTCACTCATACATATGATTTAGTCAGATTGAGGCTACGGTTAACAATATATTGTTTCAAATAAATCAGTCAATTTGAGGCTACAGTTAACAATATATTGATTCAAATGATTAAGTCAGATTAAGGCTACAGTTAACATGTATTGATCTAAATGATTTAGTCAGAATGATGCTAGTTACTGACTCACTGATTCAAATGATTTAGTCGGATTGAGGCTACGATTAATAATACATTGTTTCAAACGAATCAATCAGATTGAGGCTACAGTTAACAATAAATTGATTCAAATGATTTATTCAGATCAAGGCTACAGCAGGGCTTAAAATTGCGACCATTTAGGTCGCATATACGCCCAAAATTTTATCTATGCGACCTCAAAATATATTTGGGAGCATTTGTGAGAGTGCACAAAATTGTTTTGTGCGACCAGTTTTTACTGCAATATGTTCACCACATGCGCGGATTCGGGAGACATTCATGCAGAATGCATCTTTGCACTTGAAATGCGAAATGCAGTGCTCAGGAAGGGTTTAAAACAGTTATCTTGTCAACTTGCTGACCCAGTCATGATCCAGTCAGAGTGAGTCTACAGTCAATGACTCAACTCATCTGTTCAGAGTGAGTCTCCAGTAAATGGTTCATGGAATTTTAAACTGATGCAAAATTAGTTCAAATCAGATCCTCTCAGCTTGAGTTCCTGTGACTGAAGGCGCGAAATGTGAGTTGCTAAAGCTGAATTTCAGGATTTATTATTGTAAATGAAATCATATTTAGGTCACAGCTGTCAGTGGTGCGTGAACTAAATCTGCTGTAAAAAGTCGACCCGTTTAAGCCCAACTGTATGAAATGCTTGAATGTGGACATTCCCATATTTGTGCATTACTCTTTAAACAGGGTAGGTTAAAGCATGTACTAAGCGTTATGATATTTTCACTTACTTGCACACTTGATCACTATCATTAATTATCAGTATGATTATAGCAATAAATAATAAGTCTAATTAGCTAAATAAATAAACATCAATAAGTACATTTTACTTTAAATACAACAATAAAGTAGTTTTTGCCCTTTGACTAAAGCAAAATTAAACAAGTATGTCTTTTTACTTTTACTAGAGTAATAATTTATTTGAATATCAGAACTTTTACTTAGATATTTGATGATTTATGCATTTCTTCCACCACTAAAAATTAATATGAAAACATATAGTTTATATATGTTTTACATATACATATACATTCTGCATACCTCCTGTTTTAGCAATGATGTGCAAATCACTGGAAAGAGGTCCATCTCCGACTGCGGTGAAGGCGAGAACTCTAATATAATAGGTTTTGTTGGGGGTCAAGTCTCGTATGTTCAAAAAATTGGCCCCTCGAACCATCTCCTTCTCCCATTGGCTGACAGAAAGCGATGAATCTGATGTGTAATAGACCCTGTAACCAACCACCTGGCCGTTGGCTTCCTCTGGCTCCTCCCATTGCACCATGGCTGTGGATCCGCTCAGCATTCGACCCCTGACCCGGCGAGGAGGGGAACTGGGTGCCTGTTCCGCCGTTCGAGCATCCACGGTTGGACTCGGTGCGCCGCGACCGATTGAGTTCACCGCCACCACCCGGAAATGGTAGTGGGAGTAGGGGCTGAGCCCACCAACACTGTAGCGGGTTGTTGCAATGGCATCAATTTCTTTGAAGGGGTCGGTGGACGAGGAGGGACGATACTGGATGATGTAGTAAGAAACAGGGTGTGGATTTCCACTGTCCCACATGAGAGTAATGCTGGTGGCAGATCGCTCCATTACAACTGGACTTCCTGGAGGATTGGGAAGAGCTGGAAGATGGAGAAGGAGAATTAGGAAAATGTATTGTAAAGATATAATAAATGTAGTGGGAATCCTGTCATCCAAAGATTAATTTTTAGCGGGTGCTTTCACAGCGGGTGCTTTGAGCACAAAACCCCAGAGAGCAGTGCACCTACCGCTGGATCGCGTCTCATTATAGTTGTTAAACGTGATATTTAATTAATCTTGTCTCAATCTGATGACTCTTCTGTCTATTGAATCAGGTAACGTATAACAGTGTCAGTACACTGCTTCAATCTTTAGCTTTCACGCTTGTACTTAACCTCATATACTGTTGGTTGGTTCCTGTTGGTTGTGTACCTTTTTTACCAACCAAGTTTGTCGATGCCATTATAACGACACAGATCACTCTGCCTACTCATGCCAGAGTCCCGCGGAAAAAGTGATTGACGGGTGGTATTTTGTGTGTGACTTATCATTATTTATTTATGATTTGGTTATGGGTAAAGCAAAGACTATGCGGGTCAGGTGGTTGAAACAATAGGCTACAAATAATTAATTTGTTATGGATTCATTAATTATTTAAAAATAATTAATTTACCGCTGCCTACAACGACGATGCCATCGTCCATCGTGATGATTCACATTAGATATTGTACAATGTCAAATTGGTCAAGATCGCCCAACCCTAGTTTTAAACCTTCATGAGTTCCTTTCTTCTGTTGAACACAAAAGAAGATATTTTGAAGAAGACTGAAAACCTGTACCTACTGACTTCCATAATAGAAAAACAAATAATATGAAAGTCAGCAGTTACACGTTTCCAGCTGTCTTCAATAAATCTTATTTTGTGTTCAACGGAGGAAGGAAATTCAAAAAGGTTTAGAAGAAGTGAAAGGTTAATAAACAATAAACTATCCCTTTAAACATCTTCAAAGAGTCTTTTAACATCCCTCCTGTGTACCTTTAACTGTGATCTGGGCAACAGTTTCTATAACTCCGAGTGTAGACATGGCGACACACGTGTAGTTGGCAGACTGGCGTACGTTGGTGAGCTCCAGAACATTTCGCCCAATAGGCATGTCGTCTTCTGGTGTCAAATCCTCGGCTCCCAGCATCCATTTGACATATGGCATAGGAACCCCCACCGCCTGACAGGTGATGTTCACACTTCCTCCCGGCATGATCTCATAATCCATCGGTGGCACAGAGAATCGAGGAGGGATTCGCCGCACTGAGGGTGTGAAAGACAGAGAGCCATTTATTAACTCATGCTAAAGACATTATTGATGCTACAGAGAGCACTCTGTATGACAGATGAACACTTGTGATGTTGTATACTGCAGGTTAGCAATCTGTGTTGTAGAGAAGAGCGAGGTAAGATGTGGCTGGGTTGCTTTTTAATGTGCCGAACTATGTTGTTTCTTTGTAATGTGAATATATGATTAAAAAAACATCTCATCAAATAGACATGCCAGTGATTTAGAGATGAACATGAGAGAAGTGACAGACATTTTTTTGAGAAAGCTGAAAACTGTTCAATGGCAGATTATACAAGTAGATACAAATTTATACGGATCTAAAATATACAGTTGAAAGCAAAATTAGGTCCTACCTTATATATAACTAATATGTACTTACTATATACTTGTTTTTCAATTGTAATTATGCTTGATTAATTATCTGCATGTTATTACATCTGTAATTAATTTATGTAATTACATCTTTAATTACACTGTTGACCACCATATCTTTCCCTAATCGTCCCGTACCCACCCCCCCCCCCCACCCCCCCCAAAAAAAAAACTAACCATAACTAAAAATAATCATCAATAAATTTTTCACAGCATTTATTTGAATCTTTGTTAATGCTAATTAACAAAAATAAAGCTATTGTTAGTTCATGTTAGCTCAGGACAACAAAAAAACATTAGATATAACTTTTGATTATAATGATGTATTGATGAATGTTAAAAAATAAAAACATAACAGAGATTAAACTATATACGCTAGAAGTATGTTTTGTTCTAATGCTGTATGCCCTTCTTTTGTATTTACAATAACAAAAATAAAAATAAAAAGGCATGCCGGCAGATTGTAAACCTATTAAGCTCTTTATTATTCTTATAAAGATGCAAACTAATCACAGAAAAAGAATTCTGTAAATTTTATGTAACATTTAATATACATCAGGCCATTTTCAGTTTTCATGCTTTCGGTTGTAAATTACATGATTTTTCCCCACCGAACTCCATTTTGTTTTGTACCTTTTTAAATATCAAACAGTTAAAAATAAAAAGAAAGAAGTGCATACAACTTCGGGACAGTTAAAAATGCAAATAATGAAGAGGTATTAAGGTCTGAATTTTCATTTTAGAGTGAACTATCGAATTAAATAATGTAAGAAAGCTCATTGCAAAATGTTTATTTAAATGTTTAATGTAACATATTTATTTTATGCAATATTTGTATAGTTATATATACTATAGTGTTATAGTAAGTCATTTTATGGTTTTACACTGCATATGTTGTCTTACAAATGTTTCTCAAACTTATGAATGGAGAACATACAGAAAATGATGCTTTAACTTTACAGTATGTTTCAACATCAACATACAAACAACCTAATGTAATAAAAAAAAACAGTAATATTGTAAAAAGTTCAAACGAGTACACGGTATTACTATGCTATCATTTGCTATTAGCATGATGCTATGGAATGCAGTTAAGTAGGATCAGGTGAAATATGGCGGATTAGTGTCAAATGACATATGAAGTATTAGGAGAGTGAGTTAGATGGTCTGCAGGGAGGGAATCCCAGTGGAGGGGGAGGATTATGTGGATGTGAGGGTCTGAGGCCTAGATTATAGTAAGAAACACAGCATTGGTTTTGACAGGAACGGCACTTACCATCTCTTAACTCTACAGAGGGGTCCGGCAGTGAGAAATGAGGCAACAGGGAGAAATAAACAAACAAAATCTAAGGTAAGAAGGGGATGATCTAAGAAGAAGCAGACTACCCTGTGCATCTATTCATAAGAATTTGTTAGTCACAGGTTTTAATATCTACAGTAATTCTACAGCATTCAGATAAGTAGCTCAAAGCTGTACCTCTGACGTAAAGGTTAGCTGGTGTTGAGTAGCGTGTTCCTTCACTGTTGGTTGCGACACACTCGTATTTACCCTGATCAGTTTCTTCACTCTGATCAATCTGAAGTGCACCTGGATACACATGCACATATAAAGGCAAAACATTTACAACGCAAAGATAAACAGTCACCAGACCAGTCCTCTTGAAGGAATGTTCTGGATTCTGTACAAGTTGAACTGTATTTACAAACAGACAGATTAAAGGAGATCGTTTTATATTACATTATTATTATGTTAAGCATATTGAATTCAGATATGTAATAGTTCTAATGTCTAATTTCCAAAAAAATATCAGATACAAATTTGGTCTTTCCCATGATGGCTGTACATAATATTTCACTACTTATTTTGCATAAGCAATTAGATGAAAGTTCAAATTAAAGGTGCAATTAGATTTTAAGTTTGGTTAATTAGGCAAGTCATTTGGGTATTACATTATTTATACAGTATGTATATGTGTTTATCTCTACTATATAACTTAGTGCAGTGGTCACCAAACTTGTTCCTGGAGGGCCGGTGTCCTGGAGATTTTGGCTCCAACCCTAACCAAACACATCTGAACAAGCTAATCAAGGTCTTACTAGGTATGATTAAAAAACATTCAGGCAGGTGTGTTGAGGCAAGATGGAGCTAAACCCTGCAGGGACACCGGCCCTACAGGACCAGGATTGGTGACCCCTGGCTTAGTTCCTCACACATATCAGTTTTCCTAAATAAAAATCAAACTGAATTAAAATATATACAATAATCTATATAGACAAAATTAATCCTGGCAACTACATCACAAAATCTAAATATTTCTAAATAACATTTTAAGAGTTCACACTATGATATGCTTGACACTAATATCAGGTTTGGCATGCTGTCCCAGGAGAGAGCCCTGAGCTCGGAGATAATTGAGCCCAGGGCACCCGCCTGGTCATTAAGTGTATAAGGGTGTCCGAGATCAGATAGGCCTCGAGAGCTCCACCTGGTAAAGAGAGGAAAAGGAGGAGATGGGGTGGAAGGGGGGATTCTTCCGAAACAAAAATAAGGAAGTAGGGCGAATTGGTCAATTTATTGTAAGCTTGAATCAATCTGATTGAATTATAGCTGATTACGGATGAGAGACAAGCTGCGATCAATCATTTCACATGCTCCTCTCGAAACTACTCTGTAAAACTTCATTTGGTATATATTTATTTTGCTTCGCTTGCTCATTTCAATTAAATTATGGTTGCAGGTTTGCACATATAATTATTGTTGCATTACTGTACATATAATATTTGTTTGTTTTTACAAGGTAAAGTAAATATTATTTTCTGTTACTGTATGCCACAGATGCTGTTCTTAAAGCTTAAATTGTATAGTTTAAAAGCTGCTGTAAAATTTACAGTATTACTAGCAATTTTAGTTGCCAGTAATACTTGAAAAATTTACAATTGCACTGTAAATTAACAATTACAATTTTACTGTAAAAGTACGGCACAGTCATAATTGTTAACTTACAGTGTTTAAATTTTGCCAGTAATACTGTGAAAATTGCCATTAATAATCTAAAAACTTCTAGTAATACTGTAAAATTTACAATGCTCATGTAAGTTTTACAGTATTACAGACAACCAAAATTGCCAGTAATAAATTAAATTTTTAAGCATTTTTTACAGTGTATTCAACCTAGAATATTTTAAAAACTGTTAATCAAACATGCCAACACAAGACGAAAATGTTTGTAAATACCAGCAGAAAAAAAAAAAGACAATTGCCAAGATAATTAACCCACATATAAATCATCAGAGCATTGAAAAAACAACTCCGAAGCCTTTAAAGAATAAAATAAACAAAATGTTTCCTTACAATCTTACAAGGAAAAAACAAAACAAAAAACAAACAAGCAACTGTCTTTGCCAAAAACAGGGAAAAAAGAAAGTAAAAGCAGTCAGCCGCTTCAACATTATTAAAATATTAATAGTTAGATATAGAGACAGACAGACAGACTCCAAAAAGAGACAAACGGTGCTGCACTGCAAGTAGAGCAGACTCTAAAACGCTTCATTAAAAAGACAACATGAAAAAAGACAGATTTTTCATCCAAGTAGAAATGTCTAGCTGAAAAATGAAAATGATGTTTAATTAGAAGGAGAAAGAAGTGAAAAGATCCACAGAGGGATCAGAAGAGTGTCAGAAAAAAATGCATAAAAAATGATTTAATTGGAGTAAAGTAAGAGCTTTTCAGGAAAATGAGAACGAGGAAAAAGTTGCTGACATCACAACTGAGTCAGGATTGCTCTATATTTCAAAAGATAAGACTATTTAGTGAATCGCTTCTCTTTTTGCATACTAAAGCCAAAAAACAACAACATACTCTATAATTTATGTCTGATATCAGCTTCTCTATTAAAAATCATTCACACAGCACGCAGTATATCATAGTTTTCTTTTTTCAGTTAAAAAAATGATGCAGCAATTCAAGACTGGGAGAGGACCAAATATGAAAGTTTAAAGACCCCATAAAAATTAAATACGATTTTTGTGCCTTTTAGTCCGTGACAGCTAGCTTTGAAGCTGTCTAAATGCACTTTTTATGTGATATACTTATTTAAAATTTAAAGCCTTCAGGGGACAAGTGATGAAAAACTATGACTCATCTGTCCAATAATATGATCTCTACTGTGAGAATACCCCTTCTCTTATTTATGTAGGTTTACACAACACATTAACACATTTTAAGGCTTGATCAAGACCCCATGGCGCATATATACACAAATTTGAGAAACAGTATGTAGACTGAATGGTAGATAATGGCATTTGTGTAACTCTTCTTTAGGCTGCAATTGGTCTATTTTTATATACATTGAAATATATTGTTGACATTCAAAGGTAATGTTACATTTATTTTAACTGTTTTATTGGTTTGTTTGATTTATATGGTTCTATATTGTCAGGTTGGTTAATCATTAGGTTTTGTTTCATAATGACAATATCAAACCTCAAAATTTTATTTATTGACACAAATTTTCCTCAATCTGTGGTTTGGGTATTGACATCACATGATTATATTTTATATACATTAGATTAGTTATTACTGAATCTAAATCTAGAGCTAACCAAACAAAATAACTTATAATAATAGTCCAACATTAGTACACCCAAATGTATATGTTAAGGAAAAATATTAAATATTTTTTTAAAAGAGTAAAGTTCAAGAAAAACAAAAAATGTATACAATTTTGTTGAAAATTTGTAGTTTGCCATCTTTCCATAATATTTTGCATACATTTAATGTATTATCTTTCTATTATGTTCAGTGGAAATATAAATTTTCAAAATGATGCACACTCATTTATGTTGAGGACTGTATATAAATATATATTAAATTTACTTCAATTCCTTGAATGAAAATCTTGTGGTGTCAATACACAGATCTACAGTTTTTGAAAAATTTGTGTCTATAAATTATATTTTGAGGTTTGACATTGTCATTATGAAACAAAAGCTAACCATTAACCAGCCTAACTGACAATATAGAACAATATAAATCAAACAAACCAATAAAACTACAGTTAAAAAAAGATGTAAACATTACAAACACATTTGAATGCAAAACATATACTTGATTGTATATAAAAATAGACCAATTGCAGCCTAAAGAAGAGTTATGTCAGGTTTCAATGCAAAAGGCCATTATCTAAACTTAAATCCACATATCGTTGCTCAAATATTTAGATATTACATATCAAAAAATGACCTATTAATAAAATGACTTATTAAGGTAACATTATTAGCCCCCTTAAACCATTTATTTTGATAGCCAACAGAACAAACCACTGTTATACAATAACTTGCTTAAATACCCTTACTTGTCTAATTAACCTAGTTAAGCTTTTAAATGTCACTTTAAGCTGAATACTAGTATCTAGTCAACCTTATGTACTTTCATCATCTCAAACATAAAATTAAATCAGCAAAATTTTTAATAAAAAATATTTTCTTTTGAAACGTGTTGAAAAAATATTTTGATAAACAAAAATCAGGGAAAAATATAAGGGGGCTAATAATTTGTGAGGGGTAATAATTCTGACGTCAACTGTGTATATATAGCAGTAAAACTTTCACTTTGTTGCTCACAATGATTTTACATGGCTCCAGAAGACTTGTATTACACTTTACTTGTTGTGAAGTGGTTAAGTTTATGGTAGGATATTGGTCAAATGTTTAAAAATATCAATGGAAGATAAACAGTTTATAGTTTGACACATGCATGTTAGAATTAAATACATCTGACACATAGGGAAAACTATTTAAAGCAATGGAACACTCTGCACGTCAAAAAAATGATGCCAAAGGGGAACCCAAGGTGGCGCAACCAAGCATAAAAATGTGACAAGCTGGGAGTGAGAATGTGTTTGTTTTAGGAATGAGTCTTTAAAATTTCCTGCAAGCTTCCCGCTTCAATAATGCATTAGCACAAGAAAGAAAACGCCACCGGTCTATTTTTGAATTTTGCAAACGTTTACCAGCAGCATATTACTCTGGCTATATTTCTTCCTTAGGTAAAAGTAGTGGTAAAATACTAATGTGTGGTTACAAATTCAGGACATCATCTGTCAACTGAAAAAAAAAGCTCATATTGAACAAGCACTCAAGTAAATCCTCTTTCATTTTTTTATCAGCTCACAAAATGAATGTCTATTTGATTTAAATTCACCATAAAGATAAGACATCCTGATAGAATCTGTGTAAAGGGGAGGTTGCTTTATCATGGTGACAGAACCCAAACATTAATCACGATAAAAACAGTCTCTGAAAATGACACGGTTAGTCAAACAATCAGAGAGATAGAGGAAGAGAGAAAGATTTAAAAAGAGAGAGAAAGGAGAAGAGGAAGAAAGAGAGAGAGAGAGAAAGAGAGAGAGAGAGAGTGATAAGGTGAGGATAGATGTGGTGGGTAGCTTTAGTCTCTTACCTCGGATAGGCGTACCCCCTGGATGTGTGAGAATGAAAGCAGATGGGAGATTAAAGAGAAGACGAGTTAGTGCAGCGAGGGAGAATGAGAAAAAGACAAAGTGATAGAGAGAAAGAGAGAGAGAGTGAAAAAAAGATATACAGAGAAAGAAAACAGAAAGATAGAGGGAAAAATAGAAACAGCTAAAAAGAAAGAGTGCAAGAAAGAGAAAGAGGGGAGGAGGGAGACTCTTCATGTCTTAAGTGCAAAGTGTTGCCGTTTTCGAGATGACAACAGAGGTCGCCTTAACTGAAAAGAACTGACAATTTTCCATCATTTTGCAAGTTTATAAATATTTATGATTACAATGTTTATATTCTTTTTCAAATATGATTAGATGTTTTCCTTTCTATGACAGAAGAATTATTGGAATCTTACTAAGAAACTAGATTTTGTAAATGTGTATGTTTTAACGTCAAAATAACACTCTTGAAAAATGGAGGTGAATGAAAGAACTAAAATCCGTTTTCACAGAAATGTCATAGAAGTTGTTTTTGTTGTTGCCCAATGAACCATTTGGGTAAAACGTATGACAAATACCTATTTTTCATAGTGTGAAGAACACTTGTAAAATCTAAAACAGAGATGCTTGGCCAAAGTCGCCCCATGGTAACCTTTGTTTTGGCCCGGCATCCCATCTGAGAAGAAAGGGGTAATGATACACTGTAAAACCCAGCAGTCAACTTTATCAAATGAATAGAGTATAGTTAACTCAGAATTGACAGTTTATGTTACCTCAGTATTTTCATTGGAGTTTCTGCGCTTGTTTGCTGGCGCTAGCAGTTACATGATCTTCTTTTATGCTTAAACAAGTAAATGAACGCTAAAGTCCATTTAATTGATTGTATTTTGCTGACATTACAACATCAATGCTGTAAGAGGAACCTTATGTAAATGAAAATAGTCACATTAAGCTTTCACCGAAAGTTTATCAGTGGCTGAAAAACACAAGCTGTGCATATATCCCATTGAAATGCTGAACTTGGAGTTTCTTCCTAAATGCTAAGCTGTTAGCATGCTAGTGTAACAATAGCTTCTGAAACGTTCATGATGATCTGCTATGCGAGATCGTGTGAGGGTTTCATTAGAAGAATTCATCTTAAAAAGTTTTGAAAGCGGGAGGTTGATGTATAAAGCCGCTAACATGCTAGCTAACAAAATGTAAACATTAGCTGTTTATGATATGATGTGCAGAAGCATCTGGCATTTGATTACAACTATTTGTAAATTGTGATTTCATAACCTGATTTCCTCATTACTTAGGATTTATAAACTTAGATTTTTTAAGTATTTGAAATGGAAACAAAAAGCTAAGGATCTGCTAATAAAAGCCTCTTTCCACAGAAATTCCAGCTATATCAATATCGCAACAAAAGATACCATTATTCCACCAAATTATAAACATGACAGAAAATTTTGTCAGTAATAATAGCACAACCTCATGATGACACCTCCGTTTTCAAAGAAAGTCAATCCTAAAATCCATATGAAAGTGAATTGAAACGAACACAGAGACTTAAGACAGGTAGACTCAAGCCCAGAGAGAGGAAAGCCAAAAAAGGCCACGGTTTTTGGGTGAGAAGCCACTGTAACATTCAGCATTTGGACATTCAAACCTATCTAGGCAACAAAGTGAGAGAAAGAAAGAGAGAAACAGAGAGAGATCTGGAAGAGTGAGAGGGGGTTGTGATGCAGGAAATCCAATGCCGAGGGCAGTGAGCGTTTGGAGAAGTGAAAGAGTGAGCCAGTGAAGGAGGGAGCCAGAAAACGTAAGTGAAAGTGGAAGCTCGATAACACATGTTAGAGGGGCAGCGCTCGGGTAAGGAGGACTAACTACTACAGTAGATACAGTATATGTGACTGCTGTGTGTGTTAGCAGATTATACTAATATGGCTATGTGCGTGGAGAGAGGGTGACTATATTGTTAGGGGGAGTTCATTATATAGATATATCATGCGCTTTACCGGTAACGACATGTTTATGTGTTGTGCGTAAACATTTGTGAGTGTGTGTTGTGCCTCAGAATAACACACTTACCAAAGGACTCTGTAGATTAAAACACAGAAAGAGAGACAGCACATTTATCACTTAAGGTTCTCACACAGCAAAAACAGTGTGTTTGAGACTGTGTGTGTGTGTGTGTGTGTGTGTGTGTGTGTGTGTGTGTGTGTGTGTGTGTGTATGTATGCATGTGTGTGTCTGTGTGTGTTTATGTCTATGTATGTGTATGTATGTGTGTATGTGTGTGTGTGTGTGTGTGTGTGTGTGTGTGTGTGTGTGTGTGTGTGTGTGTGTGTGTGTGTGAGATAGGATACTAGGCTACAGGATTTCTTTAAAGGTGCACTCAGAGAGGTTTTGTGTGTACAGTAAGTCTGCTGGATGAAAGTTGTTGGTCACGGATTGTTACATTGGTCGGCCAGTTTTTTCTCTTTTATGATGTGTCTTTTTAATTTATATTGTATTTTCTGTTTTTGATTGGTTTTGAAGTACTTTTACAATTATGCTTTTAAAATATGTCATTAATATACATGGAAATAATTTAATTGAATTTTAATATTAATGTTAAATATAAATATTTACATTAAATCTGTTAATATTAATATTTTCATTAATTCATTCATTTTCCTTCATCTTAATCTCTTATTTATCAGGGGTCGCCACAGTGGAATGAACTGCCAACTATTCTGGCATATGATTTACACAGCAGACGCCCTTCCAGCCACAACCCAGTACTGGTAAACACCCATACACACTCACATTCAGGAACATTCATACACTATGTCCAATTTTGTTTACCAAATTCACTTACACCAACGAGGGGAGAACATGCAAACTCCACACAGAAATGCCAACTGGCCCAGCTGGTACTCAAACCAGCGACCTTCTTGCTGTGAGGTGACAGTGCTAACCACTGAGCTACCTTGCTGTCCCTATTAATTTGTTGTTTTATTTTTATTCATTTATTCATTTTCTTTTCGGTTTAGCCCCTTTATTAATCAGGGGTCGCTACTGCGGAATTAACCGCCAACTTATCCAGCATATGTTTTACGCAGCGGATGCCCTTCCAGCTGCAACCCATCACTGGGAAACACCCATAAACTTTCATTCACACACATACACTACAGACAATTTAGATTACCCAATTCACCTAAAGTGCATGTCTTTTGGACTTGTGGGGGAAACCGGAGCACCCAGAGGAAACCCATGCAAACACGGGAAGTACATGCAAACTCAACACAGAAATGCCAACCGACCCAGACAAGGCCTTCTTGTTGCGAGGCAATTGTGCTACCCACTGCGCCACCGTAAAGCCTATTATGTAAAATTAGTCCAAGTTAAATAATTGTTTTCTTTCCAATAGAAAAACTGCTTAGGTTTCATATGTGATATTATTGATGAAAAAAAAAAAACTAGAACTAGAACTTATATGTTAAGCTGCTTTGACACAATCTACATTGTAAAAGCGCTACAGAAATAAAAATGAATTGAACTGAATTAAATAAAAAAGGATTGTTGCATTGGTCTGGCAGTGTTGCTTTCTTTTCAGTTTTTTATATGTCTTTAAATTTATATTGTATTTTCTGTTTTTGATTTGAAGTACTTTTAGAAATATGATTGGTGAAGATTACAGAATATATATTATATTGAAGAATTTAAATGTTGCTTACCATTAAAGTACATTCATGCAATAAAAAAATGTGGTAAAACACACATTTTAAGGAAATTTATATGTATTGTATATGTATACAGTAAAGGTATAATAATTATCTAGGTAAAAATGCACTAAAAATATAAATAAAAACTGACAATATTATGTACTGGGCGACTCAGTGGCGCAGTAGGTAGTGCTGTCGCATCACAGCAAGAAGGTGGCTGGGTCGCTGGTTCGAACCTCGGCTCAGTTGGCATTTCTGTGTGAAGTTTGCATGTTCTCCCTCCCTTCGTGTGGATTTGCTCCGGTTTCCCCCACGATCCAAAGGCATGCGGTACAGGTGAATTAGGAAGGCTAAATTGTGTGAGTGTGTGTGTGTGTATGTTTCCCAGAGATGGGTTGCGGCTGGAAGGGCATCCGCTGCGTTAAAAATGTGCTGGATAAGTTGGCGGTTCATTCCGCTGTGGCGACCCCGAATTAATAAAGAGACTATGCTGACAAGAAAATGAATGAATGAATATTATGTATTTTTATTACTAATCATTCCCAGCAGACACACAACATTATAAGATGTTAATATAAAGTTAAATTTAGGTCGCCAGTGTCTAAGGGCAATGTTATTTTGGCGTCCAATAATGACGTTAAATGACACTGATATTTAGTTTATTTAAGGTTGTGTTGGAAAGTAACCAAAATCCAACGTCGAGCCAACATCTTAAACCAACGTCATATTGACGTCAAATACTGACATTTATTTGTCAGGTATGGCAACCAAAATCCAACGTCTGATAGACGTCATATTGGTAATGTCCACACAACAACAAAATGTAACATCATTAGACGCTGATATTTGGTTGTCTGATGTTGGAGATTGTTGACATTGATAACCCGATTTTCATTTCCAATGCAACATCCCACGACGTTGGGGTAGTACGTCAATCTGACATCAAGTTGACGTCCTGTGCCTGCTGGATTGTTTTCTATTTCTTAGAAAAAACTGCTTAATTTCATATGTGATTTGATTAATGAATAAAAACATTTAAAAGAACACCCTATATACAGTAAATATTTATTTAATATTTCTCTAATTTTTTTTTTTTTTTTGCTGTTGTTATACTTCATAATCAAAATTTACTTCAATACTTCATATACTTCATTAACCATCTAATGATTTTTTCATAATGAACGTAATTTGTTTTTCCTAGACTAAAATGAAAATAATACATATTTTTGGCACAATATGAAAAAAATGAATCAGCATAATGATTACAATAGCCAGAATTTTAATATTGGTCAATCCCTAATGGTTCATGTGGCTGAATTACACATTTCATGGTTATTAGTAGAGTCTGCAAAACTCAGATCATGTGACCATAATGAGGGACCATCCTGATTCATCGAGTATAAAGCTACAGAAAAATGACTTTTAATCTCATAAAAGTAAGACACATCCTTTTAGAAATATATGTAAATTATGTCCATTAAATGTGTGCTGGACATTTCTTAAGTGCACCTTTAAACAAATGAGGAGAATAAGAGCCGAGAGAGCGTGACTCCTTCAGCGCACACACCTGAGCGCAGCTGTTTGATGCGGCCGTGAGTGTGTGTGTCAATGGGCAGGAAATCTTTAAACCAGGTGATTTCGGGGTCAGGCGTCCCGCTGGCTGCACACAGCATGGTAGCGGTGCGAGACCGCTCCACCACCTTCAGCTGAGGGCCCATGTCTATAGATGGAAAGCCCGCAGGGAGCTGGTCCTCTGAAATAAACAAACAAACAAACAATACAGTCACACCTTCAGTGAACAGCTTGAATCTTTACGAGGGTGATATTCTTTGTCCATAAGTTATGCAAAATAGCACAGTTTATTCCATTTTATTATTTTTTTGTTGTTGTTTTACAGCCTTTACTATTATCTGTATAGACTGCAACTACAAAATAAATTGTGTTTCACAGTACAAAACATTTTAGGACTGTCTTTTTTTAAATTATTTTAGATTTTACTTAATGTAATAGTGAAGTATACATTGCATCTTGTGCTGTTTGTTTTTGGTGCATTAATCTTATAAACAGAATAACTCAAAAAAGTTATGATCTGCACTCATTGAGAAATTGCATTATATATTTTTTACTTCATTTTTTATTTATTTTTATTGATCGGAAATACTGAAACAAATGTTTCGGCTCAACACCTTCCTCAGAGTGTTGATGCCTATTTTACTTAAATATTTCATTGTACACAAATTTCTTTTAGATTTTTTATCTATTATTTTTATTAATTAATTAAAAAATTTTAAACCACCTTTCATATTATTTATATCATTGAATGTTTTTATGAAGTAAAAAAGTAAGAAATTAACTTTTTAATTAGGCTATTTTATTATTTAGCTATTATTTAATTTTTATATTTAATTCAAATTTGAACAAAAGTTTAAGTAATGTTGGTTGCAGCATTTGTCATTTGTATTATTTTTTGTCGTTTAAAAAATTGGGCTATATTTAATTAGTAGAGTTTTAGGCCCCATTTACACTAATACGTTTTAGTTTTAAAGCAGCGTTTTAGAATGAAAACAATCGACTCCCACACTAGCGTTTTACCCAGCGTTTCTGAACAACTCTGCAACTACATTACACCTCTGAAAACGTACATCACATGACCACACACACACTCTGGGCTGCACTGCAGCGTGCTTTGAGCACATCTACGCATGAGAGCTGTGCACGTCAGACTGTTCATCAAGGATTTACCACTGGATCTAATCTCACTATATTTGATAAACCTGATATTTAATTAATCTTGTTATCTATATCTAACAACATATTCCCTGACTGGTCTTTTGAATCTATTACTTCTTCTCAGGTAACGTGTTTTGGCTGAGCGCAAAAATAAGTTAGGTTAATATATTAATGAATGTAACAGCGGACACTGCTTCTGCATGTTGACTGATTGCTTGCCTTTTTTTCCTATATTGTATAAACTTATTGTACAATATACTTTTATGGTAACACTTTACAATAAGGTTCATTAGTTAATGCATTTACCAACATGAACTAATCATGAACAACAGCTGTTTAGCATTTATTAATCATAATTGAACATTTACTAATGCATTAATAACATTCAAGTCCATGCTTGTTAACATTAGTTAATGCACCATGAGTTAACATGAACTAACAATGAACAACTGTATTTTCATTAACTAACGTTTACTAACATGAATTAATAAAGTAGTAAATGTATTGTTCATTGTTTGTTCATGTTAGTAAATGCATTACTTAACAATAACTAATGAACCTTATTGTAAAGTGTGACCACTTTTATAATGGCCATTATTGATTAATAATCAATAAAAAGAAGGTATGTTTCATATTTTCAATAAAAATGAAAAGAGGTAGTAAAGTAATAGACTCTGTTTTGCTATAAATATGCATACAATGAAGATGACGATCATATAAATATGTAGCTACACGACACCTCAACATTTGTGCTTTGAGTTAAGTTGCTAATATCAAAATGAAAATAGCAGTTCCTCATATCATGCTTTCATTTTACTGCTAAGAAGTGAAACAACGTAGCCAGGGTGATGTGAATGAGGTTATAAAGTACACTGTTCCCTTTGAAGATTAAAACACCCAATAAGATATGCGAATGTCTGCAGCCACACCTCCATTTTCAGATGTCTCCGTTTTACCCCATACACAGGTCAGCAGCATTTTAAAATCGAAACGGCCTCTCCAATGTTTTTTTTTTAAATGCTCTGATTTCGGTGCTTAAAAATTTTAAACAAAAATGTATTAGTATAAACCGGCTTTAAATTGAAATTAAAATGAATTCTTATTTTTAAAACGATAAAAAAGCATGTTAATTTTATGATTTCAGTCTTAAACAATAATAACCCTAAAACACTTTAGTTTTAAATGAAACAATACATATTATCCAGTACATGCTTTTTTTGTAATGGGTCCTTTTAAATGATATTATACAGAAAGCAATAATTATAATTTAAAAAGAAGGTTAGGACATAACTATTTTGGGATGCTTTCTATTAAAAACGTTTTACAAGCAAGCTTCAAGCTTATACAAAAAGCTAGGTGTTTAATTTTGCACCTACAGTTAAAGTCAAAAGCATTAGCCCTTCTGTGATTTTTCTTTTTCAAATATTTCCCAAATGATGTTTAACAGAGCAAGGAATTTTTTCCTAAAATATTTTTTTCTTCTGGAGAAAGTCTTATTTGTTTTATTTCAGCTAGAATAAAAGCCGTTTTAATTTTTTTTTTAAACAAATTTAAGGTCAATATTATTAGCCTCCATAAGCTATTTTTTTCCGATAGTCTACAGAACAGACCATCATTATACAGTTAATTACCTTAACATGCCAAATTAAACTAGTTAAGTCTTTAAATTGCACTTTGATGAATACTAGTATCTTAAAAATATCTAGTAATATATTATTTACTGTCATCATGGCAGCAAGGTTAAAATAAATCAGTTATGGAAATGACTTCTTAAAACTATTATGTTTAGAAATGTGTTGAAATAAATCTTCTTTTTGTTAAACAGATATTGGGGGAAAAAATACAGGAGGGCAAATAATTCTGACTTCAACTGTATCTATGTATGCTGACCCTTAAATTAATCATTTCTCAACAACATGAAAACAGTTATATTCAAATACCCTGCAGGCACAGGACAACCACATGACGTCAAATTGATGTTGTATCCTAACGTACCTCAACGTCGTAGGGACGTTGGATTTTATTTGGAAATGAAAATTGGGTTGAAGTTAGAACCCAACGTCAGGCCAACGTCAATGTCCAACCTAAAATCAACCTAAAATAAACCAAATATCAACGTCTAATAATGTTACACTTTGACGTTATCACTATAGTATCTATTAGACGTTGGATTTTGGTTACTTTCCAACACAACCTAAAATCAACCAAATATCAACGTAATTCGTCATCATTATTATATCAACGTAATTCGACATCATCATTTGACATCCTTAGATGCTGGCTAGACATTGAATTTTGGTGACCTGACATTATGACCTAGATCTAACCTAATATTAACGTCTTATGTTGTGTGCCTGCTAGTTTGCTTTTTAACAGATCTTCAATGTTAGTAAAAAATAACAGTCATTTTTACTAACATCAAGAATCAAGCAATTTTCACTGAAAACACTAGAGCAAGCTGAACACCAGCCATGTTTTAAAGCAGTTTGCATTGAGAAGTGATGGTACCGCGGAGAACGCTAAGACGCGTAGAGGCGGTGATCTCCCCAATTTCATTAGAAGCAACACATTCATAAATAGCCTCGTCACGGGGGGTTCGAAGCGGCTGCACTCGCAACGCAGACCCTGAGCCATCCTCAAACTCTATCACCTACAAACAAACACACACAGAGGAAAAAAAATGTGTCAGCGACTCCCTGAATAGCTGTTGTCTTTATAGGACAGAAATGTGTGAAGTTACAAGACGTGTACTAGGGGAATCTCACTTTAGCAGTGTTACAACTATGTGAACATGTAAGCAAGCTGTCTGTAAGGCTTTAGTGTGTTTGTGTTCGTACCTCAAATCTCTGGTTGGTGACTTTTTTGCCTTTTCTGCTCCATGTGATTTTGGGTTGTGGGTCTCCAGTGGCCTGACAGACGAAGGAGGCGACGCCGCCCTGAACTCCTATCTGATCAGTGGGAGTTCGAGTGAAGCGAGGAGCAGCTGCAGAGAAAATAAACACATCAGTGGTTTGTATAAGGTGGCACATAATTAACTTGGACCGGGTCAGAATGAGAATTGTGGCACAGATTAGTAGACAGGGTAGCAAACTTCTACTTTAATATTTCAAACCTCCTGAATAAAATATATAGATGGAATCTATCAATGTTTAAATTGAAGGTTACTTGAAGGGTTTGAGTTTAATGATATTATATTCATGCATAATATATTTATTAGAGCTGGGCAAAGATCAATCGTGATTAATTGATTTGATGAAATTGAAGTTTGACAAACCCAACAGTCAACTTTATTAAATGAAATGAGTGTAGTTAACTCAAAATTGACTAAAAGTTAATTCTACTCACTTGAAAAGAGTTTTGATCTCAGTGTTGAATGTAATGAGGTAATTAAATACCTCACAACTTCAACTTAAACGGAGTAAGTTCACAGTATTCATAGTTTTTTTTTTAAAATTCAAATAGTTTGTAGCAATAATTTTCCTCAAACGGTTTGAGTTGCCTTAATTTATTGGGTTTTACAGTACTCAGTTGGTGTGAGTTCTCTTCATTTATTGGGTTTTACTGTGCCCAAATTGCTTCGTTTACTCAAATGGATTAAGTTAACAGTACTCATTTGGATTAGTTTTTGAACTTAAATCGTTTGTTGCAATCAGTGTCATTAAATGGTTGGAGTTACCTTAACTTTTTGGCTTTTACAGTGTAGAAAAAAAATTATACGAAATAATTTTACAAAATTATGTTAATGTATATATAATTTGTACTATATACTGTACATATTTATTTTATATCTAAATGCAAAATTTTTTTTACATTTATAAATATATGCATGTATGTGTGTTTATATTTATATATACATAACAAATATACTAAGTACATTTACACCTATATTTATATTATGTCAATATATTCTTTTATTTGGGATGCGATTAATCGAGATAAATTTTTGCCCAGCGCTAATATTTATATACATTCAAGTATATGCAAAACACATAATAATTTGGTAAAGTTATACCCTAAATATTTCCACTAAATAAAATATATGTATTAGCATTAAAGTTCCTAAACCAGTATTTTATTTTATTTTATTTTATTTATTTAAATGTTTTAATTTAATTTAATTTAATTTTATTTTATTGAGGCTGATAATTATTTCATGTTCTACCAAATATTACAATTGCACATTATTAAATCTATGTTAATAAGTTAACAAATAATACATAAATTCAGTCAACTCATGATTTTATTTTTCATGTTCTACCACATATTCAAAAATTTGTAGTGTTTAAAAAAATTTAACGCAAAAATAAAATTTTAAATAAGCAAACTCAGTCATTTAAGTTGATATCGTTTAAATAACATGACATAAAAAGACACAATTAATTGAAAAACAAAACCCTCTTACTTCAAGACCCTTGAATTATTAGCTGACTATGGTCGCGAGTTCTGTCGTTACAAACAACGTTCGTTTATTTTTTATTTCCCAAATCTGCTGTGCCAACGAACATTCGCAAACTGCATTGCAAACTTGTGCACTTGCAACTACACGTGTAGGCCCTATTTGTGTCGTTTACATATATTTCAATTAATATGGAAAGCGAGTGCTTGTTTTTAACAAAACTAATATTGTATTTGTTTTTAAAACGCATGTGCGTGTAAACCAATATAATTTGCACAAAAAAAATTATGGGGTTTTCCCCTAAGAAGTAGTTACTCCACCATGTTTAGAGCGTCATTATGTACATTTTACGTTTTTAAGTAACGTGGTTAAAATGATGGATCTGCGACAGAGAAACTACGGTTTTGGGAAACACTCCTCACCACATCATTCTTTTCCCAAACGATGCATCGTATTATGATAGTTAAGCCGTGAGTAATGCTGTTGTTTGGGAAACGCACCCCTGACAACTCATGCGTGAATGTTCCTTTAAAAGTTCCAATGGTCGCAAACCTTATTTCACCCTTTTTCACAATCAGACTGTGACTTTATATGCATTAATAGTGAATTAACTCTTGTAGATGAGGAAAGTGCAGATAAGCTGTGTGATTGACGTAGTCTGGTTGCTAATCCTCATGGCCTAAGGATGATGTCACATTAATCTGCTCTATAACCCACTGACCAGCAGCTCTAAACTAACGGCATGTGTAACTAACAGATCAGGTTCAGCTCAGGTTCAAGCGGAACAATGAAGTGAGAGCGTGGGTGAATGTTAGTGTCATCAACTCAGATGATGTGCAAATCTCTTCATCTTCACTTTACAAGCTTTAATCCGGACCGACGCAGATAACACTTACACAAGAAAGCCCGTACGTGCAGCTACTCTTCCATTCTTACAAAACAAAGACCATGTGATTTATTTTTTAGAATAATTATGAAAAATTTAAATCACTGTTTTTATAATAATTAATATATAATACAGTGCTTAACGTAAACTAGTGCACCCCGTTTTGAAAATAAATACTTTTATCCATTTCTCTGTGAATAGGTATTCGAACAAAATAGATTTATTAAATAAATATATTCATTAAACTAATATTTTAGTCACCGAACATCTTTAGGAATAGAAAAATAATACATTTAAATTCATGTGAAATATTACAAACTACAAAACGTCAACATTGTATAAATTTTTTTCTACATTTTCTCTTGAATTTTGCTCTTTAAAAAAAATGTATTTAATATTTTTCCCTAACAAAAATTTGGGTACTAGTTTTGGATTGTTATCATAAGTTATTTTGTATTTTCTAATATATATGCACATATATATTGTGAAGCTTCCTATAGAAAATATGAATCTAAATGAGCGATTTGTGAGGGGTGTACTCATACATTATATGTTGAGTACTGTATATAATTAAATATAATTATTAATATATAGCTGCAAGCAGCAATTAACCGGGTCCAAGCAAATAAAGGCACTGAAACACTTAAGTATAAATGTATATTTGAAATCATTTGCATAATGTTACCAATTAAATGAGAGAAAAAATTTGCTTTTTTAAATTTACTTAAAAATACAGTTGTTTTTGTTTTAAGGTTAGGGTTATGATTACTGTTATAACCCCCCTATGACCTTACGTCCATAAAAGTTTACATGCTTGTTTATAATCATATGGTTTGTTTGTTTTTTGTAATATTTTTTATCATAGTTTTTACAGACATGGAAGAACAAAGACCCATTATGTAACAATAATCTGTGCAAGTTGTAAAATAAGGGAAAATGGCGACATACAAGACATATATGATGACTTACAAAAAGACAATGCAATAAATGTAAAGGAAAAATAATTTTTTCAAAAGTTAAACTTCATTAGTCCCTACATTGTGTTTATAGAAAAAAACAGAGTAGAATCATGTCGCATGTGCTCACCTAATTTTGTGAATTTATGAGTTTTTTTTTATTACTGATATGCATTTATATGTACACCTATTCATTCCATAGTGTAAATGACCCTATAGCTTTTCAAATGCAAGAAAAAAAAATCCGCTTTTTAACTATTTTGTCTTCATTTATTATCTTGAAAAACACAATGGTATCCACCGGTAGCCCGTTTTCACCAAATTTTGATCTGAAGAGCCTACATTGATAGTTCACCCAAAAATGAACATTTATTCACTATTTACTCTCCCTCAAATGTTTCTTTCTCATGATGAACACAAAAGAAGATATTTAATAGTAAGAAAAAAAAAATACTATGGAAGTCAGTGGTAACAGGCTAGCAACATTTTTCTAAATATCTTCTTTTGTGCTTAATAGATGAAAGATCTTTTTCAACAAATAAAGGGTGAGTAAAGGATGATAGCATTTTCATTTTTGGGTGAACTATCCCTTTAAACCAATAGATGCTCAAAGTTAATTGGTCGATGACAGAAACTTTGAACATTTTGTTCTGTTTTAAAAATTTAAACTGTTGATATTCAGACTCCAGGGAATTCTGCATTAGTTTGGTTTTGATCAGGAGAAAAAGCTAAAACAAATGAGCAAAGTGAAGTATTCTAAAAATGCTAATTACCAGAATATTTTGCCCAAAAAATGCTCAATCATTAATGATATGCATTTATTTAAGCCGAGGATTCCCATATAATAAGACACTTGAATTCTGAGTCTGCGTTGAGCAGTTTACGAGCAATGCATTATTTACTATTTTTGTATTGTTTGCATTGGTAAAGGGGCGGCTCAGTGGTACAGTGAGTAGTACTGTCGCCTCAAAGCAAGAAGATCTCTGGTTCGAGCCTCAGCTGGGTCAGTTGGCATTTCTGTGTGGAGTTTGCATGTTCTCCGCGTGTTTGTGTGCGTTTCCTCCAGGTGCTCCGGTTTTCTCCAACAGTCCAAAGATATGCATTATGGGTGAATTGGGTAAGCTAAAATTGTCCGTATAGTGTATATGTGTGAATGAGCGTGTATGGGTGTTTCCCATTGATAGATTGCAGCTGGAAGGGCATCCCCTACATGTGCAGGAAAAGTTGGTAGTTCATTCCGCTGTGGCGACCCCTGATTAATAACTGGACTAAGCCGAAAGAAAATGAATGAATGAACATTGGTGAACTTGTACACTGTAAAACATTCTTGCTGCCTTAATTTTTTTTAGTTATCTCAACTTACATCTATCAAACTAACTAAATAAATAACAAAATAAAACAAGTTAAAGTGACAAACATTTGTTGTCATTACTTTTTGTCATATCATTTTTACTGTGTATACAGGGATAAGTGTGTTCCCGGAAAATCCTAAAAATTACAGTATGGTAATTGCTAAACATAAGTACCCCTAAACATTGAAATGTTTACATGAATGTAATACATCTATTTAATAAATAATATACAATCTTTTATTTCTGCATTTAAAATTCTCAATTCTTATGTCAAGTAGTATTTTTAAGTACTCTTAAGACTACTTTTGTTTTACATGAATACAATATATCAGTTTAATAATAAATATGCAATCATTTGTTATGCATTTTAATTATTTTTTTCAACTGAAACATACTAGTTCTCCACTCTTCTTCTACCAGAGAGTAACAGAATGCATGCACGATTATCTTCTCAAATGTTTCTCAAGGTCATCGAATGAAAGGATAGCAATTCGGGTATTAAACGCTGACGTCATTTCTTTAGTCAGCGAAGGCCACGGTTTGTCTTGTAAACATTCATCTGGACATTTGGTGCAGCGAAAGAAACAAATGCTGGATAGTTTTATAATCCATCCAACTGGTTCAGCATTATGAAATTGCTTTGCATGTTCAGAAACCTGCTTATATTAATTACATACTACTCTGTAAGCTGCGTTAAAGTGCGCATTTATCCTTTGCGATGGTGAGGAAAGAACATTTCACTTGAAGAGCAAGCAATTATTAAGAGTTCCAGAGGATTCCGCCTTTTTTCTGTGTATTTGATGTCTGTGTACTCACATTGCATATGCGCCAGCTGGAGCGCGCTCAGTAGAATCAGTAGTACCGGCTGGTAGGCGCTTCTGTAGATCATGTGACCTCTGGCCATCCTCTCATTGGCTTGTCTGTGTTTGTGGATCACCAAGCTGTAAGTGCACTCATAACCTAAAGTGCAGATGTGAACAAGGCAAACATATCTGTCAGTCACATGTGTGTGTGGGGCAGCACATGACACAAATCAATGGCATTAATCAATTAGTGCTCTTCGTGTAAGACTTTCTCTGAAGATCAGGTAACAAATTACTGAGTGGTCAATCAATTCTTGAACATATCATTTAACATAGTGCCTTCACAGACAGAGAGAGAGACACGTCTTGTTTGCGTTACAGAAATAGTTCACCCCCAAAATGATGAAACCATTTCATCATTTACAAAACCTATTAGCAGCGCTGCAAAGTGAATGATATATCAACTTCAAAAATAAGCACCAAACTATTTTCTAAGTCTTCAAAAGCAATACCACAGAGAAAGAATGTTGTAAACTTCTAACAAGAGCTGTGCATTATATATATTTTATGCTGCATATTGATACTGATCCTGCTTTGTTGTACCTAAGTAACTCCTTAAAGTAAATAAATAAAAATATTACATACACTGATTGGATATAAGCATATCTGATGTACGCATGAAGGTTTTAAAACTGCAAAAAGTTTCTGTTATACCATTTATTAGGTAAATGTAAGTGTTTTTTAACATACTTTTCACAATTGTTTATTTAGTTTTTATAGGGCAACAATATCTCCAGCAGACCCGCCAAATCAAAAGCTACTGGTCAGCTCAGGATTCAGCAAACATTTAACAAACAAATCATCACTTATAAACCAACATCCTATGCTGCTATGTGCATTCAGTGCAGGGGCTTACTTGCTTTATATACAAGAAAAGAAAGATATCCAAAGAGGCCTTTTCAAGTTGTGAAGAAATCTGTTTTGTAAACTCATTATGACAGCAGGTCGATGATTTGTTTTAATTATAATCAATTATTTTTAATTATTTATACCGTCAGAACCTTATATCGGCCCATGCCTGTGTTTGGTTTCGGTTTTTATTAAAAGAACATTAATGAAAAAATAAAGTGTGTGGGACATGTTTGAAAAGAAAAAGGGTTTTCAAATGCAATAAGCAACACAAATTATCTCATTGGGGCCTATATGGCATGATTTGTTGCTATTTTCAGACCAGCGCAACTCTAGTTTTCCCGTTTTGCGCCACATTGTTTAAGTATTAAATCCATTTGCGCCACTTTAGACTCATGGGTGTTCTGGCCTAGAAAAGAGGTGTGTTAAGGCACATTGTTGGCTATTATTGTTGCTATTTTGAGGAACTAAAATAGACTAGGCAATATACCAGCTGATAGCAGATCTAAAGTCCAGCAATGAGCGTGTTATTTGTGCGCTTTGCTTACACAATGCTTAATACACACAGGATGTACAGCAATATGCAAATATCTTTACAAAAATTCATGCCTTCTTCATCTCAGGGGACTGTTTTCAGTTTATTAACGACAACTTGCTTTTGTATTAGCAGTATTATTTATTATTTGCATATTCATATTTGTTTTATTAAAAACAAGCTTAGATCTGTCCACCTGTCAGGTTTTGAATCATATGGGACATAGGACGTGTTTGGAAATAAATTCTGTTTTTTTGATCACACTTCTTTATTATTGCTCATTTATTGAAAGATTAGAATTGAATTCAGAAATAGTTTTAAAACAAATCTTTGTGCTTAAAAAACAAAATGTTATATTTAGGCTAATAAATGTCTTTAGTGAAGTGTACAACACCATTTCCTTTTCCACGAAAAATAGAAAGAGAAAGTAAAGAGGCTGAATGGAGGGGACACATTCTTTATCCTTACTGCAGAAGTGTTCAGTTTTTCCACAAACAAAGTCCGCCATGTAAATAGCAAATGACTCTTAAAGGGGATAGGAGATGAGACTCTGATTGGTTTATTCTTAAAACACATACATAACTCATTAAGAGAATAAGCACAACTCTGTTAGACCATGCGTCGTGGTGCAGATTGAATTTTTCCATCCTTAAAATAGCAAAAGTGGATTCGGACATGCCCTCAATGCTTTTGCGCCCTGCGCTTTAGACTTTGCATCTAGATTGTTAAAATAGAGCCCATTGTGTTACTCCTAGGTTCTTGATTTTTAAACTTTGCGTAGAAACCTTTCTAAAAAGAATGACGTACATCTAGTTATTTATTTATTTATTTATTTATTAAAGATTACGGGTCATATAATGATTTAAAGTAGATCAATTAAGGCAAGCTACGCACGTTCTATAAAATTTTTTTAATAAATTGAATGGCAAATGTTGTATGCCATTTCCACCCGATTTGTGTGTATGCTATGTTCATAAATGACAGCCTCATTTTCTAGACACATTCCAAACAAGTTGTCAAATACATATATATATATATATATAGAATACTGAAGTGTTTGTTCAGTACATTAGCACAAAAAACTTTTTATAATGCGTCACACACTTTAAAGATGTCAGATGAGTTAGCAGAAAAGTTTTTTTTTGTTTCAATAGGTGGTTGACGGTAAAAAAAAAAAAAAAGCAAAATCTGGATGAAGAAACGAGCATCTGCCCTATTTATAATAAATGAGGAAAGAAATCCAACTTAAAGTTATACATAGTTCAGACTGTAAGAATTTATGTCAAAAAAACAGCATGAAATATATGATAATACATAAAATCTCCTAAAGGCCTCTCATTCTCTCTCCAGAGGGCCAGAAAACTTTAGCGTAAACTCAACAATTATAACATCTAACCCATAAATTTATTATGTCTCTTACTTTTGAAATATAAGAAAGAGAACGAGAGAGAGAGAAAGAGAAAAAGAGAGAGAGAGAGAGAGAGAGAGAGAGAAAGAGAGAGAGAGTTGGGTGGGCAGCTGAACTGCACTAAGTAAAAGTTGCATTAAATATGGATGCTGTGCATGGGAGATTGCCACAGATGGGGGGCGTGTTGGGATTCGCTATGGTAACTCTGCCCCCACGAGCACCACGCTTGTCACATCGCATCACATCATTAGGAGAGAGAGAGTGCTTGCAGACCCCCTCATCCGTGCTGCCTCCCCCATCTCCTATCCATATTTAATTCCTCTACTGCACTTTTACACAGCTGAGAGAGAAAAGACCACACGTGTCACTTCCTGCAGGGAATCATCATGATGTAGGAAACGGGGAGCGAAGGAAGGAAACGGTGACACATACAAACCCCAAATGTGTGTGTGTGTTTCCACATGTCAAGATTCTGCTGCGAAAGAAATGGGTCAATCTGATCTCTGACTCATGTAAAACTGAAGCACTTCAAACCCCTAAACCTATACAGACACACACACACACACACACACACACACACACACACACACACACACACCATCTGCCACATTTGGAAAACACTCCACAGCAGCTTAACGCAATCCCTAATACACATTATTATCAGGAAAATACGTAGATGAGCACAAGGCATACGCAAACGCACAAATACACAGAGTACATCCATAAAGATGAGTATGAGATCACTGGTGAAAATGCTTGGGTAGTGGATTTTTCTAACTCATTTTATGTTACAATGCCTGTATTTGACTAAATCTAAAAGAAATCGTTATATATAAAAAAGTACAAGACGATTTTTATGTATTTTATTATTATTAATATTATTATTAATAAAAATGTTTGTTGTCTGCTCCCTTACTGCCCATTGGTCAACGAAAAGCTCATGAAGTTGTGCTATACACATAAAACCGTCATTGTCGTTAATGCATTTTTATTTTTACTTCTTTGACAGCACGCACTCAAGCTGGAATAACCTCCGAAAGTTTGATGATCCATGTTGGCTAGAAAGATTTGAAAAGAGCATCTTCTGCTTCAGTGGAAGCCAGAAAACCTGACCTTTTCCACAAAGACATTAAAGGAACAGTTCACCCAAAAAAAGATGAAAATTTGCTGCTAAAATTTACTCCCCTTCAGGCCATTCTAGACGTAAGTGCCTTTTCCTTGGGCATCACGTTAAAGAAGATTTTAATCTTAAAGCATGGTCCTTGGTGATTTCTATAATTCAACGGCTTCTGTCATATGATGGCAAAACAAAATTGTTACTTGTGGCTTCTTAGGAAATAATGTAGTAATGTTTGTAATAATGCTCAAATCTTCGCACAGACTGATTGTTTTTCTCCCGGATTGTCAGAAGCCACAGGTATTCATTTTGTTATGCCTGTACTTTTATGCTTCATAAAGTGACAATACCTGAAGACCATGGTTTTATTTGAAAATCTTCTTTTTTTAGTGTCTTTATTAAAAAAAAAAAGTAAACATCTAAGCTAGCATCTTGGAGGAGTTAAGAACAAACAGAGCATAAAAAGAAAAAAACAGAGCATATGGTTGAAATGTCAAAAATAAAAATTCTGTTTCCATCCAATGATGCAAATTAAATTTATGGGCAAAACAGGAATATCACATAAAAAGATATGCAAATAAAGCAGCGTTTCCAAAAGTCAAAGAGAACAAAACTTTGACATCTGTCAAAACATGTTAATCACTTCCTGATTAACTGGTGACAAATATCAAAAGTACGGATGGAATTTATTGAGGTAGCTGCGTGAATCTTTTCCTAATTTAATAAATGAATTGCACCTCAGAAGATGATGCGGACATGCAATGAAAACCAATACTAAAACGGTTATGGCATTTTAGAATGACCAAACCCCAACTCCCTAACCCTCTTCACTTTTGTCCGCGACACCACTCCGCCATCCACCACACTAACCACCAAAGTTGCCACGCCACACCCAACCCACCCCGGTAATATTTGTAATATTTCACTAATATTTACTTTCATAAAAAAATATAACTCATGACCTTAAGGATAAAATTGTCCAACTGAAACTCATTACAACTTATTACATTATTTATCCAATGTTAAAATTCTTGCCTTACAGCTGGAAGACCGCTGTTTCAAGCCTAAGCTCAGTCAGTTGGCATTTTTGTGTGGAGTTTGTCTGTTCTCCCTGTGTTCATGTGGGTTTCCTCCGGGTGCTCTGGTTTCCCCCACAGTCCACATGCGCTATTGGTGAATTGAACAAGC